GAAAAGTTTACTGAATCGGCTTGACACTTTCTACCTAAGCTGAATTGGAGATTTATAGTCGACGTTAAAGTTAAATGGTGACTTAAGAAATATTTCTTAGATTATTGCAGATTTTTCAAAATAAGAACTAGTATTCATACGATGAAACCCCTATTTTGGAATTAATATTAATCTAACTGGAACCGATTTCTAAAAACTATTAATATTAATGTAATAAGAGTTTTCACAACAATGTATACCCACCAGACAAAGTGAAACTAGTGTGCAACAAACAGCTGTGGTCTCCCCCTAGGATAGATATCAATTGTTACATAGTCCCCTGAGATTATGAATAGTGTGAGCTACATTTCTGAGTGGACGAAGGGAGGTGGAAAGGGGGGGGGGAATCTACAAGACTGAGGGATTTTGTTTTTTTCTACTTATCCAACACCACGTGATGGTGTTTAAGAGTATTTTATCTGTCTCAGCTTGACGAATCAATTTCTGGAAGTTCTGTTTCTGTCAGTCTGGTTAGCACGACTGATGTTTCATCTTTTTAGCACGACTGGGGATGTTTCATCTTTTTAGCACGACTGGGGAGGTTTCATCTTTTTAGCACGACTGGGGATGTTTCATCTTTTTAGCACGACTGGGGATGTTTCATCTTTTTAGCACGACTGGGGATGTTTCATCTTTTTAGCACGACTGGGGATGTTTCATCTTTTTAGCACGACTGGGGATGTTTCATCTTTTTAGCACGACTGATGTTTCATCTTTCCTAGCACGACTGGGGATGTCTCATCATTTCGTGGTCACCTTGAGAAATCTGACGTAACTTCCGCTATTTCCAGACAAATTTTTTTCACCATATTTTTTTCATCAAAAGACCGAGATATCAGACGTAGCCAGTCCTCAAATCACGTTACGTCTGCTCGCTAATGTCTGCTGCCTCTCCCGGCTCCTGACAGTCGTCTGCCCCCAGGGCGGGAGACTGAAATGCTAGCTAGATGTAAAAAAAAAAATGTTCCGAATCAAACGCCTAGCTGGGTTTATTAGAATAATGTTTAATCTACGTATGGAGGGAAAGATAAAAAAAATGTCCCTCAGGATATTCTGTTCACACGAACTACACTGGAGTAGCAAAAAAAAAAAACCTTTCGTTTGCCTTTAATTTTATTTTTCATGATATAGCACCGCGTTTTTAAATTATTTTAAGCTTGCAAGATTCTTGTATTTTTTTTAAATCTCATTCTTTTTTAAAAATGTAATGAACCGTTAATGATGTTATTCTTTCTTCTTAACTGTAATATGGAGGGAATTTCCAGCGACACAATGGAGTATGGCGTGTCAACATATTATGCCCCACATGGCCCGTTGACTCTGACTTCAGACTGATTTTTCTTTCGGGATTTGCTTCCACTGACTTTGTCCACTCAAGAACAATCTGCAAGGCTGAATTTGTTTGATTTTGGAGTTTTCTCTCTTAAATAGGTTACTTTCCCCAGCTAGATAAATATCTGGGAGATAGATACCTGATAGAAACCTGCGCATATATTGTAATACTTGCAATATGTGACATTTTGTCTAATTAACTTAAAAGGTGCTCTTAATGTTGGCTTTTGCGAAAACAGAAGTAGAGTAAGTACCACTTCCGTTTAATAGAAATCGCTCAAAAGTTGAAAGAAAACCACACATTTTATATAATACTTCCATATAAAATTTCGTCAACATAACTAAAACGTTAGACTACTCAAATTATCGTATACACAGACACGGAGACACACACACAAAAATGCAAAACTAAGTTTTTCTAGATCAAAAAGTGCTTAAATCTCGATTTAGATTTTTTTGGAATGATTACAATGCATCCTTTATAATCCGTATACGATAAAATAGGGAGGTGTAAAACAGAGAAAACTGTCAAATTTCATGTTAATTTTTCAGCGCGTTTTCAATACTTCCTGTATACATTGTATACGAGAAAGTAAAAACAAAGAGTGGTATTAAATCAAACAGCGAACTTTCTAGAAAAGTACTGCTAACTTCTTAGCTAAGGCAAACCTTTATAGTACAAAAACAGAGCTATCAGTTTAATGTATTTTTGTTTCGTTTTTATTCTTTGATTTTTTAATCAATTCATATCCTTTGTTGTTTCCTAATTGCATGGTAATGTAATTTTTTTAAATGCTTAAAGACTTGTTTTAACGTAATTAAATACCATGGAATAAATTAACTTTTAGTAAAATACACTTGAAAAACACACTTGAATGTAAAGCATTATCTTCTCCGGGGACTGGGTAAAACTAACTTATTCTTGGCTTTTTTAAATGGGTTTAAAAAATTAAATTAAATTAGAATGAATATTTTTTTGTAATCAAAAATTGTTTTTCTTATCTAAAAAAAAAAATCTCGTGACGTGCAATATTTTTTAATGTTGGAATAAAAATAAATTAACTGTGAAAAATAATTAAGTAAATTAAATGTAAAAAATGTGTTTTCAGTTCATTTAGTCGCTGTCGCCGTAATGTAAAATGGGATTGGGGGAGGGGGTCGATAAAAACACCAGCTAGTTAAGTTCGCTTACCGCACCGACTTTGTTGATGGCTTAAAGTTTTGATGAGGTCAGCACCCTGCGGTGGCTGGGAAAACAACAGCCGTTGTTCCAGAGTCAATGAGTTCACGCTTGACTGCATTCACCTAAAGGGGAAATCAACGGTACGCGCAGGCTGGCGTGGTTAATTGCCGATATGGGACAGGTCAATACAACTGACAAGAAGTAATACAGGTGGAATTATGGGATAAATGTCGGTATGGGATAGATCAATACCATTGACAAGAAGTAATGCAGGTGGATTATGGGATAACTGTCGGTATGGGATAGATTAGATCAATACCATTGACAAGAAGTAATGCTGGTGGGATTATGGGATAACTGTCGATATGGGATAGATTAGATCAATACCATTGACAAGAAGTAATGCAGGTGGAATTATGGGATAACTGTCGATATGGGATAGATCAATACCATTGACAAGAAATAATGCAGGTGGAATTATGGGATAACTGTCGATATGGGATAGATCAATACTATTGACAAGAAGTAAGGCAGGTGGAATTATGGGATAGCTGTCGATACAGGATATATTTGATCAACACGATTTACAAGAACTAATGGTGATGGAATTATGGGATAGCTGTCGATACAGGATATATTTGATCAACACGATTTACAAGAACTAATGGTGATGGAATTATGGGATAGCTGCCGACATGGGCGGGCTAACATGATACCGAGGTTGGTCCTATGGCCTACTGGGCGGGCTTCAGACAACCAGGATGTAAGACATTAGGTAATTAGGTCACTGGATCACCTTGATATTATTAAGTGACATACCGGGTCAGTTTACCGGAGCTGCATTAGGCGCCCGGAAATGGAAGCCACGACCCCCTCGGGCTGTCTGACACAGTCTGTTAGGGTCTGGTTATCTAGACGTTACATCGAAGAACCAAAACTCGTGTGAAAACGCATCGATATTTATAAATAAGAATATTCGGTAGGGTTAGTAGGGTAATACTAGTGATTTTTTTTTGCTTGTATTGTTGTTAGGTTTAGGATTAGGTTATGGTTATTGTCTGGTATATGATGTAGCGTTATTGTTAGGGTTGTGTGTTGGCCAGGGTTCAGATTAGATTAGTGTTATTAACATTAATAAATTTCAATACATCCTGCCGTACACAACTGTTCTTGTGCTTACAGTTACAGTCTAGGTTCATTGAATTTGGCTCTCCTGTTGTCCATCTGGTCGATAAAATGTCCTACACGTGATAATATTAATCTACGTTGATATCACATTTGGGGTTGGGTATAGGATTATGATTGGGATTATGATTACGTTCGGTGAGGGTTAGAGTTTAGTTCAGGTATAGAGTAAAATGTAAGTTGTTGTTTTAAAACACCCCTGTTGCATATTACTGCTGTAAGGGCGTAGTGCCCATACAATGACGAGCGGTCAAACGATGACTTCATAACTTTTTTTTTGTTATGTTTTCAAAACTATAATATACTTCTTTTGTTCATAGTGCCTCCATAACGCCATGTCAAGTTTTTGCCCTCTAGGTACTGTTGTGTTTTCACAACTTAATTTCGTTTAACCCCATTTTATATTAAGCAAATTGTAAAAAAAAATATAATATTTTCTGCACAAGAAGAAACTAAAGTGTGTTTTTCACAATACTTCAACATCCGTTAATCAACCTGTACTATAAAATTATTTTTATCGAACATTTTTTTTGTAATAGCGAACCCCGTAGGGGGTTAACAAGCCAATCAGATCGCGCGTAGCTCCACTTCTACGTTAGTTGATTGTCTAACTTGTCAACACCGTCACAAAACTTGAGAATTCCCTCCCTTTATTCATTAACCCGTCAATAGCCAAAGGGAGATAAATCTCGTTCTTCTAATTAGGTCATTAACTGGTGGTGGGTGCTAAACGTCAGTAAACATACGTTTACGGTAATTTTTGAAAATGTTATTGTAGCGAAATAGGCGAAGTAAACATTATGTAGTTTTTATTTTCAAAACTTCAAAATTATGAGTATGCTTCAATTAATGTAAAACGTATACTATAGACTATTTAAATTATTCCAACAAATTTCTATAAACGGTTACACACAAAAAATGTACAAACGAAATTTACATGAATTTTGTCTTACAAAATATAAATAATTTTGTTCTAGATGTTGTTGTTAATCTTGTTATTGGTGTTGATTTATTTATTTTTATATTTTACTTGGTTTTATTAATCCAAGTAATATTTCGCCCATACGGCTTCATCGAGACGTCAAAAACAATTTCATCTTACATCTTATCTCCCTTGAGCGTGTTATTCCCCTTGTCAAACCAAAACTCAATTATTTTATTTTTACGTTGTTTATTTTATTCATGAGAGCACTTATTTTATATTTTAACAAAAGGGTTTTCAGTGTAGAGTTATTTTTAGTTCCCTATTTGCTTGTTTCAGATAGTGAAAATTTAACAAGAAAAGATCAGCAAAATTCAAGAACTTGGCAGTTTTAGAGAGAGAGAGAGGGAGAAAAAAATGATTTCAAGGCTGTCAGTGTTGTTTATTGGAGCGTTGGCCGTTTCTATGGCAATAGCGGCTCCTTTATCCAACCAGGAGAGTTTGGTCAAATCGGAAAAATCTGAACAACCCGTTGAAAGAGGTGAGTAGTGAAAGGGAAGGGCTCAACACTAGGTTTGGACTTCAGCGTAGATAGTCTGGGGGCCCATCTTTGATGGGCCGCAGCCTCATAGGGCACCCGGACTCCTGTACTTCATAGGGCACCATCCTCCTGGGTCTCATAGGGCCCCCAGACTCCTGGGCTTCATAGGGCCCCATCCTCCTGGGCCTATTAGGGCCCACAGACTCCTGGGCTTCATAGATAGGGCCCCCAGACTCCTTTATAGGGGTCCCAGACTCCTGGCCTCATAGGGCCCACAGACTCCTGGGCTTCATATGGCCCCCAGACTCCTGGCCTCATAGGGCCCCCAGACTCCTGGGCTTCATAGGGCCCCATCCTCCTGGGCCAATTAGGGCCCACAGACTCCTGGGCCTCATAGGGCCCCCAGACTCCTGGGCCTCATAGGGCCCCCAGACTCCTGGGCCTCATAGGGCCGCCAGACTTGGGCCTCATAGGGCCCCCAGACTCCTTTATAGGGGTCCCAGACTCCTGGCCTCATAGGGCCCCCCAGACTCCTGGGCCTCATAAGGCCCCCAGACTTATGTGCTTCATAGAGACCCCATCCTTGGAGTTTCGAATTCCACTTGAGCTGTGTACAAAATATATAGTGAAGAGATGGTTTTTCAAAAAAATCTATTTTATAAGGCCCAAACTTCAGTATCTGCCTAAAGTACCTTAAGTCTCTACGTAGGGTCCTGATAAAATTATATCAAATAATTTTATGATTGTCACATAAAATATGAATATTTGAAAACATATGTCGTTTTATATATTTTTTCATATAAAAAATCTAGACAAAGTGATTTAAGTGTGAAAGGACGATAACTCTGCATCTATGGGCGTTAACCCGTACACGGTCTGGCGAGCACAAGCCTAATAAGGCCATTAAAGTTAAAGATCTCATTTTGGCCACCTAACGACGTCTCGTGCCGTCCTACGTAATAAAAAATCTCTTCTCATTTCGTTGCTTTCCGGCGAAAGGGTGAAAGGTCGTTGGGCAATTTCTATGCTAATAGACATGCGCAGTGAGAAATGCGAGATATGCTGTAGATCAGCCTTGAAAAATGTCATGAAAGAAATTGAATAGAGGAATAGAAAGTGAGCGCTATGATGGCGGGTATGGAGTGGGATACATGAGGTGGGCAAAGTGTGGGTTGGACATGGTGTGAGATAGAAAAAATGAGGATGCCTCAGTTTGTGGGGTAGGCGTTGAGGGTAGGCGTGATTATGAGGCAATTTGATTTTGAGCAGCAAAGTGTGGGTGGGGTCGGATGTAAGAATATGCGTGTTTGGAAAATAGTGGAGTGATTAGATTGTTAGACTGGGTGTGGGTATGGCATAGTGTTGTGGTGGGGGGGGGGATGGGAGGAATATTCAAGAAATGTTTGTTTGTGGCAACGTGTAAGGAATGTTTGTGGCGTTGCCAAGTGGTAGGGATAACATCCTAATATATAAAAGGCCATGTGCGCTCTTCTCTCTCTCTCTCTCTCTCTCTCTCTGTCTGTCCGCAAAATATTTTCGCCGGACATCACGTCAGAATCGGCAGCGATATATGGATACCTTTATACGGACTTTTGTTGAAAATAATATGTTAGATGTTTTAAATGTATAACCACAATTTTATTTAAAGAAGAAAAATAAAAAATAAAGGCATATTCGAATGTAGAGAAACAGTATTATTTATGCAACCGGAAAAGTATTTAAACTTGGGACAAGAACGCATTTAACAATGACGTCGCTTATTGTTTACACTAAAAAAAGAGCACGAAACTGATGACGTCATCTTCCGAGTTTAGAATAAAAAGAAATGAACTATTTCATTCAAATATGATTTAGAACTATGTACGCTATGAAATGTATACAATACGATTTTCTCGGCCTAAACTAAAAAAAATTATTTTATCTATTTGGATTCTAGATCTAGAGATTCTAGATCATATAGATCTAGAGATTCTAGATCTAGATCTAGATGATCTATAAAGCTAAGTTGTCGGGTGCCCGATAGGGCACTTCCCGGCGCCGCAGGTGCTTCAAATTTGGCAGGATCTTGCATTGGGGCGACAGAACTGACCTCGAAAACTGACCTCGACTAACCGGCGCCTTATATGGGCGAATTAATTAAGCATTCAAATTCTCAATGTTTTCGAAAGCCTAAGCGAAGCTGGGCAGCATGCCTAGTAATACTAATAATAGACTAAATTGCCTGATCAAAAACCAAACAAATAATATTTCAATAACCATATAAACAATCTCATTTATTAAACATTTTTACATTTAAAAAAAAATATGTCACACACATGTCAAAACTGAAAACAAGATTTATGTCACAAATAAACAGCTCGAGACATTTTATTTGCGACATATGAAAAAGAAAATTATGTCACACACATGTCAAGACTAAAAACAAGATTCATGTTACAAATAAACAACTCGAGACATTTAATTTGCTACATATGAAAAATATTTTTTTTTCTAAATCACCAGCCAAACGTGCAGAGGAAGAAATTGTTTTTGGCAACCAACAAAACAAGCCCCGAGTGATGGCTAAAAAATCTGACCTCGCCAACCTCCTAGTTCCGGTCGTCCCCGAGGGGATGAAGGACAAAGATGGCGTTGTCATCGCCCACAAGCCGGCGCCCGTTGGGGCGGAACTCGCGGCCCAGGCCGCCTTAGACAGGAGCGCGGAGAAAGAAAAAGTCGAACAGGCAGTGGAAGCGGCTATGGAAACGGTGGCAGACGAGCAAAGGGCGACTCAGGTAATTGATGAATGTTTGACCAATGTCCGACAGAAGGATAGCAGACAAGCAAAGGGCGACTCAGGTAATTGATGAATGTTTGACCAATGTCCGACAGAAGGGTAGCAGACGAGCAAAGGGCGACACGGGTAATTCAATGTTTGAACTAATGTCTAGCAAAAGTGTGACAGCGACTTGAAATCTCCTATAATTACAAATCTGAAACAAAACGTTTTTAATTTTAAAAAATGAGTAGGCCCAATGCTCCGCCCCCCCCCCCCCCCCGCTCAATAGAATGGTCATATGTGTCGGTATCTACCTCTTCCCCCCCCCCCCTCTTCCCCCCCCCCCCCCCCGCCCGGAACTAAATGAAATTTATTTAGAAAAATTTTATATACTTTTTACCAGTGTCGCACCCCCCCCCCCCCCCATTGTATCTATCTTGACGGTTGTATTTTTAAAAATATTTTTAACATTCACAAAATACGAACATGAAAACCTTTTCAACCACCCACAGAAGGCAGCGGAAACTGCCCATGAGGAAATCAAAGAGCTCGTCAAAGAAGAAATCCACAAGGACGAAAAGGCCGAGGAAGCCATAGAGAAAGACAAACAAGGGCTCAAGGAGCTGGAAAAGGCCATAGACGAGCCCGCCCCTAGCGGCGAGCTGGCCGAATCATCTCCCGAGGGCACTGGCGACGTTTCTGACGACGAGGTCAGCGAGTTTCTGGAAGAAATTCAGAACGAGAATGACGTCGATAACAATGACGTAAACAGCGACTACTACCAGAAGATGTACCAGTACATGCCGTCATACGCAGGTCAGTCTGGTCACGGAGTAGACATTTTTAAACACGATTTTGTGTGAGGTGGGGTGGGGGGGGGCAGGGTCGATAATGTTGAGGATGCGGATAGAATGAATTCAGATGATTCAAAATCTCGGGCTTGCTTAGGATTTATTTATTTCGCTTGATTACTCTGGTCTCCCTGATTGAAATAAAGATTTTGGATTTGTTGAGGGGGAAAAAGGTTTCAATCTTAACAGGTCACCGTTTACATAATCGCAAGATATTTTTTTAAAAGATCTTTTTTTAAATCCCTTTTTTTTTCAAATATTAGAGGAATAAGCAAGGTCACAAATAATGAAATATATCCCAAATGTAATTTAGATTATTATTGTCTGGGCAAATTAAGATAATATTTATGGGCCTACTTCATATTTATAACAAGTGCACTAAGTTTCTAAGGTTATAAATACATCAGGTTTCTATTGTTATTTATATGGGGGGAAATGTGTACGATTTTATGTACACGTAATTTCTTTGGTTATAAAAACACAAAAATGTATTTGATGTATAAAGTTCTACACAATTTTTATGTTAAAAACAAACGCTATTGCTATAAGCTTGAATAGATTAATATCTCCTATTTACATTCTTGATATTTAAATAAACATTCAATTTTGTCTTAATTTCAGACCAAGACATTCTCCAGACCATCCCCTTCCCATACTACCGCCGTCGCCGCTCCCTCCCCTCTCCAAGAAAAGCCGCCCCTGTCAAAAACCACCGCGGTGCCAGGCGCATAAAACGCGACATCCTCGACGAATACTACAACACCCTGAGCCTCCCCTACACCCCCGTGGAGTTGAACGACGCCCTGATCTCTGAACCCGACGACTACGTCCCACTGACCCCTGAAGAGAAAGACTACCTTTACAGACGTCTGCTGGACAACCTCGCTGGCATGTACGAAGATCCGAAAGACGAGATCGAAAACGAAGACTCGGTTGTTCCGTACATCAATAATCTCAACGAAGCTCAGGACGATGCGTACACGCCATACGTCGTCTACGGGGAGAACAACATCCCTTCCATCTACTCACCGGAAATGGAGAGGCAGGCGTACTCACCAGACGACAATGATGTCATGTTTTTTAAAAGAGGTATGATTGACTACATTCCGGAGGAGGAAGAGGAGAAGAGGTACTTCTTTCCCTTCAGCGAGGAACCCCAAACACATTGGGGAGCTTTTGTGCCAGAGAAACGAGATTACGGCGAGGCCATTCAGAGGCTGCAGCGACTCGCAATGGCGCTCAGTGACAACCAGGGGCCTTACTACAGGGAGATGGTGGAGGTAGGACAACCATTTTTTTACTGCTAGGACTGAATCACATCAGTGAAAATGGAAATGAGTTAGCAGTAGAATTTAAAGCGCGATTTATTTCTTAAATCAAATTGTATGTCTAAATCTGGAACTTTGCGACTTTATTTTTGTTCGGGAAAAGGGGAAATCGAGTTTTACAGATCCAAAGAGTCAATACATTTTTTCTCCATGATAGAACAGTCTCCCAAAAAAAAACTTCATTAAACATAGATTTCCAACAATTGGATATTAAACTCCTTGCTAGCAAACTTAAATTTAACGTTCGTAAATAATTTAATCACAACATAAGCATAAGTGTATTAATAACTTACGAGCCGACCCGCTGCGTATCATACGCCGCTATTTAGTTGTTTTTTTTTTCTACTTTTCAGTAATTTATAATTTGTGAATTCGACAGTACCAATGCTGCCATTGAAAATATTTGCTTAAAAACTCTACCCCCCCCCCCCCCCCCCCCACGTGAAAGCAGCCTCCTCTTAGTTTCCTCCTCTAAGTTTAAAATCGTTTCAAACTAAATTATCTGCCCCTAATAGCCGTCACCAAACCCGTCTCTGTGATTGTAAAATGTAAACAGAGTGAACACCGCTCACCAGATCATGTGGGGGTGGGGTGTGGGGGTTGTATTGATAGTGATAGAGAGGAAGAGAGGGGACTGCAAAGGCGCACTTGCAGCTTGTTTTCTAACTGATCCCAGAAGAGAATTATATATATAGACTAGCTGCATCCCGTGCTCCGCCACGGTAAATCTTTTTTAAATGTACCAACTTGGGAACAGAACAAAACTAAACACAACACAAACGAACGCAAAAAAAAAACAAAAAAAAAAAAACGAAAAAACAAACACAACACTCATAACATAAACACAATTTAAATGCAATCATAAAGGCATATTGCTCACAGTCTAGCCCGTAGCGCCAAATCGCGCCCTTTCCGGTGATTTGCACCCCCGCAAACTTTCGATTTGCACCCCTGTCCCCCCCCCCCCCGCCCTAAAACTTTCGATTTCCACCCCCCCCCCCCCCTCGCAAATTTTTTCCAACCCAATTTGGCGCCCCCTAAGGTCGGCACCCGGGGACATATGCCCTCCCCTCGCTACGCCTCTCCTATAAAACCCCTAGCTTGCCCTCAAACCGAAAGATAGAATAATAATTAGTAAACAGTATAAATAATAGGCAGTATTTAAAATATCCGTGTTTTACCAACAATATTTCACTTTATCCATTCACGCATTTTTTTCCAGTACTTTAAATTTTAAAAATTTACAAAAGAGTTTCATAACTAAAACCATTGCGCACCTAATGAACGTGATGACGCGTCTATAATAGTGCTGAATAGTTAATTAAAAATTATAAGTAATAAACAGTAGGGCCTACATTCAGTGAATAAAATAAATAAAAGATTGCCTTTTATCAATCCATGCTAATTATAATTTTCTAACAATAATTTCCTCTTACACATCCGAATAATTTGCATTCACATTTTGCTAATTATATTATTGCAACACTAATTCCTTCTATGACGAACGTATATTTGCATTTTTTATTAGCGTGAGTTTAATGTATTTTTAAATTACCTCCTTTGTCAAAATTAGAAAAAAAGAGTTAAATTAATTTGATTTTTCTACCGTACTGTTATTATGTTATTAAAATGTATCCACTTTTTCTAGGAATATTAACGAAAACTATATTTGACATTGATCCTTTGAATATGTTTTAGCATTGTGCGTGTATTTAATATTCTCTTTACGTTATGCACAATTGTACAAACAGTGGAAATTATAAAATAGCTCTATGCCGCTATATAAACAAACCCTACTCTATTACTTATAATAAGACACTGCGGTGCACTGAAAGCACAGCATGGTGCGAATGTTTACTTTTATGGTTCCAAAATCTATAGCGATGACGGAAGGAAGGAAGGAAGGAAGGAAGGAAGGAAGGAAGGAAGGAAGGAAGGAAGGAAGGAAGGAAGGAAGGAAGGAAGGAAGGAAGGAAGGAAGGAAGGAAGGAAGGAAGGAAGGAAGGAAGGAAGGAAGGAAGGAAGGAAGGAAGGAAGGAAGGAAGGACTGACACACTACCAGCAGCGTTATATTATAGATTCTTTTTTTTCGTTCTTAATTGTTATGTTGGAAAGGGTTTCCCCCAACACAAGTATTACATGCTTTCTTTTTACTTTCTCGTATATAGAGAAAGTATTGTAATCGTGCAAAAAAAAAAATCGAGATTTTTACAAATCTCGACGTTTTACACCTCACTGATACGGAAAAACATAATTTTGCAATCTTGTCCGTATGTCTGTGTGTGTGTGTGTGTGTGTGTGTGTGTGTGTCTGTGTGTCCGTGTGTAAACACGATAACTTGAGTACCGTTACTGCTAGGTTGATGAAATTTCATATATAAGTATTTTATCAAAATCGTAGATCCGTATCAACTTTTGAGCGATTTCCGATAACCGGAAGTGGTACTTTTTCTACTTTGAATTTTTCAAAAGCCTATAACTTGAGTACTATTTCAGATAGATAAATGAAATTTCACATGTAAGGAAAAGATCTAATTCTCTACCTTTTGTTAAATTTTGAGTAATTTCCGTTGACCGGAAGTAGTAATTTACGCTACTTCCGATTTCTCAAAAAACTAATGTAAATTTTAAAAGTACTAATAATATTGCGCACTATTTTGCGCTTTTTTATTTCGCGTTCACTTGGTGTGCAATTAATTTGTCTACGAGATTTTATTCTATTTTTAAAACTTTAAGTATTTAAAATGGATTAAAAATCATGTCTATAGCCCGAGTTCCCATCCCCTGTTATTTTATATAAAAATATTCGAGAAAGTTTAGGGGAGATCACTCCCGGTTTTTTGGATTTGCTTCCATAGCTTTCATTCAGCAGTTTGATTATCGCGTTTTAGAACTTGGGACTTTTCGGTTTAGCAACCATAAGCTTTACCGACCCGACCACGCCACCCAAGAATTTATATCATAAACTTAGATATTATTAAACGATAAAAAATAATCACTACTTTAAAAAAAAATTATTAAAAAAAGATTATTTTAACAAATTTTAAGATTGGTTTTTAATGCTTTACCGTACAACTAGCTAGCTAAAAAAAAAAAGAATTCCCAGTGTATCTTTCTGAAGTTTCGATCGAAACCAGCCAAAAGTACAATGTTGTTTCGTTACTAAAAATCTATAATTTTAAAAGCGGCATAAAAAGAAGTAAGATTTTAATCGATTGTGTAGAGAATCGAAGCGGAATGTTACCATGCTGTCCGCGTTTTAGTGACGTTTCATCGTATTGATAGTGATTCCTTTTGGAATATTTTCACTCCATTGACCTTGGCCCAAAGGTCACGTTTGCTTTAGCTCTCTATTACCTAAATGATGATCACGTGATCATAGCCATACATTCACGTTGCACCTAAATGATGTTCACGTGATTATGGTCATACATTCACGTTGCACCTAAATAATGTTTACGTGATTGTGACCACACATTCACGTTTCACCTAAATAATGTTCACGTGATTGTGGCCACACATTATTGCCATACACTGACGTTGAAACTAAACAATGTTCTCATCTAATTGAACACATCAAGCTGTGAGAAACAATCCTAGAACAACATAAGGGAAGCTTTTTCTGATAAATTGTGGCGATTAATTTTTTCCCCACAAAACACTCAGACGCTTAAGGCTCTCATAGAAAGAGATCATTGATTTTCCTAGAGGATCCTTCTAATATCTTAAAGGGGGGGGGGGGGGGGAATGGAGTAAAAATAAATGATAGTGTAATTTCAAACAATTTACAACAGTGTATGAAGGGGAACGATACTACACACCATTATAGGCTATTGCTCAGTATCAATGTACACACTAAACTATTAAAATGTGTACTCGTCACACGTCAATTACAAAAACTGTCATGCCCTAATTCAATGAAAATGTTTGTCCAAAAAAAAATTAGTGATAAAAAACGTGTGATTGGAAGTGGATAATAAATTCCATTGGAACCAAAATCCACATGCTGTAGTGTGCGTTAGGGTGTGGGGCCTAAGAGAAGCGAATTCTTCCATGTATCAAGCTAGTGAGGTCGGATTTATGTGACGATATGTCCCCCTTTTCGTCGTCACCTCCCCCCCCCCCCCCCCCCCGAAATAGGAACAATATTTTATTTCATATAGAAAATAAATACTTTAAACAGTGTCCAACACTACCTCCTATAATATAAGTGCCCTCATCCTCCCGAAAGTTTCAATATTAAATAGTAAAAAGCAGTGTTTATGGCAAAATCATCAAGCTATAGTTATAGCTCTTTGTTAAAGGGAAGCAACTCAATATGTTAAAAATAAATAATTTTTGTATTTGTATATTTTGTTTTATTAATAATTTATAAGTGGCTTTTGTTTTAAAATATAAAAATCTCTAGGTTAAATGTTATTTAGGATTAAAAGGAAATTAACTTTATTTTCAGGAAAGCCTTTTTGTTTCAATAATAATTTTCAAGTAATAACAGTTTATAACAAAACAAAAACCTATGAACATATTATTTTCCAGGATTACATAAGGAAATAAAGATAGAGAAAAGACCTGAGCCACCAGCTTGTCTTCTCCAACTGAAGGACCTGATGCCAGTAACCAGCAGGCCTGTCGGTGCCCATGGGCCTCACACCAAACTGTTACATTACCACTTAGTTTTGTTGAATATTCGTCTGTGACACTTTGGTTTTCCATTCAATTCTTGTCTCAAAGTATTAAAGTCATGGAGCTTCAATGTTATATTATTTGATGAGTTATTGTCATGTGCTGCTTCTCATTATTTCCCCCCCTGCCCATGTAAATATTTGTGGATGTTGTTCCAAGACTAATGTTAGTTCCAGATGGGTTTATTTATTGAGGGGTAGATGAATGCAGGATGTGCCCACCTGCCTGTCTAGATTTCTTCACCTGGAAATATTAATTTATACATATATTTAATTAAAACCTTAAACATTGTGGTAAGAGTTAATGTTCTATTTAATTCAGTTATTATTGTATCGGAAATTACCTAAACATTAAAGAGTTATACCTATGTTTCAGTTCCTGTGAATTTTTTTTTTAATTTTAAATAAATTTTTATCTAAATACTGTAATCTAAAACAATTAAACAGATAAAGTATATTGAAAATAAACTGACGCATAACAAGTGACTTGTTTTATAAATCATTTGTTGAGAAGATGTATCAGATCTCCCAATGCCTTTGGTGATGTTAAATCTGCTGTTTGTGACTGAAAACCTGACAAGGACTACAAAAAGTTACTTTTATTCAATAAATATTTATTTTTAAAGCCAGCCTTAATGTTATTTTCATTTATGTAGCCTTAAAGACTTGTTTTTACCATGCAGTAGGTAATTTCTTTGGAATTTAACCTTTTTTGTTTTATTATAGTATCCTTTTTTATAAAATAATTCTATTTGAGATGTTTTGACTTTAGCTGATAAAATAAAAGCCAAAACAATTGTTTCAATTATAATTTCCTGACAATTAAATTACAGTCAAACACTTAGTATCATTAATAATCTTGACGAAAGATATTATTAGGGATAATTATCTACACAAAAGCTTTGGTAGTGTACAATTCCTTTTAATTCCTAATATTCTTCTATATATAATTACCCTATTAACTTTTGCTAAAAATTAGTGGTTAAATGTCTAAAAAATGCAAAGTATATATTTAAAAATTAAGATAATATGATGTATCGCAATGACATTGACACTTAAGTCTTCTTTTCTTGTTGTCAATTCAATAATTGTATTAAGTGCAATTGTAATCAAGCTTTCAACTTACTTCGAGGTTTAAACATTTTTACTCTGTCTAGCCTTAAGACATATTTTTAGCTGAGGGTTCTGTCAACACAATACTGAAGTTATATTCCTAAAATCTTAAAACTGAAGTTATTTTTCTAAAATCTTCAGAATTATAAACATGCTTTATGAAAAAAACACTCAACATCTGTTTAAGTTTACAATCATTAAAATATTTATTTGAAACATTTTAGTCTATTTTTATATATGTGTAGGACTAGCAGTGGTGTTCTTAAAAAAAAGAAAGCTTACATTTGTAATAACAAATAAACACAAACAAGATAACAAAAATGCCATCATTATAATTATATGGGTAATGTCTTACCTAATGGGAGGTAATAAATGCTTTTAAAAATCATAGTAATGTTCATTCCTACAATCCTATGCTATATGCTCAATTGGCCTTTTTTTTTACTAAGTTATAACATTCATTCCTACAGTCTTATGCTAAATACTAATTAGGCCTTTTTAACAGCAATAACATCGTTACATAGTTATAATTGCAAACAGTTTAATTTAAAAATATGTATAAAGAAAAAAAATGAAAGTAACAAAATCTTTTTAAAGCTCTGGTAAACAAACTCAACATGTTTATCAAATATCAAAATAATTATGAATACAAGAGTGAAAAATGTTCCAGTCTGTTAAAAAAAACTTATAAAAATAAAAAAAATATACATTTAAAAAAAAAAATGTTAACATGTTATCATTAACAGAAAAAAATTAATAAAACAAAAGAGTAAAAATTTAATATGTAAGTTCAAAAACTACAACTAAGTAGATTAATTAGTATCAAATTCTTAACTATCATGTATATGAATTATTTTGCTGTTTTTTAATAATGAAGGTTCTTTTAGATGCATATGAAACCAATTTAATAATATTATATTATACAATATAACTACACAATAAAGAAAAAATATGTTGCTCATAATATAGTTATACAGTGAATGAAAAAATCTAACAAGCTACTTAAATATAATGTGGGAAAAGTCTAAGCTAATAAAATAGTATGGAAAAAAATCTAACAAGCTAAAATAGGATGTAGTAATATAGCTACTTAACAATGAGTTAAGATAGTTTTCAATTTATAACTAGTGAAAAGTAAATTAGCAATGATGATTTATTATTGTAATAAACTAAATTGAGATTCTGTTGGAATCTTCAAATATAAAGAACACTTACAGTGGCTTGATTGTGAAAACCTTCAGCAGCTTAAAAAGTTTAACCTGATATTGTTTGAAATACCCATCCACCATACTAGTAAATTATATTTTTTAAGTTGTGATTTAGGACAAAAATATAACAAACTAGCTTGCCTTCTGAACCAACATGCTTAATATTATAAAGCCAAATAAAGAACTATTGGACAGTGGTCACTTCCCATAACTGTCTTACGAATTACACTGTCACAAAGGTTGGGTTTTAGCTTTTCAGAGATGACAAAGTAGTCCAAACGCCTGAAAAATTAACAAGACAAGAATTTCATTACTAATTGTATGGTAGTTTAATGTTAAATTTTCACTATGCATTATTCTTACATTTTAAATCATATTAATCATGGAGCAAAGTTTTAAAGAGTGGGATAAACAGTTACCACTGAAACAGATAAATAGCAATGGATTTATAACTTACCATCCAGCATTCTTGGCTCTAGCATTCATCATATACGTCCAGAACGTAAAGGCTTCTTTTTCATCTGGATGCAAGTAACGGAAGGAGTCAATGAACCCTTCATTCAAAGTGGCAGTAAAACTGTCTCTCTCCTCTTCTGTGAAGCCAGCGTTTCTTAAGTTGCCTTTTGGATTTTTTATATCTGTCAGTGGATAAAAATGGTATGACAAAACTCATTCTCCTAGAGCCATTATATATACAAGGTTTTGTAAGGATTATAATTAGCCATGCATCACAAAAATGTACTAGTAAAGTGGGGCTAAAACTAAAATTTATGAAAGTGTTATTTATCAGTTTTTAATAGATAGTAGACAAAGAGTACGTACCAGCTTCTTTATGTGCAACATTCAAGTCCCCACACCAGACTACAGGTTTTTTGTCAGCCAAGGATTTCAAGTATTTTCTGAAGTCTACATCCCATTCCTTTGTTCTATAATCCAGCCTTACTAAACCTCTGCTTGAATTAGGTATATCTATAATATGATACATTAACCATAAGAATGAATGTTACTACCATATACCTCAACAATACAATTTCTCGACCAGTTCTGATTAATTCATTGTATGTTTTTTTTCAATAGATTATGTTAATAATTTTATTCATACCACATTAAACTTACATGTATTAACAAGGTAAAATTTCTCAAACTCAGCTGTGATCACTCTTCCCTCTTTGTCATGTTTTTCAATACCTGAAGTCAGTATATGGTTACATCATCAAATACAAACGAATTTCTACACATAAAGTTTTATATCAATAAGGAGTTTTTATTAAAACCCATAAAATAACACATATATTAAAAATATAATGTCATTAACTTGTGAATTAACTTTAAAAATCTAATAGACATGTATCTTAAATAATAGTGATATAAATATCTCACCAAGTCCTTCTGTAACTTTAATAGGCTTGGTCTTAAAATACATGCCGACTCCTGAATAGCCCTCTTTATCACCAGAGAGCCAATGGTTTGTATAGCCCTCTAGTTTAGCTTCATCTGGTATTTTAGATACGTCACATTTCATTTCTTGAACACATAAAACATCAGGTTTTTCAGCTTTGATGTACTCCAAGCCATCTTTCTAATTCATTTGAAAATAAAGATTGCATCAATTTTATTCATTTACATAGATTGCATAAAACCTTTTATTATTAAAAATACTATATAGTTATCTAATTTAACCGATATTAGTTTTAAAATCAACTTTTATCCAACTTAGTATTGATAATTTTCATAAGTTTAATTTATTTAAAGTATAACTGACAAGCTCACCTCTAGCCACGCTCTGATTCCGTTAATATTCCACGAAGCAATCTTAAAGTTTGCTTCTTTCCCATTTGGAGCTTTAGCTTTAGTTGAAAAATCAACACCCTCTAGAGAATCAATAATTGAATTTTTGGCTTTCTTCTTTGGCTCACCTTCCTCATCAGCGTCTGACTTTCTCTTTTTACCCCAACCCCATCCTCGTCCACCTGTTTTTTTCTGGATGGATAGTTGTAAGAGAAGATGTGGTTAAAAACACACAATCTAAAAAGACAAAAATTTTAAATGTCTATGACTATCTAAATAGACAAGCTCTGTCATTTTAAAATGGGTGAATTTGGCTTAGTTTTCCATCGAGATTTTAGAGAAAGTAAAATGATTTGATATTTACTATCAGTTGTTATTGATGTTCAAAAAATACATTCACATTTTAAAACTAATTAGATTATTGTTGGCATACCTCTGTTTTCTCTTCTTTATCTTTCTTTTCAGCTTCTGTTGATTCATTATCATCTGCTTCCTGAGAAAAGCATTTGTAAAAATTAAAGTTGAATTTATACAAGTTTAAGCACATGCATTAAAATTTGTTAGGGATGGTGCAGTCCAAAGGTAGAGTGCTTGACTGTCTCTAGTTCAGATCCCGGCTTTGAGTCTGTACAATGTCCATGAGTCCACCCAACTCTGATGGGTATCTGACTCATGTTAGGGAAAGTAAAGGGCACAGTGCTGACCACACTATCCCTTCATATGTCGTCGTCACTGAAGAGATGAACTCTAAATCACAAAGGACCGCAAAGTTCAAAAGGGTACTTTACTTGTTAAACTTTGCTGTTTTCTAGAATTATGACTAAACACAGCAGTATAACAAATTTCAAAGTTTATTTTTTTACAAAAAAAGATGAAGAAATCATTAAAATGAATGCTTAAAAGATTACCTCTTCCTTTTCATCATCTTTAGACTTCACTTCTTTTTGTACCTCTTTGGTATTACCTTTAGTTTTGTTTGTTTCAGCTTTTGCTGCTTGTTTTTTCTGTAACAAAGTTATACTTGCAAATTCAATACAAAAGCAATCATTATGAAAAGAAATGTAAAGTAAAACAAAACGCATTTGAAAGGTAAATATAAAACAACTAAAGCTAATGAACTAATATTACTTGATTCTGATTAAAGATGGTCTTACCCCTTTAGGTGGCATTGTAAAAAGAAAGTTTTCATACACCTGCAACAATAAAAAAAAATTAAAAAATAATCATGACTAGTAACCTAATAACAAAGTAAATTAAGATTTCACTAACTTTCAGTTTCAGACTTGATACAAAATGAGTTTACCTGGAAACTACTGACTATTGGGTTAGTAAAGAAATGCTACCTATCGTGCCCAATGATTAAATTACTTTGAAAATGAATGGCTGAAATTCATTAGTTGAAAAAGTTTTCTTCTCTAAGGCAATATTAATTCTAAACATTGAAACAAATGGGGCTTATATTATAACTTATCTATTTAGAGACTATTTACATTAAGCCTATACGTTATATGATTTGCTATCAGATTTTGTCAGTGCAGACGATAGACTTAGTTTCAGCTGACGATGACAGTTCAAATATGACAGCGCAACATAGTAAAAGAGTGCCAGATAATATGTATCGGTATCGTGAGATTTCTATATCATTTAACCCTTGACGTCATGCCACACAAATGAAATGTGTTAATCCTGTATTACATGCAATGATGAACATACTTTTTATTTTCTATAATCACGTCCCAGAGGACGACTTGTGACTTTTGTGATAATAAGTAAGTTGTGTAACATTTTCTTAACATTTTACCCCACATCATCCTAGCTAGATCTATGTTGATCAAAAAATTAAGGGTTATTATAACTTATTAAGAAGGGTTTGGTGAATGCACATTTAGAATCTAATCCTGAAGCTGGTGGGGGTTCTGTAGCTCCAAAAAGGTTAAGAACCACTAGATCTAGATTTTAGTGACTAAAGCTAGATCTAGATCTAGATCAATACTCAACAGAACTTGGTCTAAGTCTTAAGTGCAGTCAATGATATTTAATATTTTTTAAAAGGATTGCGAAATCGTATTTAGTACTTAGGGCCTATAGACTATGACCTATGTCTAGATTAGTCTAGATCTAGATCTGGTATTCAATCTTATATTTAATTTATTTTGTAGATCTAAATCTAGACTCTAGATACCGGCTCCGCTATCTGACAATGGATTCGTTTGGCCAATGGTCGGCGTTGTAGGTTGAGGATCTAGCTAGATAGTAGATAGAGTCTAGGGCCTAATCAATCTGAATCTAGATCTCTAGATCTAGATCTAAATCTTGACTAGAGGTCTAAATGTCACTAAATGACTACTAGAAATCTAGATTAGGCCTATCTAATATTCTTTTTTACTTTTACCGCTAAAATGCTACGTCACGGCTACGAAACTACACCTAGATCTAGATCTATCTAGATCTAGAATCTAGATCTAATCTAGATTCTAGATCTAGATCTTAGATCTAGATTCTAGAGATCTATTTTATTATTTAGATTATTTTATTTAAATTTCAGATTGTTCACAATATTTATCGCCCTTTTCGGCTAGATTAATTAAATTTGTCATCCCGAAATTCCAGATAAACATTCTAGATTATGTAATAGAATCTAGCATTTTCTCAAATTTTAAATAGAATCTGGAATTACCTTTTTCAAAAGACTGAAATTGGTACGATTTATGAAGCCTTTATTTTCAAAGAAAACGCAAAGCTGTGCACCAGATGTCAAAGTAGATTTTGGTTTAAACCTCGCCCTTGTTTGTATTGCAGATGTTACTAGTAAAAGCGCCAATCGTAGGCGGGTCATTATGACATATATGAGGATTTATCTCCCTTGTCAGTATCGATATTTTGAATATTTTATTTATATTATTTTTCTCACGTTTGGTTTTATTTGTTTGATGAAATATAGGAAAATTTGTGAAAATACCAAAGGCTAGGCCTTTGTTCTATGTAGTGAACTGGGATACGAATAGATCTAGACATATCTGTAGAATGAACATCGTTTCTTCCAGACTTTTTTTCTCGGGGGGGGGGGGGGGGGGGGGGCACTTGAAATTTTTTGAGGTGCGGTAGAGATGCATGCCTGGAAGGAACTCTGAGAATGAAGTCGACCAATTTTCTTTTGTTAAACAAATCACCTCTTACTGTATTTATTATTTTTCATTAAATAGTTTTGTTGAAATTTATATTTTGCTAGAATGCTTGCATATTTTCTCCTAAATAATCTGATTCCCTTTAATTCATTTTTGTAGTTGTAGGAAGAATTAGCAGATTTATGTATGTGAAGTGGTGGTTTTAACTATGTTACATTACAATTTATGGGAGAGGGGACTAGTCCAACATGTCACAATCTTCTGTCTAGCCTAAATGTTTTAATGGTAAATAAACTAATCAGATTCTCTGTATTAGCTGTCAAACCAAAAAGTAGACTTTTAATGCTCAGTTAGATATATTATGATTTTGAAACCTGTTACTGACATTATTTTTCACATAACTGAGTTTCTGACAGTGGTATAGGCCTATCTACTGAGCTATTCAAGACTACAGTGTTATTGCCAAAGATCAGTCTATAAGCTTTTTAATCATTACCAGCCTACCCAAATGTATGTTATTTATTCATCCTTACAAAGTTGTAACATTGATATAGATAATAGATATGTTTCTAATTTATTTTAAAGAAAAAACAACAAAATTAAGTGATCAATTTTTTAAATAATTTAATTCAAAATAAATAATAATGTAAAATAACTATAAAAAACTATAGTTTTTTTTAAACAAAACTAAAAGTTATGAGCATACTGTTAAAATGGGATGTAAAAGAAATATCACAGTATAATTTCTATCAAACAAATACCCATCTTTCAAAGTTCAAACCAAAAAAAAAAAAAAATGTGTCAAAAATTATTTTAAAACTTCAATCAAGTAAATAACAAAAAGACAGAAGTGTCTTTAAAAACCTCCAGAAAGCAATATACATCTATTGTAAGTTCCTTAATGGGTTTGCAACAGTATTAATAACAAGAAATAAATGAAGAAAAAAATGCATGTTGCTTATATTTATAAATTTCATTAGCTTTTAATATTATTGTAATTTTTGATTGACTGATTTTGTGTTAACATCTATATTCTTATTACTTTAAAACATTGATTCTGTTTTGATTTGAAAACATAAAGTCTTAATGGAATGGGATTGTACAATAATATAAAAATCAAACTAAAATTGACACATTGTGCAAATACTATTTAAAAAGTGTAATACAAAACTTATTTGTAAGTGAATTGATATCATCAAAAGTATCAACAAATGATTATCTTGTATTAAAAATGTGTTAGCTTAATATAATAATTTAATCTTTTAAAAAACTTTTTAAAAAAAATTGTATTAAAGAAAAGTTGTTCCTGCTCTAGTGAAAAATGTTTAAGTAAAAACAAAACCATTAAATATAAACAAAAAATATTGGTCATGAAGATTTTATCTTTAATAAGATTTATCTATCATAGAAAGAGAATGTTATAACAAAACAAGTGAATTAATAACAGTTAAATACATACACTAAAATAAATACATATACCTAAGCTGAAATAATTGTGCCACATACTTATTAAGCCAGTCAACTGCTTTATAATACTTAAAAATAAGAACTGCAGTAATCAATAATGATACATTATCAGGTAAATAGTTAAAATTAAGTACAGCACCACAGTGTAGATTCATAACCTAGACAAACTATTACACCTAAAACATTAAAGTAAAGGGATAATTTTTCCCTTTGCTCCATCTGATAATTTCTTCTGTAAGTCAATTTCATTGATCAAACACCACTTATAATTTGAGGATGTCACTGACGGGGGTTCAATTCCATCTGATAAATCAAGACTGACCAATGATGTAATGCAAATCCCATCTTCTTGCTCTCCAGTACCACGATGCTCAACGCCTAATATTCCACACATCCTTATAGACGCAGAGCTTGGATTTTTTGTAAATGCATCCTATATTTTGTAAAAAAAAAATATCACAATTAAAGTGTGATAATTTTAAGTAATATTTTTTTTATAATACTTTATAAAAAATGGTTACATTTTAAAATGTTTATGCTAAGGATGCTAGTTCATATTCAATAATTTATTAAACTTCTTATTAGTATTCTATTAGTGCACAATATAGTAACTATAGATACAAAAGTACTAAAATTAAATCCATTTAAAAAATTCTACTAATAATCATTCCAAGTTTTAAAAACTTTTATGCTTAAACATATCAATTACAGATACTTTATGGCAGTACTAGAGTCATGATTATTTCCCTTCTTAATTAGTATACTTACTCTTATGATTGCATAGACAGATAAAGCTATAGATGCTTCTCTACCATGGTTTATTAGAGCTGTTGGAATATGTGGACCATTTTTTAGGTTTACTAAAACATGCATTTTTGTTTTTTCACTGCAAAAAAGAGAACACTATATTTCTAAAACAGACATACTAACCACAAGTTATTAAAAATTATTGGCATTATTTTGATTAAGGTAAAGTTTGAAATAATAATGAAAAAATGTACCAAGCAAGGTGATATAGGATTATTTTACTAACCTATTATTAGAATGATCAATTATTATAACTCTGTGTATTAGATGTTTGTGTGGGACAATGGCTGGTAAAGTGTGTAGACTGTTGCCAGATAAATCTGTTGCCCAGAACTTCCTTCCCAGTTCAATAAGCCTGTAGATGTCATTGTGTCTGTAAATTTTTGAAAAATGTATTTAACAAAGAGGAAAAAATAGAAATATTATTGCGTAATGTATCCACAAACATTAATGTTAAAAGCAAAATTTAAAAAGGTTTACAATTTTATTTTAAAAATCATGTATATTTGTAGCTGGTTTTATACAATCATAAACTTCTAAAACTACATTTCAAAGAAGTTTTTACTAAGACACTCTTTCCGTGAGATCTTTTCTTTAACTGTATGTACATTTTATCACAAAAATAATCTTTTTCATAGCAACCACATTAGGAATTCTGCTGGTTTTCAAGTTTGGCAGACAAATGTTAACTAGCATATTAAGGATACTTTTATTTTTTTTAAATTTGAATTTATTTTAGAGTGGTCCATAAATCCATTATATTTATTTTTGTTTTATTTAATTAGGGTAATTTTAAAATGGTTTGTACTTGTGGCTGTTGTCCAAATTATCTATTCATGTTACATTACAGTTTGAATTTCATCTCCTCTGTTACAATAATGTACCTGATAATAATATAAAATCAACTTACCTAATATTAGTGCTAGAAGCCAGTAGTTCTTCTTTGCTAAAATATTTAGCTTGCATTGACTCTTCATCCTGCTCTTTCAATGTTTTTAATTTTCCCCCTTAAATTAAAACACCAAAATCTAAAGTCAGAAATAATAAAAATAATACATTTAAGTTAAGTTTTAAAACATAAAAAAAGTAACAGAATACTGTAAATATAAAAAAGTATATGACTGGATCAGTTAATGAAATCACATTTACAAACATCCTAATCATGGCAAGAATAAACCAACATAAGTTTAATTATGTCCCTTACCAGTTACTTTGCCTGTAAATGTGAACCTCATCCAAGTATGGCTTAATATTTCAACACCAATCAGTGCTTTTAACTCACACTCCAGACCTGCTTCTTCCTTAACTTCCCTCTTTGTACCATCCTATTAAAATTAGAAAGGAATTTTTTGTTTTAAATACAGCACTATTTTCGAACATTTATTTTTAAACAAATCCTAATAACATAAAATTTTAGTGTGTACAAGAAGCAAAACTTCAATATAGATATAGTAACATTAGTATATCATTTATGATTATATATATATATCAATAAGTAGACTTTCCTATGCATATATTGGTAGTAAAAAATTTTAACAGGTTCATGCTAATAATATTTAAATTAGTGTATATCTTCAGATATCTAATGAATTAAATGTATAAGTCTCTCACAATGAGTGTTTCTCCTGGTTCTAGTCGCCCAGCTGGCAAGTACCATGTTCCCCTACATGATACTTTGGCTTCTTGAATAAGCAAGACATCACCATTGTCATCGAAGAGTATAGCCGCACATATATAACACATATTGTATTTGGTTTTTGGTACAAACTTGGCTGTGGAATAGAACACTTTTATAAAATCTTTTTAAAATTAATACTAATTATAACTTAATTTTAGCCTTCACTGTAAAAAATAATAGATAATTTTTATTATTCTGCATTAAAATTTTCTCAATTATTTTATACCATTAATTAATTCTCAATTCTAAGTCTATCGAATTTTTGCAGCAAAAAGTCTTCATACTTATGTCTGCTTCAGTCAAAACATCAATATCTTTATGCAGCAAAGTTGGATCTCCATGTAGTATAGAACTAATGTCACTCTCTATCCCCATATTGACTTCTCCCTGTAAAAAAAAACATTTTAATGACAATAGGTAAACATTTTAAATCAAGTAAATTAAGCAGTCATTTTATGATTATAAGTAGGCCTAAGTAGTATAAGCCAGGTGAACAATCATTTCATGTATAAATAAGACGAAGCACTATGTCAGTGGGTCTTACTCTTAACCTGGGTAAAGCCCAGGGGTTTGGTGAGTAAGTTTCAGGTGTTTGGCTGAGATCAAGACCCATGCGATTCATATGGTTTATGAGCGGAATTTGTAGGTGCTGATGATAGAACTATTAAGATGGGTGAATGTGCATTTGAAACTGGTGAAGTTCGGGAACACCAAAAAGTAAAAAGCTTAAGAACCTTTGTCCTTTAGTGTTTATAATAAAATATGCTCGACTGGAGGTAGATGTGAAGAGGGGAATAAAATACGCTAAAATGGAGTTTTACCCAACACATTGATTTTGATTGAATTGGAATCAATCAATGACTTCAATAAATGAATGAATATGATAATTATGATTAATTGTCTTAATTGATTATGAATGACTGAATTCAGAATTATGAATGAGCATCAAAATAAATATTAGAATCTAGATCTAAATATTACTAAATAAACATTTCGGTTAGGCTAAATGGCTAACTAATTGGTAATCTATCGTTTTGGGTACGTAAAATCGCCCGCGGCTATTAATGTACGAAAACGTTACCTCATTGTCAAGGCTGTAATAGAAGTATATTGTGATGTGTTTGTGTTAAATATTATAGATAAATGAATAATACACCTAAATCAATAGCTAAACATATCAATATAGGCCAGAAATTAACTTTAAACAGCAGTGTCTGCAAGCAAGATTTGCTATATAAACAGCAGCCATTTGTAAAATAGAGTGACTTCCGCCTGAATCTCGTGCTATATGTCTATAAAAATAAAACTTTAACAAGATGGCTGCTATAGTAAATGAGCATGGTTGCATCTGTTGGAAACATCGCTGGTGTTCATTTATTACTGAAAAGTTTTATTTAATTCAATTGTTTAAAAACAGGTACATAAATGAAACAAGGAAACATTTTTGTATTTTTCAAAACATAATTCCTCCTCAAAATGTGAAATAATTATTAAAATGTAAAGGAGTCACCTGTTTTTCACATTACTACTCGCGGGCGATTTTACGTACCTAAAACGATAGATTACTAGATCTACCAACTAATTTAACTTTTAAATATAAAACTAATTTAAAATTTAAAAATTTTGCTTTTTTTACTTTCTCGTATATACGAAGTATAGAGAAAGTCTTGTAATCGTGCAAAAAAAAAAAATCGAGATTTTTGCAAATCTCGACGTTTTACATCTCACTGATACGGAAAAACATAATTTTGCAATCTTGTCCGTATGTCTGTGTGTCCGTGTGTGTGTGTGTCCGTGTGTAAACACGATAACTTGAGTACCGTTACAGCTAGGTTGATGAAATTTCATAGACAAGTATTATATCAAAATCGTAGATCCGTATCAACTTTTGAGCGATTTCGGATAACCGGAAGTGGTACTTTTTCTACTTTGAATTTTTCAAAAGCCTATAACTTGAGTACTATTTCAGATAGATAAATTAAATTTCACATGTAAGTAAAAGATCTAATTCTCTACCTTCTGTTAAATTTTGAGTAATTTCCGTTGACCGGAAGTAGTACTTTACGCTACTTCCGATTTCTCAAAAAACTAATGTAAATTTATAAAGTACTAATCTAATACTATTGCGCACTATTATACACACCTTTATTAGGCGTTCGCTTGGTGCGCAATTGTTTTTTACTGAGATTCTATTCTATTTTTAAAAGTTTTAGTATTTAAAATGGATTAAAGATCATAACTATATCCCCAGTTACCATCCCCTGTTGTTTTATATAAGAATATTCGAGAAAGTTTAGGGGAGATCACTACCGGTTTATTTATTTTCGGGTCTTAACAATAAAATAATAAAATAAATTAAAATCACCAAAATGTCATAGAATCTAGGGTACTAGATCTAGAGTCTAGATCTAAAATCTAAATGGTTAAGAGCTTAAGAAGTAGATCTAGATCTAGATCTAGATTCTAGAATCTAGTAAGTAGATCTACAAACTCTTTCATACAGTTTGATAATCTGAGCTGCTATCCAACCCTGGTGAAACTAATTACCGCATTCTAATGGACAAACAAAACAAAAAAGCTTTACAAAAAATTTTAACAGGTTAAAGATTAATATTAGTAATAATTTATAAGGAGCCGCCCATAAACGACGCTTAAAAAAAACTGTTACCCCCCTACTCCCACATACTGTTACAAAAGTCCGAACCACCATTGAAGCGTGACGTCGTTTATGAAAGACTCCTAAAATATTTTTTTTTCAGTTCGGCCGTTAGGCCTGAACTGTTACCTTTTTAACTGCATTAAAACATAAAACTGCATCCTGTTTAAAATCGTGATTTTACCAAAAGTTTTTGCTTGATAATTCGAAAGTGATTTTAAAATAGTTCTATGGGTCTACATAAGTAGGCCAACATACATAACATATTCTTCTTGGGAACAGTTGATTACATTAATTACAATTTAGAAACTACTTTTCAAAATATTATAATTTTAAAAAGCGAAATTATAGTTTAAAATAGGGCTTATTACTTTTCCAAATGCAGAATTGTAAACCCGCCCTCAACATAACAGTCCGACACCCCCCCCCCCCCCACCCCGCCTGTAAAAAATGTAATGTAGACGTAGTTTATCAAAATATACAATACAGGAAAGCCACATTGGACAGTGATATGTGATTGTGATTCAATTAATTTGACAAGATGTGAACTAGTGGACGGAATATTTGACTCAACGACTGTGCACATTGAGCCAAAACATAGTGCAACCAACGAGGTTATACAAAGACAATCACCGGTATACAAATCAACACATTAGCGCCAGTGTTTCTTCCAAGCATCTATTCGCCCCCCCCCCCCCACCCCCGAACGGGAATTTATAGAGAAAATATATACTTTTAACAGTGTCCGCCGTCCCCCCCCCCCCCCCCCCCCCCCCCCCGCAGAAAAAAAGTCTGGAAGAAACACTGATTAGCGCTAAAATTTAAATGTTGATATGACCATAATCTGTTTGAGTAATTTAGAAAACTTGTAATATGACACAAACGAGTACTCAGATATGTAATAACTTCATCTTTAATAAAATGTCATAAATGGTTCAGAAGTAAAAATTCTTTCATACAGTTTGGTAATCTGAGCTGCTGAACTTTGTCCACGATATGCAAAGTTGATCTGGCTGCAATGATATATTTCCTTATTGCAAGACAAGACTGCATCTTGAGACTCCTCGGGGTGTGTGCCAAAACCTTCAGGATCTCCAGGACAGCGGGGTCAGAAGACAAGAGCTGGATCTTTTCTTTCATGCATTTTTCTATGTCAGCTTTGTCTATACAAGCCCCTGCTTCAATTAACATTTCGAGAATTTTACGATCTGGGCACGATTCGAGTACTGCGGAAACAGGAGTGTGTCCGTTAGTACCTCTGTGTGTTGGATTGGCCCCGTTCAACAGAAGTAGCCTGGCTGTTTCGTAGCTGTTTGATCTGCATGCGAGGGTTAGTGGTGTTGAACCTCGCACCGTCAAAACATCGATCCGTGCGCCTTTTTGCACCAAAAGAGAAGCTATTTTCACATTAGAGTGAAGCGCCGCGACATGCAATGGGAACAGATTTGTTACGTCACATATATTGACGTCGCATGCAGGACTAGTCACTAGAGTTTTCACCATTTGGTAATTGTCAAGGTCGACAGCATGCCACAGCGGAGTGCAACCTCTATCGTCGTAGATGTTCACATCCAGCCCACCTTGCACCAGAAGTCGAATCATATCAACATCAGCTTTAACAATACACGGATACAAGCAAGACAGCTTTAGACGGTTTTGTTTTTTATAAGGTTCCAGCTTTACGTTATAGTTTTCCACATTCGCCACCATCTTCAAATTTGGATCGCACTTTAATTTGACCAGAAATTTAACAATACTGCACTGGCCACTCGTGACTGCTACCTCTAACAAAGTTTTGCCTAAAATCTCACTGTCCGTGAACACATAATTTACACTTAATCCATGTTTGATAAACTTTTCAACGCCCGTTAAGTTACCGGAGCAGATGGCCGTGTAAAGACTTTTCTCGAAAAATGCCATTATTTTAAAAAAAAAACGCCGCTGAACCAGCCGTCGATGTATATATAATATATAGGTCCAGTCGGCATCTGAAAAACAACAGAAATAAAACAAATAAAATAAAAGTTAATAACAGATCTTAGAATAAGACTATTCCAAATTTGCTTTTGCTTTTTTAAACGCCAAAGCAATTTCCATACTTAGTTATTAATTTTTAACAATGATCTTCCAAATAAGGTTTCCGTAAAAAAAAATAAGCAACTGCCACCTTTCGTCAACCGGCACCGATTAGCCTACCTGTTTTGAGCAATGTCAACACCTATAGCCTATAGATATTTACTAATTATGTGTTGATGTTCATTAGCGAGTCGTGCAACTATGAACACTCTCACGACCCAGCAATACACTTGGATGCATGTAAAGCATTATTATTTTGCTGATACCTCATCTTTTTTTCCATATCGGCTACTAATTTATTTAAATATCCTCCATTATTATCACCCCCCCCCCTACCCGCTCATTTCTCGTGACTTAAAATGCTGTCACAATGCGGACATTTTCTATATAAATTCCATTTCGTTCGGGGGTGGGGTGGGGTGGCGGAGATGCCTAGAAGAAACTCTGCTTTTAACACGTTCAAGACATTTGTAACACACCTAAAACACATCATAACACACATCTAGTACGTTTGACACACTGTTTAACAGACTGTAATTTCTCTCAACATACTTTTAACATATCAGTCAACACGCTTGACAATAACACTGTCAAACCACTTCTAAACACGATGGACCGCTCTCTTACCACTCGACGCGAAAAGCTGGACATAATGAGCTAAACTTACAACCTCATGAAACTCCCCCGTCCACCCTTCATTGAGTGGGTCATGTCAGATATGAAATGGTGTTGACTGAAGATAAGTGCCCCATCAACTTGTATGGCTAATCATTTTGCACGTTACAGTGTACACAGCAAGTGTATTGCAGCTTATTATTAACAATAGTGTAAACAATATCTTTGTTGTTCGAGGTGGGTCACGAGACATTAGAAAGTGAAAGTAGTTATTTCTTGTAGCACAAATCGCATAAGAAACTCGAAGTGTCAACAGTTTTAGGTTCCTTTGGCACAAATCCCAACTGAAACATGGAATGTTACTAAGTACTTGTGGTACACATTATAGTAAAAACGAAGTGTTACTAAATTTGGCACAAGTCAAGACATGCAGGTGTCCTTGGTGAAATACTAACAGTTTTTTTAAATTTCCTGAACAATTATTATTTGACGTTTTTTGAAGTAAATTCGTTGTTAGTGGCAACAGCAGCATAGTTTACACTTACACAATCTAACACAATCTAACTTACACGACATTTCCTTTACTGAAGAGTTACCTATCATAGGTTCATTCAACAATGTTGACCTGATAAAGAAATTGATTTTTCTAAAAAAAAAAATGTATCGATCTTCATGGTAGTCGATATTGATTGGTTGCCGTTTTGCTTTATCAAGACTTCATAATGCTTTAATATATATATATATATATATATATATATATATATATATATATATATATATATATATATATATATATATATATATATATATATATATATATATATATATATATATATATATATATATATATGACAACAATTATAGCTACATAATGAATACATTGTTATATATAAGTGAAAGAAATATTCTTTATTAACGTTTTTTTTTTTACATTTCTCTTTCACACGCAATCAACTTCCTCTCACTCTCTATCTTTCCAAAGTTCTCCTTCAAATGTAAATCTGTATGTGAACACTTTATGTGAACACTTTCTGTTTGTTCGCGATAAGGAAAAATACATATATGATATTCATATCGATTATATGGGCTAACATATAACGACGATTTTACACATGCATTTTTTTACAAGCAAGATGTTTTTTTTTTTTTCTTAAAAGTCCATTTTTATGAAGCGTATTTGTTTTTGTGAACACATAGAGCAACACACTGATCATGTTACAGGTGACAGCAGTGCTATGTATAGAGAAAATATGCCGTGATCTTGCAGGGAGCCTTGTTGTTGTTACAGTTGTCCACAAACAGTCTAACCCAGTGAACGCTGAAGCCATCGGGGAAGACGATGTGCTGGTAGTTGGTCGTACTTGACATTCCCAGTGTTTGGTAGTTAAGCCAGTCCTCGGATTCTCTGTGGCCTGGTATTTATAGATAACCAAAGAAAAAGTTTCGTAAAAAGTCAGATTTAAAAACAAAACGGAACAAGTTATCGCAGGTATTTTACAGTAGGGATATACCATAGTTCTATATATAGATCAGGGTTTATTTTTCTTGTATTGAAATTTGAATAGCCTATATTTGAGGTGTAGCCTATCTAATACAACAATCTCCAATATTTTATTTAAAAACAAATATTTAAAAACACAACTAGATCTATATTAAGATACGAAACAATTACCAGCAGCTCCCGTGACGTCGACCTGTACGGTAATCTCGATGCTGTCATTGTTGTTGTGCTTGATGACGTGTAGGACTTTCTTGTCGAACCCTGTCATCAGATAGGGGTCAGACACGTCCCCTTGCTCCACGTCATCAACTCTCCACACTGCTCCCCATCCCTGCAGTAATGTTTGGTTTTTGTCATTTTCGTTTTTTTAAAAAGTCCTTTTTGATATTTGATAACTTTTTTTTTAGGGGGGGGGGGGGTGTCCGGTCTTTAATACAGCCATCGTTTTGTATTGAATAGGAAGTGGGAGAAAAGATAGGTGGCGAAATAGGTTTAGATTTTCGTAAAGATAAGCAACCCAGGGTAGGGTTATAAAACGTGAAGTTACTTTTTCTAAATAATTAGATGAAAAACAAGATGTTTTGGATGTGGTGATTTTTAAATGGAAGGATGGACAATTAGGGTCTGGCTGTCTGGCTTTTTATGACAATGTTCACTGTAGCAATATAAGAGGATCGGGGGGTAAAAATGGAATTTAGGACTATACTCGTTTTCGAAAGGTTCAAAAATAGGGGGGGGGGGGGTGAGCACTAAAGTAGCAGTTAGCCTATATTACTGGTATGTAACCAATGAGACAAAACTCACATACTGTAGTAAGTAGCCTATGTTGTTGAAATGAAACTCACAACTTACCAAATGTTGATATAAAACCCTAAGTGAGACGCACAAGTTACCAAATGTTGGTATAAAACCCTAAATGAGACGCACAACTTACCAAATGTTGATATAAAACCATAAATGAAACTCACAACTTACCAAATGTTGGTATTAAACCTTAAATGAAACTCACAACTTACCAAATATTGGTATAAAAACCTAAATGAGACGCACAAGTTACCTAATATTGGTATAAAACCCAAAATGACACACTACATACCTACTGTAGCAAGTAGTCTATGTTGTTGAAATGAAACTCACAACTTACCTAACGATATAAAACCCTAAATGAGACGCACAAGTTACCAAATGTTGGTATAAAACCCTAAATGAGACGCACAACTTACCAAATGTTGGTATAAAACCCTAAATGAGACGCGCAAGTTACCTGTGGTTTACCAAAGCTCCATAGGTCATCTGTTTTCCCAAACCACAGACCAGACTGGGATTGCCCTGTTACCACATTGTTGTCGAAGATTGAAGAGACCTACAGCATTTACCAGAGGAGAAAATTCAGTGAAATCCTATATATTTTTTTTATACTGTGTGCCTGTACTCCACATCACCACATCCCACCTCTATATGGACCACTTCCCACGTCCTTATGGACCAAACTACTACTTCCTAAGTCCATATAGACCACATCACCACTTCCCACGTCCTTATGGACCACATACCACCTCCATATGGTCCTCAGAGGCACATCCCACCTCCACTTGGCCCATATTCCATCTCCATATGGAACACACCACCACATCCTACCTTGGTATGGACCACATTCCACCTCTATATAGACCACACCAACATATCCCACCTCCATACGGATCACATCACCACATCCCACCTCCACGTGTACCACACCACCACATCCACATATGGACCACATAACAACATCCACCGTATGGAAGGTCTATAAACCCTACACACCTTGGAAATGCAACCAAGATCTGCACCTACCTGATTTCCGCCCAGGACCAGAAATCCCTTGAACGATGTGAAGTCTGGTATCACACGGAGGTGTTGACTGATGGGCCGGACCCCCCAGGTGCTGCCATCCCAACCCAGGGGCGACAGCTCGTAGAACATCCCGTGCATGTCCATGAGGTACCTCTCCGTCTCCACCTCTCGGATTCGCGGCCACTCCGTCTGCCACAGGTGGTCAAAAGCGTGAGAAGCTTTGGGCAGTCTGTACGTCTGCCATTGGCGGTATGCTGTGTAATACGTCCACAATATAGGCCTACACATTTTCTTATTAAACATTTTGTAAACCATGCAAGCTGGGCCGTAGATTAGGATTAGTGTTTAGCGTTTTAAATCTTTATCAGAATAACGATACCAACAAATTATGTAAGTTCCTAAACTTTTATCACACGAAAAAAATAAACTGAATTTGTAATCTCAGCGCCAATACATTTTAATAGTTTTGATAAACAAACACATTAAATTTAACATTATTAAAAATGAAATTCGAAATTGATTAATAGTATCTGATCAGTTTCTTCCAGGTATCTCTGTGGGGGAGGGGGGGGGGGGCACCTACCGCCCCGCGAAAGAAATAGAATGTATATAGAAAATATACTTTTACCAGTGTCCGCCCCCCCCCCTCCCTGAAAATTTAGGTCCGCTTTCCACCGGAAAGTTTCAAATGCCCCCCCCCCCCCCCCCCACCCGGAGAAAAAATTCTCAAAAAAACCACTATCTTATTTAGGCCTAGCTCACGAAATCTCCTAGTAGTGAATAACAGTAGCCTCCCTTCTTTAAAATCTTTCAAATGTCGAGATGCAGGTGTATTGATGGTATTGGCCTAAGAACGATGCTGTATATTCAAGCTACCAAACACGCTGACAAAATGCTATAAAGGATACCAGTTTAAAAGCATTAAAAGTACCTGGTTCGGAGCCATCAAAGACTTTCAAGATGACGGACCTATAGTCCCATCCCAGCGCGTAGATCACCTGCCCGAAGTTCCGTCTGCCGGCTACCTCGACGAAAGCCGTGTTTGATATGATGGTCCAGTTGTTGCCGGGCCCGGTCCATTCGGCTAGCCTACCGCCATGTTGGGCACTGTGATGTTACACACGTTCATAAACAAATTAAGTTTTATACTAAAACACGTTTTAAAAAATTACTCACGTTCATAAACAAATTAAGTTTTATACTAAAACACGTTTTAAAAAATTACTCACGTTCATATACAAATTAAGTTTTATACTAAAGCACGTTTTAAAAAATTACTCACGTTCATATACAAATTAAGTTTTAAACGAAAACACGTTTTAAAAAAAAAATACTCAGGTTCATAAACAAATTAAGTTTTAAACTAAAACACGTTTTGAAAAATTCACACAACTAACGAAATTTTAAATAAATCCAGTGAACGGGTAGGCCTACAATTTTTTGTTTTCAAAATTTAAAACAATGGAAGAATATTTTAAAAGCTTGATAATGGCCAATTCCTCGATAAACTTCTGTTACTAAAGTAAAAATATGCATAGCTACACATCTTGTGCTAACATTCAGTTGACAATAGTCTTTGGGGTCGTCCATAATTAAGGCTATTTTCTGTCAATTTTTACCCATATCCCATTAACACATAAGGAGTATAACGTCATTTGCGGAAGAACCTTTTGGTGACAGTGAATTGTTTACATCAAACGATTACGAAGATAACACTGATTGGTAGTTTAACAGGCGAAGATCGATAACAGTGGTCGACATAGTGTTGCATGTGTTAATTTATTTGTTAGTGTGTAGATGGGGGTGTCAAATTACTGGGTTTGACCCGTTTTTAACGGACTTATTTCTTTCAAACTTAGCATATTGTCAAACAAGTGAACAAAGAAACGGATAGTGTAACTCGAAAAAAAATGCATGTACAATTATATATAGACAACATTAACATGGGGGAAAACTCTGTGCTCTTGTTGACGAACGTAGTCAGTGGCGTCACTTCGTTGGGTGTCACACTTTGCGGTAACACAGAGCGTCAACATTCCATAAAAAATTATATTGGAAACATTTGTGACGCTAAAAATATGTACAGCTTGGTGACACCCTATTCGAACGGTGTAATTCCTGTTGGTATCATTCAGTACTTAAAGATGTATATAAGAGTGATGTGTCATGGGCATTTCAGTTAATAGTGAGTTCCCTTTCAAACCTGACGTTTATTTCTGTGACCTCAGCATATGAAGGGATAGTGTGATCAGCACTATGCCCAGCCGTCTTTACTAACCCTAAAGTGAGTAAGGTACCCATCAGAGTTAAGTGTACTCAGGGACGGTCTACTGAGTTGAACCCGAATTCGAACTTACGGGTTAGCGGTCCAGCTCTCTACCGCTAGGCCACTCCGTCCCATATTTCAGTTAATGGGTAAAGCAAATGTTGCTAACTTGTATCGCATAACAAAAAAATAAAAAGCAATCGAAGCCGCTTACCCGTTGAAGTCTGCAAGCTCAAATGTGTTGCTGGCAACGACAAGCCTTCCGTTCATCGTGTGAGCAGCTTTAAAGTGGGGCTGCTCCCCCTCCGAGGCGGGTATATTTAGGGCTGTAACCAGGTCAAACAACTGCGTGCAGTTCATCAACAAGACGTCACACTCCCAAAGTGGCCCGTCCATACCTAGCATGTACACCTACAACAGGAAAATACTTGCAATAAAGTACTATTTTTACTTATTGATGTCATTATTAAACATTTACATTGACTAGTTGTAGGGTCGGGCTGATAAAGCTCATGCATGCTAAATCAAAACGTCCCGGGTTCGAACCCCCTGGCTCCATAGCTAGGGACAGCAACCCATCATGGAGAGAAAACTCCAAAAACAAACAACTGCTACTTGGTAGTTTGTTCTTGGATGGACAGATGCATAGCATGTTGGCACGCAATAGTTAATTGTATTGGAGGAAATCAGATTAAAACTAAGAACAAAGAAAAAGAAGAATTAAAACATTGGCGCCATTATTAGAACAATAGTTTTATACCGTTTACATGCACGTAAAAGATACATTTTATTTGCATCAGGTGTTTTTTTTCAATGGTCGTTCATTCCAAAGATATGCACCTAGAATAAAACAATTTTTTATTGAAATACTTTTTTTTATCAATGGCCGTTTATTCCACCTAAAAAAAGAATAATGTTTGACAATTTTTAAAAAGGTCATGACACTCCTGTGAAAAAATGTTATACGTTTACCAAGAAAATGTCATGACACCCCTGAGCAATACAATGTTTACCAAGAAAAGGTCATGACACCCCTGAGCAATACAATGTTTACCAAGAAAAGGTCATGACAACCCGAAGCAACACAATGTTACCAAGAAAAGGTCATGACACCCCGAAGCAACATAATGTTTACCAAGAAAAGGTCATGACACCCCGGAGCACTCCTCACGCCGTCAACTCACCATGGTAGCGGGGTACACGAGGTGCTCTGCCGTAGCCGCAACCCTGACGTTCTGTAGCTGGGGGAAGTGACGTATCTTGCCGGTAAGGCTGATAGCCCAGGCACCAATAATCAGTTGATTGGTCTCCTTGTGAATGATGCGATTGGCGTATGTGGAGTTGTGGTCGGCTATCTTGACCATCTGGCATTTGGAGAAAGAAAATATTGAGCACACGGTGTTATAGTTATAGCCTCCTCGTTACAACCAAGTGTGTCTGACCCTCATTTCAAGACCCCCCCCCCCCACCCCACCCACCATACACACACAGGAACAAAAATAAAGAAAAATATTATATAAATTTTTGAAGACGAATATGCTTATACATAAATAAAACGTTTCAAATACTGGGTATGTTTGTCCCCACCGCAATTTCACGTTATATATGGTGGGGAGGTTGATGTTTGTCCCCACCCCAATATAAGGTTATATATGGTGGGGAGGGGCAATACTGTCGCTGTACTGGCTGCAGTGAGGGGCGTCCAGATTTCTAGGGCCACACAATGATCTTATAGTAACCAACAACCAACTATAATCATCAGATAAGAGGACATAGACAAATCTGACCAGTCTATCGAGGCTATTTGTATTTGGTCTAACGTTTATAAAAACTAGTGCAAACTGGCGTCCAATTTCAAACGCTGATGGTATTTTTTAGGGTTAATTTTAGTTTAAACATTTTTTCTTTTTATCACATTCATGCGACCGTTTTTTTTTTCCTCTCAATAGTTTAAGACTGAAGAATTAGTAAAAAACAAAAACTCACCTCAAAAGATGACGTGATCTGGTAAAGACCAGTGCCACTGCCGGAGCCGGGGACTGAGAGATACGAAACCATGTAGAGACTGTCAGCCCACGGCATCAGCGCACCGGTCCCACTCTCAGAACGAATCGGACCGCTGTCTGCGGTGGCCGTCAAGCTTGGGAAAATCCCGTTCACATGAAACGGCGCACCGTTCACCGGCGCGTCCTTGCACTGCGCGTTGCTTGCGGTTTTACAGAAGTCTTTAATGTTGCTTGGCTTTTGAAAATACTTCATGTTTTTCAGCCTATTCGTTCTCAGCATTTCCAGTCGTATCTTGTCTTCGGCGTCTAACATAGTTTTTTTCTTTCCCGTTGAAGACCAAGGCGGCGCATTACTCTGGTCCTGAGCGTTTATACATTGAAAACTCAGCAAAACGATGAACAGGCATAAAGCGAACATTTTTAAATCCGAATGTCCGAGAACACGAAAATCTTCGGAAACTTGATCTGTGTTCAAATCACAACATCGAACTTCTTTCTTTTCGTTTAGTGCAACATTCGCTACTATCTTCAGCAGCTCTTTAAACTTAAAACAACACAGTCTTTATGCTCCATTAGATCACAGGGCTAGTGAAAGTCCTGGAATGTCTAGTCGGCCGTTGAGTCACTTAACAACCACTGTAATCAAAACTTGGATGATAACGGTGGTACAGACCAGCAGATAACCTGACAGCTGGGCTAGTGGGAGACTTGACAAGGACCTGAAGTGAACACATCCGCTGAAATCTTCTGCTCCAATCGGTGGCGTAGCCAACCATGGAGATATCATTGGGGGGGGGGGGGGGGAAATTGCTTTATTTTTATTGTGGATGTTGGATTGTCCTTTCGCAATGAGTTATGTTTATTTAATGGAAAGTCTATTTAACATTGCCAACAAGTTTGCAATGCTTCACGATAAATCATGTTTGTTAGATTCGTTTTGCAGGACCTAATCCACAATATATAAGGGGCCAAACACACACTATATATATATATATATATATAATTATATATATATATATATATATATATGTATGTATGTATGTATGTATATATATATATATATATATATATATATATATATATATATATATATATATATATATATATATATATATATACACGTTTTGTAGTAGTACAGTAAATGTTTAATGAATGTTTCGCAAATAATTCATTCAGCCTAGTTTAGTGTAACAGCAGTTTAAAAAAAAATTCATTTATATTTGTTATGCCTTGAGCAGTGGCCAAATTAGGGTGAATCGGTAATTCGTCTTGTGTATAAATACATAAAAGTTGATTTAAAATTCAAAGTAATATGTCAATATCAGAGCTTGGATCCGCCCATGACCAAACAGGCACTTCTAATTTTAAACCGATTTACTTTCTACACCAGACAACTCTTGGTGTTGTCCTTGACCTTCGCCGGGTTTATGATTATGTCCCTTGGTGATACATAGGAACCTAATGAGTGAGATATGATAGGGATAAAGTTGTTTTTCTTTGCAGTCAACATTAATTCATAATAGATAGAAGCGTAAAACTATGTTAGAACCCACTACTCACCCTCCATTTTAAGTTAATTTTTTTTTTAAAGCACCTTTCATAACGAAGATGACAGTAGAGCTTTTGTAGTGACCTTGAGGGAATCGTCACAAGAGCGGATTATTTCAAGTATTTGTTTCCTCAAGAAGTCCTCTGTTTACCCGGAGTTAAACAGGACTAACAGAAAAATGTCTCCAATATTTTCAAAACATTTTCCAGATGTCACCAGATTTATCATATTTAACCTATGTGAGCCCAGCACATTTTAATCACAAATAAAAAATATTTTGTCGGCACCTAAAGAGCAGGATATACAGGGGGGGGGGGGGGGGGGGGTTAAAAATCATGCAGATTTAATTTTTTTAATGTCCAGCCTTCAAGAATCTTTAATTGTATTCAACATTCGAAGAAATAAGATTTTATGTGGGGGTTAGAGAAATTAATCTATCACCACCTTTGTAGACAATATAATTAATAACAGCCTATTAATAGTAGCCAAGTGGTAGGGAAGAAAATAAATTGTGTCATGATGTTGCTCAAAATAATTGGTTGTTGCCCCATGTTAAATATTTGAAATTGTCAAAATCAATTTCAGTGAAAAGTGATAAGATGACCTTATAATGTTATATGTGAAAACAGAGTTAGGGAGTGCGTGTGAGGGCTAAGCCTACCCATTAAAAATGTTGGTATAATACTATAATTTTAGTATAATACTGGTATATTTAGGTTGGTGTAACGTTGCACATCATTACTTCTTGCTGGTTCAAAATGACTTTGCAGTTGCATATTGTGGTATGATTCAAATTATATAAAAAAATGATTAAATCTCAATGAAAGCGAACACAAGTTTAGATAGGAGAATCTGCAACCCTTCCTCCAACTGAGTACTATTTAGACAGTTCAGACAATTTACTAGACTGAACAGACACTTTACTCCCACATGCTACCATATGTTAACACTATTTTTGTTAGTTAACTCATTATATTTCCATAACTCAAGGACCCTTTTCATCATCATCTTTTTCCGTTCATGCTCACGACAAGTGGAGCAGATGAAGTAGACTTCATTTGTTTCAATGACTGTGGCACAATGGGTGATAGTGTTGTCAGCACTATGCGCAGACGCCTTTACTGCCCCTAATGTGAGTTAGGTCCACCCATCAGAACAGGGTGGACTCAAGGACTTCCTACTGACTTGAACCCGGATTCGAACTCGAGACTTTTCTGGTTAGCAGCCTAGCACCGAGGACCTTTTTAGGCATGTATAATTTGAAAGTATTTTATGCTTCACTGAAAACAATACTGGCTGATTGTTAAATTAATTAGTTAATATTCAAAATTGTGTACATTTACTCTACACTTGATTACAAGAACAGCTACAATCAAATAGTATTTTTTTAATGGGAGGGTGGGGAGGGGGGGGGGGGGGGGGAATAAATGAGAAAAAGGCTGTAATAGCAAAAAAAAAGACCACTTTTATTAGGTCTGTTAATAAAAATAGCTAACAGCTCAATAAATATTGTATATAACAATGGCTAATATCTGAAACATAATTTTAGACCCATATAAAACATTTATTACTTGTGGGCTTTGGCAACCTTTATTTGGGAAAAAAAATAATTTTATCTTGTTTTGAGTTATTATAGTTCAATTAATTAATAAACAATATACTTTTGTACAATCTGTGCATTCTGTTACAATAAATGTAATCAATAAGGTTTAGATCTAGAATTTGTTGGCTTTTTTCTATGCCTACTTTGATATGTTAACAATGTGAAGTTGTCATTTATGTTTTCTAAAACAAAACTGCTAGTCAAAAGATATTAATATTATAATGTCTTCACTCAGGAATTTCAGAAAATACATCAAAGATCATTACTCCAGGAAGTTTTCATAAAATAAAAATTTCAAAATTTGATTTCGTCACCTGTAATAGAATTTATAAAACAAATAAAGTACTGATAAAGATAAAACAGATAAAGTACTAAGGTTAATAATGGATTTTGTTTACACAAGATAAAGTATCATGTTAGTAAAAATTGTCAGTGATAAAAAAAATTAAATTTACTGTAAAAATAAAATCTCACCATGTAGAAATGAAAAGTTTGTACTTGATAGACTTGGCCATAAAGCAGCTACAGCACTCATATGTCTGTCTAGGAAAATGAAAAAAAGAAACAGACAGATATTAATATTTACTACACCTTTCCTTCATATACTAAGGTCAAGAAACATAGGAACTCTACCTCATCTGCCCAATGGATCAATAGGTCTAAAGAAGATTCTTTATTTATTAATATTTACTATCTACTTATGAAAGTGAACTTAGTTAACAACAAACAAAACCCGATTACATTGAATTGAAATAAATAAGGTAAATTACAGAATTCTTTATGAAAGAGAAAGTAATAAAAGCATTGTAACTAGACACAAATTTATCCTGGAAGAGTATTCTCTTAGAAATGTATAGCAGCTAACCTTATCAAAAACTTTAAGTATGTTTAAAAGTATCTTATGTTAAAAAAAAAAAACTATAAGCAAAATAACCAAGTGTATGAAACCCTTTAATTGTAACAACTTACCTCATCAAGGGTGTCCAAAAGTTCACACAAAAAACCACCAGCTCCAGAAACACTGGACTGATCTTTTCCAGGCCCCTTTCTGAGATTTTCTCTCAATTTCTATAAGACAAACATAAAAGAATATTGGATCATGGACTTCAACTTTGTAATAACATGTTATTAGCACTATTAAAAATAAACAGAATCATTAAGTTAAGGTGTCAAAGGTTTATGAGCCTTAAAAAATGAGACCCCTTTTCTTATAGACCTCATAAATGAATGACCCCTAAGTAAGAAGCATTTTACCTCAAGTGTGTTCAGTTGCTGCTGTAGTATATATTTAGAATGTGCAAACACATCTTCATTTAAAGACATCTTTAACCGTGACTTAACAGCAGATCGTATCGCAAAAAGTTCAGTCAGATCGCTAGATGTAAGAGCTATGTTGAACTGATCATTTGCTGCAGGCCTCAAAGATTTGGCTGGATTTTTGGCTGCAGATGAAACAGTAACCGTGAGAAGTTGGCCAGATGGCGTGATCAACATACAGGAAGACGTTTCATCCAATTTTACTTCCTGGTCTTTGGTGAATAAAAACTTTAGAACATCTTCAGCGCTGCCCAAAAGTTTCATTTGTGCTGGAACATAAACAAAACAAATAAAAATAATTTTCTAGGTACTCACAAAATTTTTATTAGAAGAAACCCCATAACAAGATATAATTTTTTCTTAATTGAGTTGTGTATTTGTAACTCTAATTTTAAAAAATTTTCCAAGATGACCCAAAAAAAAAAATCAAAATTTAAGTAGACGAAATATGAATGTACACATTTAAAAAATATTGTACTCACCAAATGTTTTAGAAATTAAAAGTCTGACTGTAAAACTTTCTGACTTGACAAGCTGATCATTGCTTTTAAATTTATTCCCTACTCTCATGTGAGCCATCTGACAAAGTTCTTTATGAAGATGGTTTTCTCTATTGCTTACCAGATCCATATTTGTTTCATCGGAAGGTGGATAAATAAAATTCAAAATATCAAACTCATGTTTTGAAAGCTCAACACTGAGGCATTTGTGTAGCTTCTGACTTAAGACCATTTCTAAACTATCTGGCATGTTTAAAATTAAATTTGCTGTCACTCTTATTGTTGGGAAAAAGAGAAGTTGATTTAAAAATGTCAGCGGTATAAGAAAATCAACTTTTGAATTTGGAAGGAGTCCCTTATTTAAAGGGAAGCAATAACTTCTCACAGAATGACTTTCTGTCCAACTAGTTTGTTTAGCGGAGAATGCTTTCACAGTCACCAAAAGAGACCAGTCTTTGGAAAGCAAAACTGGACTTCTATTTTCCAAATACACTTTTAAAGCCCAGTCTTTTCTGTAAACATTTTGAAATGATGATATGTTAAAAATGCAATTAATATTCAAGTCCAATAACTCTAGGGATGCTTGTTGATTTCTGTTAGTAGATTTCCTCCCTTCTAAGCTCTGCTGCAAGTGACAGAAAATATTCATCTGCAGCAAAAAGGTGTCAATGAGTTTTGATGTTTCCTTCACCTCTTTAAATCTTTGAGAGCACAGATCAATGTTGTGTAAGATTTCAGTGAACGAATGTGCTGATTTTGGTGCTGGAGTTTTTGTGCTGTCAAGTATTGTTATTGGCAGGAAGACAGATTCATAGCTGCAAGTGACTGCCAGTAAAGTTAAACCTGTTGAAAGAAATTAATTTACATATTTATCTGGTTGAGTTTCAACTCATTTTTAAAAAAGCAAAAATAAGTTAAAAAATTATGTTAAATAATTTAATTGCAAGATTCCAGTGAAGATGTTAGGGTTTTTAATTACTTCCTGTATCCTGATCTGTAGGTAATACAGCTGACAATTTGGAAATCCTGGCCTTTTTAAAAACAGTTTGCAAAACAGGAGTCATTAACACATCATCACTCCCTGCCAGCTTTGAAAGAGTGAATTTGCTTGCTTCAATGCTTGTTCCTGTACTATAAACACAATGGTTTTTATACTTGATGCAAGATCCTATAGAATGTGGAAGTGAAAATACTAGAACAGATGGAATCTTATTTTCTTCATCTGGTGTTAGGTACATGCAGCACTCTCCTGAAATTGAAGGAATAAAGTGTCTTTTACATGGGGCTTAATTAAATCAAGCTTTCAACACAAAACATTAAACATAAAAATAAAATTACTGGTACAAAATTGTTTTTAAAATTTTTTAATTAATTAAACTACACAAAAATTGTTTATAAAACTTAAAAACAAACTAATCTGCACACATTCTTTTCCAAAACAAAATTTAAAAAAAAAAATAAAAATCAACTACTAAACAGCACAAAATGATTACATAACTTAAAATCAAACTAACCTGTAGCAAAACAAATCAGCAGACCTTCCATTGTTGACTTTTCATTAAACTGTGAATTATTACTGCCCTTATCAAGAGCAGCAGCCAAAGCTGAAACAATGCCTTCATTTTCACCGCTACACATTTTTGGTAAAGCTACATCTATCTCCATTATGCTAATTACCTCAGAGTTCATTTGGCAAATGAGACCAAACTTACTATTCAAGGGATTCATTGTCTTAGTAGAATATGAATAAACACACCCATCATTTGTACTAAGCAATACTATTAGTGAATTTAAGCAGCTGTTTTCTTTACCAAAGAGTGAGATAAAAAGAGTTTTGGGCAAATATATTGAAGACCTGCAAAAATGCAGTTGTGGATCAAGATGTGTTGTTCTTTCCCCTTGTGAGGGTTCTTCCTCATATTGTGATACAAGGTACATTATCCTCTTTCTTTCATCAGATGGAGCTACAAATATTTTTTAAAATATTATAATTAAATTGTTACAGTTATGACATTGATATTACTAGTTAACTATGGAACAGCAAAAGTTTTGTCAAAATTCCAGCAATGGTAAAAAAAATTAGTTTAAAAGAAAAATGGAATTTTAAAAGAAAGAAACTTACAAACAAATAATTTTAAACTTAAGTTTGTAGCTACGTTTTGTAGTATTTTGAGCTTATTATTTTCCACGTCCCAAACTAGAACACAGAGCTGAACAGATCCAGAATCATCCACTAGCAAAGTTATTAATTTCTCATGCACCTGCACCTCAAGAATATTTGAATCTGACTGGTACACAAGTTCTTCTTGTTTCAGGATTATCCTCCTAAATTTTTCATTGATAGATTGTTTTATTTTGGAGTCGGACATGTGATTAAACATTTCCTGCCTATTTTCTTGCTGCTTCAATAGGTCACCAAATATGTCTTCTGAATTAGGAAGATCTTCTGGTATGCTTTTCCTTCTACATGTTGATGTTCTGCAAGATAAGAAATAGGTCTTTAATGTTAGTTATATACAATCTTTAGGTGTTTATGTGTAAGGATAGTAAAATATTTGCTTTAAACACTTTATAAATGTAAATTCTACTTATTAAAAAATAATTATTTAAATAAAAAAAAAATTTCATTTGGTTGAAAAAGGGCATAAACTTCAAATGAGAAAATACCCTGTTCCTTTCATTTGTCCATCAAATTCACTTAATCGTGTTCTCCATAACTTGTTATCATTTGTAGCAATAAAAGCATAAGAGGCAATCTCTGAGTTTATAACTGACACACTGTTTACTGAATGTGGGCATTCAATTCTTACCTGAAATTTTAGATTATATATTAGTATGTTTTTAATTTTTTTTGGACAAAAAAAAATGAAAGGAAACATTGAAAGGACATTCTAATTATACAGCAATATTGTTTCAAAAGCAGGAGCAGAATAATGTAAAGTTAACTTTATAAAATGACTAGAATGAATAATATATATTTTTTTAATAGCTTACAGTAACAGCAGACACCAGTTCAAAAAGATGAATAGAGTTTCCTGTAGCAGTCACCACAATGTATTGGCTTGTGACAGGCATTTTTATTCATAATTTCATGGCAAACCTTACAAAAATAGTATTACATATTAAATTAATAATTAATTTAAAAGGTACAGCACTAGTTGATATTTTAAGAACTATGTCACATTGACAATGATTTACTAATACCATACTATGAATAGGCCAGTGATTGCGGGGCTTTCCTCACTTACTTAGTAACTGAGTTAGGCTTGTTGACTATTCTAAAGTCTAAACTACTCTTATGATGTAATATTATTATATTAATTTGTTAGTTATGCCAGAGGCGTAGCGAGGGGGGGGGGGGGGGGCAGGGGGGACGACACATATGTCCCAGGGCGCCGACCTTAGGGGGGGGCGCCAAAGTGAAAGTTTGAGGGGGGGTGCAAATGAAAAGTTCAAGGGGGGGTGCAAATCGAAAGTTTGAGGGGGGCGCAAATGAAAAGTTCAAGGGGGGGGTGCACATCAGAGTTTGAGGGGGGGGGGGGAGGTTGCAAATGAAAAGTTCGAGGGGGGGTTGCAAATGAAAAGTTTGTCCCGGGGAAGAGTCGCTATGCCTCTGAGTTATGCCCACACAGATCAATGTGTCAATACCGACATACATACTACTGCATAGTAACATACATAATTAATTATAATAATGTCCACTAAAATATTTTAATTGTAATAATTCATTTATTAAGAATTGGACTAATTGTTAAGCTTTAGACTTAGACTACTTAAACTAGATTTTTTAAAATATTATGTTAGTAACAACAAGCCAGCTCTCTCTGAGTCTGAGCATCTCTACCCCCTTCCCCCCCCCCCCCCCCCCTTTCCTTTCTCTAGATTAATGTCTGCTGCAGTAGACAGTCCTCAGTGTATGAAATTACTATTGTCAGTATTGTGACGTACTTACTAGATCTACTACTTAACTTATTTTAACTAGATCTAGATCTAGAGATCTAGATTCTAGATCTAGTTCTAGACTGTACACCCGAGTGTACACACACCCCACTGTAACTCTGATAAAAATAATAAAATTGGTTGGGTAACTGCTTTTTTAATACTACATAGATCTACATACATGGTACTAGATCTACATACTACTACTGCATAATAGATCTAGAATCTATATTAATATTTCGATCTGGTGTTAGATCTAGAGCTAGACTAGATCAGATCTAGTTCAAGTTTCCAGCTAAACTTGTTAACTTAACAAGACAATGTTAAGCAAAAGTTCAAAGTTTAAAAGGTCAACTATTTGCGGAAGAGACTCATAATTGTTATATCTTACGGCTTTAGAATTTAAATATAGCCTTAGCTAACAGTTATTAATCTAGATCTATATAATATATAATCTAGATCTATAATAGAAATCTATAGTCTAATTTTATAATATCTTTGTTTTTCAAAAGGAAAATGTTTCACAAGGTTATTCTAAAACCGGCTCACTGTAAAAATTTGGCTTGTTTACAGTCGATTAGGCCAATTCATACGTTTATCTGGCCAATGTAAGCGTACCGGAAATAAAGTGTTGGCAGTTTCTTATTAATGGTAGACTTGTACATTTTTGATATTGTAACTGTTTGTGAGATCGTTTCACTACAACTGGCGTTTGAAGAAATAAATGTATGTAAATTTTGTAGTTAAAAGTTCATTTTAATCGAATAATATCCATAAATAATGTTTTTTTTAAAAATATATGCATGAAACTGAATTAAAGTTAAAAAGTTTAACCGCCCCCCCACTTTCTAGTTTTTCTAGTCTTAACTTACTTACTTAAGTCAAGAACTGTTCAATCAAGCTCAAATTATTAATTACTCAGTTAGTCAGTACCATTCCTAAGAGCTAAGACTATCCTACTAACTGTACTAAAATAAAATACTAGCTCTAGATCTACTATCCTTTTCTTTTTTTAGTAAACTTTAGATCTAGACTAGTAATTTAAGTAATAGTAGGTTGAATTATGGATTTTTTTAAATAAAATATTCTGTTATTTCAAATACACCATTAAGTTCCTTACCCCTTAAGAGAACATTTGACACCACATTTAAATATCTAGCTTATTCGGTTGACGAGAAAAAAGAGAATTTGAAAATTTAGCTAGAATGGAAAATGAATGACAAAACAAGAATCTTGCTCCTGGACCGGCATAACATGACGCCGTGAACTTGTGTGCACGAGCTTTTAATTCCCGCCATGGTAATTGCGTCAGCTTAGGTCATTTACTCACCGGAAAATAACAAAAAGCAACTGGTTGATAATAAAACTTAGATCTATTTATTTTATTATTTATTAAATTCTACTCTACATTTTATTCATACCATTTTAAGAAATAATGAACACCTACATAAATCAAACGACCATAATAAATATTTTTATTTCAAATTCTAATTTTAAATAATAAATATGCATAAAATAATATGATAGTAATAGTTAAGATATTTTATAAATGCAAATACATTTTACACTCAATCACATTATATTGAGTCAACAGTGTGGCAGCTGAGGTTCATACATGGTATTAGTGTCTTTTTTTTTTTTACATTACATTTTTTTCATCTTGAAAACATGACGTATGTGATTTTTTTTAAAAATAAAATCTCCAAACATCGTCACTCGCGTGATTGCTTGCTTATGTTTACTATCCTGTGGATGAACACGCGTACACGAGATGGTCGGTGTCTTCACTTCTCTCCCCCCCCCCCCTCTTCTTCAAGCAAATTGAAAAAGAGACCTACTTCCCTACTTCTGGTCATTTTTTTTAGTTCGGTCATTTTTTTTTAAGTTCGGATATCAGGCATGCTAGACAGCCAGCTGTATAAAAAAAAATATTTTTAAACTAGATCTACGTCTAGCTTAAAAAAATAAATAAATAAACGCTTAAAATGCCTGTAAACAGATTATTTAGCGCCAAAAAAAAGGCCGCTGAACGAGCATTTTTTACAATACGCAGCAATGAAAAAGGCCAACGGCCAATCAATTAAGTCTAAAAATCGCCCGTAATTAGGCCTAGCTCTGAAAAAGGCCACTGAACGAGCAACACTGATTATATAAACGAATAGGCCACGCGGCGTTGACGAGGTCAACCACCGGTCACGAATGCAGCAACGGTCGGCCCACAGTGAAGAAAAAATCAATATACTAATAAAATTACTAATACAATAATAATGTCTATAATTTTACTTTTTCCACACATGCTACAATTGATTTATAATTAAAATACTAGACTTAACAGTTCATTCCGTAAAAAACAAAAACTAGTTGTTTCAGTCTGGCAACTAGCGTAACAATGACGTCATGATACTTAAAATAGCGGATAGAAATGTCAGCGTGGGTACCTCATCCTCGAGGAAGATTTTAGAAAAAGTAATCAAAAATACTGTAAATATACATGATAAATATATCAATTATATATTAATGTACAGTTAGTCGAGCCGTTTTCCCCGTTAGTCTGTCGTTTTTGGCGGCGGTTCAGTTTTTACGGAGAGTGCTCCACTAGAAATCCTCTCATTATTTACAACCACGAATCTTGCGATTTTTTCTGGCATTCTAAGGCATATTATCCATTTTATTAGCAATTTGCATTAAAATAATGATGAGAATTTGCGATATAAACAGTTTTTTCATTTGTCGTGGATGGGACCCCTAAAATAAACGGAAAAACCGTCAGAAAACGATGCGTGACGTTTCAGGGTCAGAGGTCAATCCTGCCATCTAAGCAATGCGCCAGACTAGTAATAGTATTAGTATCCTAACTAAGCCCTGAGCTGTAAACCAAGAAATAAAAATTAAAATAATTGAAGTGGAGGTCTTGAAGTAGTTAAAGAGGTCTAGACTTAGATCTAGATATAGATACCTAGTAGAATGCCAAAGTTTCATAGATTCATAGTTAGAGCTAGGCTTGATCTAGAAAGCTTAAACTGGTTAAAAGTTATAACAAAAGTATGACTATGATAGTGATTAACACTGATTATGGCACTACTCTTAAATTCTTGAAAAAGATATTCTCACATTCTTGGTAGATAGTTTACTTTGTTGACTTCATATTGGCCAAATTAACTAATAAACATATGCCTACTTTATAATACTTTACTCCATCTTTCAGAAAACAAATTGCCAAGATGACGACAATAGCAGAACAGCCATGTTATACTTTAATAAATGTGCCAATGGATGCTGAGCCACCATCTGAAATGCAGCTTAAACAAGACCTTGGTATGAAGTTCTTTTTTTTATCAAGTTATTTATTTGAGGAATATTTTATGATGAAATAAATTGTGCATGTAATGATAGACCTAATAAGTTGCATTAACATTGTTCAGTGTTACTTAAACATGCCAACTTTTCCAAGCACACATGTTGCATTGTGGAAAGTATAGTTCTTCAATAAACATTCCCCTGACAATGTAATTTTTAAGAAACTAATTTTACTAAGATAATTATATTATAATGTTTATGAATGTTATTGTTTAGTTTCTTCTTTCATTTTACAGAAAAGGGAGATGCCCGAACTAAGATTGATGCCTTGAAAAAGGTTATTCAAATAATCTTAAATGGAGAAAAAATGCCTTCAATCCTGATGATCATCATACGATTTGTCATGCCAATGCAAGATCACACTATTAAAAAGCTACTCTTGGTTTTCTGGGAAGTCGTTCCTAAGTATACTCCCGAGGGAAAGCTATTGCAAGAGTTTATACTTGTCTGTGATGCTTACAGAAAGGTGTGGAATCTATTTTCAATTTGTGTGCTATTAATATAAACAATATAAAATCGTCAAGTATAATTCTCTTCTTTAATCCTCTTTCTCCATTGATAGGATCTTCAACATCCCAATGAGTTCATCAGAGGATCAACCCTTCGATTTCTTTGCAAGCTTAAAGAACCTGAACTTCTTGAACCCCTTATGCCAGCAATCAGACAGTGCTTAGAACATAGACATTCCTATGTACGCCGTAATGCTGTGCTTGCCATTTATACTATTTACAGGTGATTATAAATTTTTCAATACTATGATTGTTAAAAATCCTTCATGAGTTGTAAATTAGTTTTAAAAAGTTCATATTAGTTTTACATATTACAAAATGGTATATATTTAAATTTTAAAATACATTTTTTCTCAAAAAGTTGCTTGTTTTATTAGAAATTTTGATTCCTTGATACCTGATGCCCCTGAATTGATTCACAACTTCCTTGAGGGGGAACAAGATATGTCCTGCAAGCGAAATGCCTTCATGATGCTTATTCATGCTGATCAGGTGACATATTTTGAAGATTTGTCTCTATTATAGTGCCAACACTTGTTTTTAAAAAACTCTTTCAAACCAAACACTGGTGAATAAACCTAAGAAAAACATTGTACTTTTTTTTATTTGTGCTAAGTTCATTCTTTAAAAATCCATGTTTCACTTTTGTTTTAGGAAAGAGCACTGAACTACCTGAGTAGCTGTATTGACCAAGTGACTTCTTTTGGTGATATCCTTCAACTTGTTATTGTTGAGCTTATTTACAAAGTAAGTCCTGAAATTCATTGTTTTTGGTAGTTGTTTTAAATATGTGGTTTACATTACACTATTTTAGAATATATTTCAATATGTATTCATAAAAGTTTTGAAGAACTTATAAAATTGAATATTCAATAATTTAAATGTCTGTTTGCTAATTCAAACCACCTTTTATATTAGGTTTGCCATGCCAACCCAGGAGAAAGAGCTAGGTTTATCCGTTGCATATACAATTTGCTGAATTCTTCTAGCCCTGCCGTAAGGTATGAGGCTGCAGGAACTTTAGTCACTCTTTCCAGTGCTCCTACTGCCATTAAGGTAATACTATAGATATTAAAAAGATTTCATAAATAAATATATAGGGGCTATTCAAATGATTTAAGAAACACTTATTGTTTATCCTTAAACTGTACTTAAATTTCAAATTCACATTTCAGCTATTGTTTAGTGAACTTAATTTTGATCAAAAGTTTTATATAAATTAGTTGATGTGCATAATTATTTAAGTTTATAATAATCTTAAGTTGTAATGAAGTTGATACAGGTATTTTTTGAATTCTCTCTGTAGGCAGCTGCAACTTGTTACATTGAGCTGATTGTTAAGGAGAGTGATAACAATGTTAAACTGATTGTGTTAGACAGACTTATAGCACTTAAAGAGGTTCCAGCCCATGAAAAAATCTTGCAGGTATAAATATCTAAATAAGCATTAAGACTTTTTTTTTTAAAAATCTATTTCTAAAATATTTGTAAATCATATGGCAACATTTTTTAATTTGCAGGAACTTGTAATGGACATTTTAAGAGTGCTAAGCTCCCCTGATCAGGAAGTAAGAAAAAAGACACTGACCCTTGCACTGGATTTAGTGACATCTCGTAATATTGAAGAGGTAAATTTTACCAAGCTGATCTAGTCTGCATAGCTTCTGATTTGAAATTTTTTGAATTCATATTTTTTTTTTACAGGTCTTCACATGAAATCATTTGATCATTTTAATTTTTATTTTGGTTCTAGATGGTGTTGGTGTTGAAGAAAGAAGTTGTGAAGACAAATAATGTTGAACATGAGGATACTGGAAAATACAGGCAGCTGCTTGTTAGAACTTTGCACCAGTGCAGTGTTAAGTTCCCAGATGTTGCTTCTACTATCATTCCAGTGGTAAGAATAAATATGTTAATATTGAGTAAAACAATCACTGATGCATTGCTCATCATAAACATGTACTGTATTCCTGTTTTAAAATACTTTTCAGCTGATGGAATTTCTTGGGGATACAAATGAGCTGGCTGCAGCTGATGTACTAGTGTTTGTACGAGAGGCTGTTCAACGTTTTGACCAGCTCAGACCCTTGGTTATTAGCAAGCTTCTAGATGTGTTTAGCACCATCAAAGCCATGAAGTGAGAATGTTATTTTTTATTTTTATCAATCCACATTGTTAGTTTACAAAAATTATCTGTAGCAAATTACTGCTTACTGCCCATTCTTTAATATTGTCTGTTACTTTTGTATAGGATTCATCGTGCTGCCCTTTGGATCCTTGGAGAGTATTGTACATCTTCTGATGATATTCAGAGTGTTATGACTCTCATTAGACAATCTCTTGGAGAAGTAAGGTTTTTTTTTTAGAATTTTGGTGTTTTTGATGATAAGGATAGTTAAACTATTGGGGAATGCGTCTAATTAACTTATGTAAATTTCTTATTTTAGATTCCCATTGTGGAGGATGAGATGAAGAAAGCTGCTGGTGAAGTGAAGGAAGATGGTAAGTGCCTTTTTAAAATCCTTATGCTGTTGTTTAGTTTTGCAATAAACTTGTGTAAAACTAGACAATAGAAATAAAAGCAAGATTTGTTTTTTAGATTTATAATTTTTTTTAAAAATGTCATTGTCCTGTCAGCAATGCTTGCTAAAAATGTTGGTTTTTTTTTTTTTAAATTAAAATCCGGACATGTTTAAAACTTCACTGCCTAAACAGGCTGGTTCTTGTAGTTACCATAATCAAAACTTATGGATTTTTCAGAAATGCAAACTGGAGGCTCTGTACAGCGTCTTGTGACAGCAGATGGCACATATGCTACCCAAAGTGTTTTCAGTGCCAGAACTTCAACTAAGAAAGAAGAAGTGTAAGTCGACAGCAAAGATGATTACTTGTTACAATTCTAATTTATCCAACAGTGAACAAGTAGTTAAGGAATTTAATCTTTGTTACTTAACAGTCCTCCTTTGCGTAAAGATATGATGGATGGTGACTTTTTCATTGGTGCAGCCTTAGCAACTACTTTAACTAAACTTGCTCTCAAGTATATCAGCATAACACCGGACAAAAAGAGACAGAATGTAAGTTATTTTATTGTAATGAGTATGCTCCTTTTTTGTTATTGAAAATAATGGCTATTATTTTATTTTTGTTATGCTTATTTTCAGAGCTTTGTTGCTGAAGCTATGTTGATAATGGCTACAATTATTCATCTTGGAAAATCTGGATTACCAACTAAGGTTTGTTTTCATTGCTCAACAAACTACTTTTAATGTAGAACTATGATACCGTGCTAAAATTTACATAATTGAGTTGAAATTGCTTTAAAAAGATTTTTATGCTGGAAATTAATTTTTTAAAATATCATTTACCATAGCCAATAACTGATGATGATGTGGACCGCATTGCTGTTTGCCTCCGTGTGTTAGCTGAAAAGTCTGATCTGATGAATGAAATATTTAACGTAGCCTGCAGAGGGTCTCTCTCTCTTATGCTAGCTGCCAAAATAGAAGAAGAAAAACAAATGCAAGAGGTTTGTTTGCTTCTATTTGTATTTAAAATGTTGTATCCATGGCATAATTTTTATATTTAGTATTTTTAATGCTGATGTTTTTGTTCACAATAGGCTGCTGAGCGTAAAGTTGTCAAGGTCCATGCTGATGACCCAATTTCCTTTGCCCAGCTGATCAACAGAAGTGACCAAGGAGCTGGTGAGGTAATTGGACATTTTTCTCTTCTTTTAACTTGATGGCACTGAAGTAAACTTAATATAATGTTATACTTTTCAGTTTGGCTGTTATTCAATTAATACAGTCAAGTGGATGTTTCAAGTTATTTTAATGTAAACTTCTCAGTTTTGACATAACTCTTTACACTCTTTATCCTTAGAATATGTTTGAGCTGACACTGTCACAAGCTTTAGGAGTAAATACTAAAAAAGATTCTGATCCTCTTGGATCTTCTAAACTCAATAAGGTTTGTACATTATAAGCTAGGAGTTAATATCATATTATCATCCAAGGTTAAAATAAAATTACAAGTTTACTAAAGTACCCTTGGTGACGGAGTGGTCTAGCGGTAGAGAGCTGGATTACTAACCCGTTAGTCTCGAGTTCGAATCCGGGTTCAAGTCAGTAGACCGTCCCTGAGTCCACCCAACTCTGATGGGTACCTAACTCACGTTATGGAAAGTAAAGGCGGCTGGGCATAGTGCTGACCACACTATTTCTTCATACGCCGAGGTCACAGAAACAAGTGAACTCTACTTCACTTGCCCCATAGCCCGTCAGGTTTGAAAGGGAAACTTTACTTAAAGTACCCTTGGGGATAGCTTGTTCTAGTGGTGAAACACGCTGCTATCCCCAAAGTCACAAGCTTGAAACTAGGTTGTCCCAGACAGCTGCCACTCACATCCAAACCAGACAAGGGGTGGAAGCAAAAGCTTGGCTGGCACCCACAAGCATAGCACAGTGGCTGGTAACATGGGTGAGAGAAATGCCCCATTCTTCATCCGGACCAGTGCCTGTACACAAGAGAAGTAAACTAAAGTACCCTTTCTAACCAGATGGTCCATGGTGCAAGTTGAAGTAGAGTTGCTCTGACCTCAAAATATGGTATTGTGCAGTCAACAATCCTCGGACACCTAAACTTTCCCATTAGTCAAGTATCCATCCTAGCAAGGTAGACTCAAGAACATTGTATGGACTTGAGCCCATAAACTTAACTCAAGACTTTAGTGTTTGTAGTCATATGCTGAACCACACTGTCATCCATCAAAACATTTAGTAGGTTACAGCAATTGTTGATGGTAATTTGTGCTTGGTTTAAAGTGTTTTCACCTAAAGCTTGTATTATTCTTACAGGTTTCACAACTAACTGGCTTCTCTGATCCAGTCTATGCTGAGGCTTATGTCAATGTCAACCAATATGACATTGTTCTAGATGTCCTCATAGTGAATCAGACAGGAGACTGTCTTCAGAATCTAACTTTAGAGTTAGCAACACTTGGTAGGTCTTTTGATTCTGATGAAGCATTTTATATTGTTCAATATTTTTTGTTGTGTTGCAAATTTTTTCATTGATTATTTACAACATAAAAAATGAACTATTTTTTCCAGGTGATCTGAAGCTTGTTGAGAAACCTCAGCCTTTGACATTGGCACCACATGACTATTGCAATATAAAAGCAAATGTCAAAGTTACTTCAACCGAAAATGGAATTATATTTGGAAATATCGGTGAGTTTGATTATAATAAAAATAATAATCATTAAAACTAGCTTTTTATTTTTTAAATTTAAAAAAAAAAGAAATAGAATTCTAAATTTATGTACAAAATGTTGTTCAATACAGTCACACTCAACTTTTATACTTTGTATTGAGAATTAAAGTACATGAAATAACAACTTGCTGTTTTTAAAAATTTCTTTTTCATAATTATAATTTTCAATATAAAATAAGTGTAAAACGTTACTGTCTTTCCTCTTACTTCAGTTTATGATATTACTGGCGCAACTAGCGATCGGAATGTTGTAGTGCTCAATGACATTCACATAGACATTATGGACTACATTGTGCCCGCCAGTTGCACAGACACTGAATTCCGCCAAATGTGGGCTGAATTTGAGTGGGAAAATAAAGTTACTGTCAATACCAACATTGTTGACTTGAAAGAGTACCTGGAACATGTCATGTCTTGCACAAACATGAAATGTTTGACCCCAGAAAAGGTATGATTCAAGATTCAATGGATAGTTAGATAATCTTTAACATGCTAATTCAGAACTCTTACTAGTGTTTACAAATTGTAATGTTAATAAAGTAAGATTGTTCACCATATTACTGCATAACAGATGTACTTAGTGTTGTTTTCAATTAGGAGAATAGCAATCAGGGAAAGTTAGATGTCATCATTTCTGATAATTCTTAGGTAGAAGACACAGATTTCAATCCTCGTATGTTAATAAGATCACAGGTGACTTAACTTCTTCATTTCCTTGTCGTAACAGGTTCAGGAATCAGTCTTCTTTACATCTCTTTCTCTTTTACAGCCAAAACACTTTGTGTTCCCTCTTTCTGATTATTTTTTCATTAGATTCATTTCTTGATAAGAAAATAAGTAGAGAAAAACTATTTTTATTTTCCCCTGTTACTTTTTACCCTATTTTGTTTCCCTTATTGTGTTTTAGAAAATTTATAGCTGTTTTACTTGTACCCTAGGAGTTCTTTCCATTACAAAGACATTTTTAAAAAAATTAAGTCTGCAATTTGATTTTAAAAGTATTGGTCTTTTTGTACTCATTTCTAATTTTAAGCACTGAACTGTTGATTATTATCATTCTTGCCAAAGGTTTGTTTTCTTAGTGTATTTTGAAAGAATACAAATGTGTAGTTGCTTAACTTCCTTTTCCAACCTTTTAAGTTTGCTATCCAACTTGCCTTATGTATATTATTTGACTTCTGTTTATAAAGCATTTCCAGCATGACATCTTTTGTTACAGGATTTCTAACCCCACTGAATAATTACATTTTACATAATATATAGTTGTACAAATATATTGTGGTTAGAGCTTATAACCCTTGAAAATTATGTTGAAATATTTTTTAGTTGATAACTAATTAATTTGATTGTATTTTACTATATACAAGTTCCCCATAAACATTGTTGCTAACTTGGTATCTTGTTTTTGTTAGGCTCTTTCTGGTGACTGTGGCTTTATGGCAGCTAATATGTACGCCCGATCTATATTTGGAGAGGATGTGTTGGCAAATTTAAGCATTGAGAAGCCCTTGCATTTGGGTAAAGATGCCACAGTGCAGGGCCATGTTCGGATTAGAGCAAAGAGTCAAGTATGTGCACTTTTATTTTGTTTTTGTTATTGTCGTAGAGCAAAACAGTTATGTATCATCCAGCTGTAAAGTTGAAGATCAGAAAGTAAGGACTTTTTTTTTTGCTTGTTACTAGTCACTATAACTTTTTTTTCAGGGCATGGCATTAAGCATGGGAGACAAGATCAATCTATCCCAGAAAAAAGCTGCTAAAATAATGGCAGGTTGATCTGAAGTTTTTGGTGGAACTGAACTTACTTATTCATTTTTATCTGCTACCAACATTTTTCTATTCACAAGTTTTGACTTTTAAAAAAATTAACATGTTTTAAAGGAATTGTGTATTTTATCATATTTAATCTATTCCTTTTAACTGATAGTTTCTTTGCTGTATTGAATTCTTGTTATATAACATGTATAATCAATGTCTGATTCATACACATCTTAAAGTCTCTTAAATATTTTACACAAATACAAATGTACTGATTAGTTGCTGCACATTTACCTGTAGTTTATAGGGAAACTTATTGTTCTTGTCATTTGTTAGACAGGAAAGGTATATTTAAAAAAATATATATTGTGTCTGGGTTTCTTTGGTATGAAGTTTCAAGAGGAACTTTAAATGTTGTTATTATAGTGTCATAAAAAAGCTGGACCTCTGTCATTTGAAATTAATGTTATACACTGTATGGTATTGCAGTTGTGGTTAAACAATAAATTACATACTTTATAAAGTCAAAGTTTTTCTTTTCTTTATCACCTCCATGGTAAATTATCTGTGTTTGAGATGTAGTGTTTGACAATACAAATGCTGGGTGAAAACAATTAGTTTATTTACGTGATGTATCAACATAGAAACAATTTAATCTAAACAATATTTTAAAACCCTACAGCTTTTTTCCAGTCAACTTTAATTTCTAGGATGAGTTCACTTACAAAAATGACAATTTATGTAACGGAACATAACAAGTTTAGTCTCAGTAACTAAGAGACCAGTCAACAGAAAAGGTGGTTAACAGATCAATATCTGGCAGTCAGTAGGCAACAATATCTAAAACCATGACCACACATTCAATTTAATCAACATTTTTATCTAGAAATGTTTTATTTCTCTGTGTAAAAAATTGAAGAGCAATGATGAAAAACAATACTTGATCAAGAAAATAAACTCATGAGGACAACACATTTTATACAGTATGCTATTAATTTGTGGTATTTACATATTTTTAACAGTTAATATAAGTATTAAAAAGTTCAAATAATGAGATTTAGTAGTTACACTTAGAACCATTTTAACAAGAACTCGTTGCATAGCATAGTTACTATAATACAACAAAGACTTAATATAATTCAGTGGTATAAAGTCAGTTTCTGTGTGATTTTTTCTTCAGAGGTTCATATAGTACCCTGTCACCTTTCAGGAGAAGTGAGATCCAACAGATTACTACAATATATCCACAATGTTTTCATACTTGCTTATTTCTGTTTCAAGATAAACTAAAAAAAGCTGCAATATTAAGTTGAAATTAAGTCTTCATGACCTTTCTTTGTCATATGGCTGGATACTGAAAAAGTGCAATATATTAGACTAGAAATGCTGCAAATCCAGCTAAATGTTAGTGATACAATACACTGACAATTTATTTAAATTAATCACAGTAAATCCACACAGGGCAAAACAGTAAAACACAGCTGTTCCGTATTGCTGAACTTTTACTGGGGGAGAACAATTTCAACTTTTTACCTTTGTTTAATGAACTTAAAGGAAAAAAAAATTGTAATTTACAAAAGAAATTTTAAAATGACAATTATACACTTCACAGCCAAATCAATACTGCAATAAATAATACAAAAATGAACTGAAATGTTTCCTTTTACCTGGTACAAAATTAACAAATAAAAACAAATATTTTAAAAAAATATATAAGCATTATTTTAAATGAAATATGAACTTCCTTGGTTTATTTGGCATGGTGATGAACATTAACTTTGCCTTTTCATTGTAAAAGGCATGTATACTGAATGGACCTAAAAGCATTTGTTTTGGCCTGATAAAAAAGCTGACAATGCAATGCCTCAAAGTCTTCATACAAACGATGATCGGACAATTAGGCCTATGTGTTTTTTTCAGGTCATAACAACCTATCTTTAAAAATCTGAGGTTCTTAAACTTATTTTTAATTACTTAAAAAAAGCATGAAAATATCACATAGACATTCTGGATAAAACAGATTTCTTATTCACTTCAAAGTTTTTTCATTGTATTTTAAATAGTTAAAAAAATGGAATAATCTTTTCTATTATTAAAACTTAAGAACAAAATATTCAACTTCAAAGCAACAACATTGAAAGCAGTTTTTAAAGATACCATGAAGACCAGAAAAACTAATTGCTTATTGATTTGCTGTATTAATCAAAATGTAGTGAATTGGAAGACGTATCCATCCCATTTGAATTCAACAGCTAGTTACTTTACTAGCTAGTTACTATACTTAATACATTTGTTATAAAACTTGCTTAATCAAATAGTAACTTTTTTCCAATTTTGATTACAATATAACAATACTTCTCTAAAGAATTAATATAACATTATGAAGTAAATGAAAGAGAAAATGATCATATCTGCCCCAATTACAAGACATCACACAGATAAAACAACTGGGTATGTTTAAATGGGATGTTATTTGGTAAATTAGTAATAAGAGGCATGACAACATTTCACTGGCAAGAACCTTTGGGCTAGCAGCCCTAGCTTTCGACCACACGGTCCCACCAAGGACAGCGTACTGTAGATTAAATGAGTACATGAAACCTTTGTATTTTACATCTAAATGAGTGGCACCATCAATAGCATCCAAAACACAGTCAGACCATTCAAACAAACCTTTCATACAGCTCAGGTGGTCCTGCAGTTGGCTGGTCCATAAACTGGATTTCCTTCCTCCTCATCCACATCCAGGAAGCTGGTTATCCGGTAGCCCATGTTTGTCAACATAACCTCTAAAGGGTCTGTGTTCATTCTTTTCTGATTGGCAAGAGCTGCATCGTCACTGTTTATTTCCCTTTCATTTTTAGTTCCATCCTGGTGATACATTTTATGAAACAGTTAATGGCAATTTGAAAATATATGATAAAATTTCTTGAAATGATCTGTCAAGTATACTGAAAAAAAAACGTATTTATAATTGAATTTGGTGCTATAAAGTAAACTAAAGTACCCTTTCAAACCTTATTGTCCAGGAGGCAGATGAAGTAGAGTTTGTTTTAGTGACATCAGCACATGAACGGATACTGTTGTCAGCAGTATGCCCAATAGCCTTTACTTTCCCTAGTGTAAGTAATTTGACCTCCTTCCCTTATTAGTAAATGTTGCTATGACAAGATGTAAAATCATGTTTTGTCTAAGACAGCTCTACAGTCCTGTTTACATTTGGGAAGGAATTAAGTTACCTCAGGTCCTGGGCTCCATAATCTGACCACTGGGTCAATGCCACTGGTAGCTAAAAGACAGGTACTTGGGTGTGGCTGCAAACAGTTGACAATGGACTCATCACCTCGCATGACTCGCATTATGTTGTTGGTCAGTTTATCCCAGATGAAGAACGATCCATCATCTGATCCTGCCACAATGTACTGACCATTGCTGAAAGAGAGAACTTTGTTCAGACATTTTACATTGGAGTTCAGTAAACAGTGCATTGCTTATATCTAGCACAAATTTTAATTAATTTTATTTACATCCTCTTCTCAGATTAATTGATTTTAACAGACAAAATTGGCTCTTTTAATTTAAAAAACAAAAGGTGTGTGACTAAAACTAAAAATTTTTTGAACTGTACATATTTACTTTGTGTACTATAAATGAGTTTAAAAAAACTGGCAAATTACCTGCCAAAAAAGTTGGCCTCTTTAATATCTGTTGTTGTGTTACAGTGGCCACAAAACCTTTGTGTGTAGTCACAAGCACTCTTTTGAAGCTCTTTTTCCTGTTCCGATTCATGTCTAGGACTGGGATGCCTCATCCCATCTTCGGGCTTTTCTTTATTTTCTTTCAAATCTGAAAGAAGAGCTCAAATGTTTATAGCCAATAAAATTATTATGATTTAGGGTACGACCTTGTTTATTAAATTATAATTAATTATTCCATGTGTTTATTATATTTTAAATACAAAAAAGTACAAACCTTCCCGTTGAGAGAATATGGCACCTTTGATTTCCCTGTCCAGTGTTTCACAGGCATGGTTTTTAGCATAATCAGGAAAACGGTGCTTAAAATGATTGAGACATTCAAAAGCTTCTTGACTCCAAGAGAGTTCATGGAAACAGCGAGCCAATCGGAAATGAGCTTTCATATGATGAGGGTCTAAGGTCAAAGCCTGATAACAGTCACGCAGAGCAGCATACAGATCTCCATCCCTAAGTAAAAAAAAATTGTTTTACTAAATTAACATTCCCGATTTGGAAAAAAATGTGACTCACTTAGAGAACTTTATTTAATGCAAGGTTTGATTAAGGGTTTGCAATTCAGAACAGAGTAGGGTTTGGTGTAGAGCTAGAGTTAATTTTTACAGATTTTTATGCTAATAAATTTTAAAACTAGTAAAAAACTTCAAAATAATGTGGACAGTGTAGCCAAGTGAAGACAAGTGGTAGCCCACTGATGGCTACCTGATCCAGGTATGAGATTATCAAAGTGGCTGGACACAGTGCTGCTCACACAATCCTTACTAAGCAAAACATAAGTTCTACTTCATCTTAAGGATTGCCATGAGTAAATGGGTATTTCACTTTAAGTAAGTTTAAGTGGGAGACTCACCATTTTCTTTTCAAGTAGGCTGCAGCTCTATTGCCATACAAAACAGCAGCAGTGCTGCAGGAGGCTATGGCCTGGTTGTAGACGTCTATGGACTGCTTGTACTCTTCTTTCTCAAACAAAGCGTTGGCTTGTTTTTTCAAATTCTCCACCAATGGACTTAGCTGTTTGGGCTCTCCCTTGTGTCTGAAATATAAAGACAAAAATGTTGTGTTAAACCTACCATCCCACTAGGACATAAACCACTGACAGAAGCCATCCAGACAACCTGAACCTAATGTTGTAGAATATTTTATAGAAGGTGTTCATATAGAACAGTGAGACCTCAAGCATGAAACAAAGTTATATTAAGTTACTGGATAATTTATTTTAAAAATTAGTGGTAATACAATACAATACATTAATAAAATAAGTCATGCAAAAAAATACTTTCAGTCAATTTTTTAAAACAAATGTGTATGTTTTGTATATGTCAATTCTGGCTTACGTTAATATTTAAAAAACTAATACACTTAGTAAGCTCATAATTTTAGGGAGAATAAGAACAGCCTACAACATAACAATTAATCATACTGTAATTAGATTGTTGTATGCTGATAAAGAACATGAATTGAGATGTCTGATGTAGGTGTCATTGTATTTAAAGGGAAAGCACTTGCTTTCTATGTTTACCTTTTATTTGGAAGTTCACCAGAACGATCACAGGCTTTTTCATTTTCTGGAAACAGTGAATGTGAGGATCTGGTGTTGGGAGTATTGGATGAGGAGGGGCGACAAACTCCGTTGGTTCCATTGGCATGAAGATTATAACCATTGCTTGCGCTGGTCAGGTTCTCTGCAGATCAGAATATTTAATTAAAACTTCTTTCTATAAACAGCCAGGAAGGGGTAAATTATTTAAAGGAGTTGACTCAAAAATTAAATTAATAAATAAAGCGCTCAAATTAATGAAAATAAAAGATTTTTATAAGTGAAATACCTTTGGAGATGCCATTGGTACCCAGAATAGAGAGGTCAAAACGTCTTGGCCGCAGCTTTTTGTTGACATCAAACAGGTAAATTTGCTCCCCACCCAAGTTGGCAAGAAGTTCAGATCCGTCTGGGCCAAAGGTGAGGAAAGTAGAGGCTAAGGTGCGGTACCTCTTCTTGTAGTCCTGCTGCTTTTGAGGCAAGTGCCCTATAACAAAATAATTGCGTCAAAATGCTGGAGACCAACCAAAGTATAATTTTCAATCCAAGTTTAAGATGGAACAAATTCCTACCAGCAATGTAATACTGAGCACACCCATCAGGGATTGAGTAGTTTTCTCCCTCTATGTCCTCTAGATGTGGATGATCCCAAGGGTACCTACAGGTAAAGTTGTTTTAAGTCATCAACACATCACTAAACTCCTTTACACAGTTTAAGCATTATTTAATATCTATCAAGTACACAATTATTACTAGATAATTAAAAGATTTAACTGATGTTGATTATGGAAGTTAAAAAATTGACATATTACTATAAAATGATGATATAAAAACATATACAACCAAGTTGGAGGCTGGCTCTGTGTAAACTATTCAGGCTGCATCGCCAGTGTGTAAGATATTGTCTCTTACTTGATGCTTCTTCCTTCCCACCACATGATAGCTCCACTCAGCAATGAGTGACCCCAGAGCTAACAGGGGAGGTCATTTGCAGCCACTAATACGTTACAAACCTGCTGGAGTTGTCCCCCGGGATACGCATGCTACTGCAGCTGAGCATCCTGCGGTCATAGACTCTGATGTACGGATCATTGGCACCAACAGCCAGCATTTCAGGCCTCAGTGGGTTGATGGCCAGACACTTTGCCTCGGCGTACTGGCCCATGTGGGCATTCAGGTTTATCAGGATGTTGTTGGGAGCTGTTGTTGTGGTGCTCGTGCAACGTAAATCAAACTGCCTGCAACGATTAGCCAAAATATTCATTACTTTTTAATCAAATTCAATAGCAATATTAATATCCAACATTACTAAATAACTGGATATTGCTACACTAAAACAATGTACAACTAGAACATTGCTCTGAAGAATGATTTAACTTTAATTTTTATTAACATACATAATAGTGCCATCTTCTGCAGCACTCCAGAAAATAAACGGTATGTTGGGTGCTGTGGCTATACGTTTGACTCTACCAAGGTGATACGTGAACACATGTGTTGTTTCATTTCGATTCAAATCATGAACATTGATACGTTGATCTGCCGCACCAGTAACCATAAGGGAATCATTTGAATGGGGTAAAAACTGTTGAAATGAAAATATCCGTTTAAAGCCCAGCGTTATAGCAAAAATATACTAAATAAAAAGGAATATACAACTGCTATCAATGGCCTAGAAGGAACTAATATAGGCTGCAAATAACTGAGTTGATTACTTTAAAGTCTTTAATACAATACAGTTTCAAAATTGTATTTAATGGTAGGATGTGTATATATTTTACTGGTTGTTGCTGTGTAACATTTCTGATGCCAATAACATCAAGGAACAATATTTTTAAGTCTACACTAATCAAGAAGGTAGTGTGATTAGTTTGTTTGAAATGTTTAAAAGTAGGAAACTCTTTCACAATCAAGATAATACTTAAAAGGTATATCACTGGATTATTTATAGCAGTATTATATGTAAAACACAATTTAAACAGAGTAGTGTAAGCATTCATACCTTCACTGAAAAGATATTTCCTTGGTGACCTGTCCTGACTTTGGAAATAATTTTGTGCTTGAAAGGGTTCCAGAGAATGACATGGAGGTCATCTGAGCCACTTGCCAGGATGCTGAACCAAAATATTATTATTTATTCAGCTGACAAAGAGCTCTTAAAATGGAAGTTTAAACATGAGACAAATAAATTCGTTTTAATGTATGCTAAAAAAATTGGTACAAACCTGCCACTTTCATTCCACTCCAAACAGTTCACACAACCCCCATGGCCCTAATGTGCAAATAAGAAGGAAATAAGTAATTGTTGTTAGATGTATAAAATCATAACAAAATCAAATTGGTATACACAAATATTTTATGACTAAAAACAATTTTTTTTTATTTACCTCAAGCTCCTTCTCAAGGGCCAAACGACTGACCAGTTCTGCTGTTACTTGCTCTGAACGCTGAAAGCGAATTTGGCCATTGTCCTGAAAAAATCATTTGTACTATATTTAAACTTAGGAGCTTTTTCAGACTCTGCAAAACTTGTTAATTTGGCAGTTTATGAAGTAAGGAGAAATATTAATTCACTTGCCTTTATTTCTCTTTCAATTTTTCTTTTGAGCGACCACATGGTGAGTGCTCAGCACCTCCACACAATCTGAACAAAAGCCAGAAAAGGGTATATAAAAGTTGCACTCAAACCATAGTTTAGGAACTAAAGGAAGTCTAAGTCTGCTGTGAATAAAATCACACAGAATTATGTCATAAAGTTCAACCTGTCCCCTACATTAACTCCAATGCTAACAAAAATGAAGCAATCATTCATTATTTTTTTTTTTAGAAATACAAAATGTATGCTTGGTACATGTCTTAGCTCCCTTCCAACTCCCTCGATCCCCATGTAGCATAACACATTTCTAAGGTCCTAGCTCTAATGTTTTTAAGTATGTAAAATCGGCATAGGTTGGTAATGTGAAGGAAAGGTGACTAATTAAATTGTGAACTTAAAAACTTGAAATTTGCTTGAGAGGGGAGGGGGGGGGCGAAGAGAGAAGTGAAGACACAGACGATCTCGTGAACTTGTGTTCATTCTATGACGTTTGCTTTAGGCCTGCTGAACTCATAGTGACCTGCCGACCGTGGTGGGATTTTTCACTCACGTGATAGTAAACGTAAGCAATCAATCACGCCAGTGACCATGTTTGGAAATTTTATTTTAAAAAAAAAGAATAACACGTCATGTTTTAAATAAAATTTAAAAAAGAACCAGAATCGGACGTGCCAACCCCAGGTTCGAACTCAGAGCTCCAGGTCTATGAACTACAGTCTACAGCTGGCACACTGTTGACTCAACCACACCGGATGTGTTGGAAATGGAAAAAGTCAGCATTTTCAATCACAAGATGGCAAATCCAACCTGCGAGATGCGTAGTCACTTTGTTACGGGCCACGCTCTGTGAGACACGTAGTTACTCTGTATTTACTTTTATCAGGCCTACTTATTCATTAAATTTATGCATACAGTGACCATACCCTACCCTTGCACTTTGTGGCTTGTTTTTGGCACTGTTTTTTAGTTATTAGTATTTACTGTTTATATTAATTTACCAATCAAGTGTATTTTTCTTTCAACACTGAAATAAAACTATTTTAAAATACCAGCACTAACTGTCTTGATAACTTCAACTAGATCTAGATCTAGATCTAGATCTATTTGGCCTCCCTTTTTTTTTTGGCAATAAAAAAAAACCCACAGACTCCACAGACAGAATTCATAGCTCCAGCAATCAAAAATAAAAAAAAAAAGGTTGTAAAAAAGTAATCTATCAAACATACTAATAATATCAAAATTTTAAAGACAAATTTAATTACCTAAGAAAACAAACTTTTTATCTTTTGGTTACGACTCCTTTCTCCTAACTCTAACAGATTATTCTTTCCAAAACAATAATAATACTAATACCAGTGTTTGTTGTTCTGTACGTTTCCGGTTTACAAGTTGTATACATCTACAATGTCGCTAATATAAATAAATGAATAAATAAATAAAATGCACGTTTGAAAGCTGCAATTATTTACGTAATATTATGATTATTTTAATATTTCTAAAGAGAGCTAATGTATGTACTCAAACAGAATTATTGGTAGATCTAGAAATATCGACCTTTACATTTACTGAAATAACAAAATATTAAAATAAGTCGTAAAACATTTTCGGGTTTTCTACTTTCACTTTCACAATTGCGATGCAAAAGGAAAATGGCATCCCCCTGTGACAGGCTTATCTTACAAAGTGACTGGGAGCAAGCTTTGAGGTAAGCTATTTCTCATTTACGAAATGGGAGTTGAACGTTTTAACCAAGTATTACACCAGGCTTTTATATTTTTGAAGACACAGTGAACTCTGTGTGAATGCGCAACTGACTCACCTACGGCACAATCTTCTGTAAATCTGTGACGTAAAATCGGCCGAGGCTAGATCTAGTAATGTGAAAAGAAGGTGCCTCATTAAATTTTAGTAATTATTTCACATTTTTAGGAAGATTTATGTTTTAAAAGTTACAAATATGTTTCAAAGTTTTATTCATGTACCTGTTTTTAAACAATTGTATTAAAACTTTTCAGTAATAAATGAAGACTAGTGATGTTTTCATCAGATGCAACTAAGCTCGTTTACTTTAGCAGACATCTTGTTTAAGTTTTTTTGGTAAACTTATAGCGGGAGATTCAGGGGAAGCCACTCTATTTTACAAATGGCTGCTGTTTATATATAGCAAATCTTGTTCGCAAACACTGCTGTTTAAAGTTAATTTCTGGCCTATAGGCTATAGGGCCTATTGATATATTAAGCCATTGATTTTTGTTTATCTTTCAATTATCTATATCATTTGACACAAACATATCACAATTTACTTCTATTAAAGCGTTAACAAGGAGGCAACTTTGTCGCACATTACTAGCCTCGGCCGATTTTAACGTACCTAAAACGATAGATTACCCAATCTTCCACTCTTCCTTCATTCTCAATTCTCAATAGAAAATCCAAAATAGATCTAGATAATATTAGTAGATAGTATTAGATAGGATATTAGATAGAGTGACTGTTACTTCACTACCTTCAATCTTCGCTAACTTAAGTACTATCGTTTATTAATATTTATTATGATAATCAATTTTCTAAGTAAATTATCAATTTTGATACCCAAGCTAGTCTAGTGCTTAGAACTATGGCAACTAGATTAGTTAGCTATGAAGTTTAAAGTTACAGTTGTGTTGAAACACAACAGTCCATAGTCCATACTAGACCATAGTGACATGTCCAATTTACTATTTACTACATAAAATACTAAAAATCTAGAAAACAAACATTTATCATTTTAATATTTTAAATGCTTTTTAAAACATTTAACCTAAGCTTTTAAAATATAAAAATAAAAAACTTCATCAACTTAAATTCTGGAGTTTTTAATAAATTTTTACATTCAGCTAGCTAGTAGTTAACATGCATCTTCATTTTCCTGTTGTTTTTTTTGTGTTCCATTCATATCACAGCATACCCCTACCTACCTTTCTAAATTGTACTAAATCACCATACTAAACACTGGGTATACAGTTTAGTTTAGCTTTCAACAAATCCTGCTCTTTTTAACCAAAAAAAAAAGAGTCAAATGCTGCACTATGGACAATAATGATGCATTTTGCAAGCATTTTTATGTAAATTAAAAAATGCATAAAAAAAACAAAAAAAAAAAAGATAAAAAAACAAAAGATATTTATGTTAATTTTAAATGTATTATACAGATAAGTACAGTTTTCAAGATATTATTTCTCATGATATATTATGATACCCTTTTTTTAAAACACATATAGGGAAAGAAATGGAAAAGCATGGCTAACTTATAAAACATCAGGTAAATAAACTTTACAATTATTAATTGTTGCTTTATTTAGATTAGTCATTAACATTTTATTTAAAAATTACTATATTCAATCAAAAAAGGGGAGATAATGAGATAAAATGCTAGTGATAGCTCAATCAGCTAACCACTGAGGGTGAACTGTTTGTCAGGGTTGACTGATTTCACACCCAAGCATCGACCACGAACAAAGTAGGTGCAGAAAACTGTCATATAGAGATCACAAGCTACTGGTCGGGTTTAACACAAATATTTTTAGTCATAGCTTATGCAGTGTCAACTTCATTTGGAACGAATGACTAAAAAGTGGAAAATAAAACAAATTTAAAAACCTTTATAATAACAAGCTTTAAAAACTTTTATTTAAATATGCAACATATTTTTTTTGTTATTTTTTTTGTGTGCATTTAAAAGCTTGTTATTGTAAAGGTTTATATATTTGTTTTATTTATTATTTAGTCCAGATGAAATCTTTTTTATGTTTTTATAAGACTTGAAGAAAAGACTTTTAAAAACTCTATTTTAGCTCCTCCTAGTGAGTATTCTGAAGTTGTCGGGCATGGTGTTTCAAATGAAGGGTTGCTGTATTTAACAACCAAAGATGAGGAATTTGTAATCTCTGACATAACAAAGGTTTCCAGATCTTTTATACATTTTAAAAATACAGAAAGAAGCTTTTAAAGGTTCATGTAATAGAATCTTTTGTATTTGAAAAGAAACTCTGTTTTTATGGATTAAAAACAATATTTTTCTATCTTTAAAAGAATATTTTTAAATTTGAATTTTTACTTGTTTTGATATATTCCACATGTTTTCACACATAATATTGCATGGTAATGTTTAGTGAAACAGGGCTATGCCAATGCTGCCTACTTTATATTTGATTTGTTGCTTATTTCATTTGGTAGAAAAGTGTCATAATCACATACAATGGGGAAAATGCCACTCTCTCCAGAAAGTTTGTTGCTCCAGTGTTAACTTTTTCAAGTATCCATTCTGCCAGAAAACAGGTAATTTTTTGTTTGTTAAGGCAACCTCTCATGCTTCTTATTAAATGAGGGGGCATTTTTACAAGATTTTTTTTTTTAAACATAATATGTTTTTTAAGAAAATCTATTTTAAAGTATTCTAGTTATTACAAAAAATTCCAGCTAGATTTATGTCAAAGATATTATTCTATATGTGTAATTGATAATAGGTCTCTTGCGTGGACACATCATCAGGAGGTTTAGGTGTCTCATGTGATTCTGAAGGCAAGTTAAAAATTTGGCAAACCAGTGATGGAGAAATTAGGGTAATTTTGCTAATTATTAATTTTGTTTTTGAATGTTCTTGTCTTGATTCATTTTTTTAATGGAGTTAACTCTCTTGAATTTCTGAGAGAATTGCTGGAATAAGTTGTTACACAACCAGCCTTATTTCTTCTTTGTTTAGAGAGATCTACAAGGTCATGTTGGAGATGTTTACACATGTAAATTCTTCCCGTCTGGGATTGTGTTGTTGTCTGCTGGTGCAGATACAATGGTGAAAGTATGGTCTGCGGAAAATGGTAGTTGTGCAGCCACAATCACTGGCCACAAAGCAGGTAAAGGACTTAGAATTTAGGATAAGAGTTGCTATTATGTGCAGTATGTAGTTCATCTAAATTTTGGAAGTAATCAATTAAATTATTATAACAACTAGTAGGATTTTATGAATATTGATGTGTTCATTTAAATTATTTCTCTTCAGAAAAATTGTTATATCATGACATGCAACATCTTTTTTCCAATGCAGCAATATTAGATACTCAAATTGTAGAAAGAGGCAGAAATGTTATCACAACAAGTCGAGATGGTACAGCTAAGCTATGGGATGTTGGACAACAAGCTTGCCTAGACACTTTTACTGACATAGGAGGCGATGTAAATTGCTGTTCTCTTGATATCCCTGAAAACTCAATCAATCTGGGGGAAAGAGTTTCACAAAGTATGCTTTTTAGTAAAAAATTTATGTAAGAATAACACCTTCGTTAATTCGACAATATATTATTTGTCTGAAATTTCTAAAAATTGTATTTATAGGATTTCTATACTCTGCTAAATATAACTTGTGAAATAACACATTTTTTATTTATAAGCCTTTCCGTATTGTATAAAATATAATGTTCTGTAATGTTTTTCCAAAGTAAGATTAATTACTTTTGTATTAAAAGGTGACAGAGAAGTTGGAACAGAGGGGAAAATGTTGCTTCTGGGGTGTGAAAATGGTACAATTCAAGGATTTGGACTTGCATCGCGAAACCAGGTGTGAAGATACTATTTTAACAGTTACATTCAGCGTAATTCAGTTTACCAGTAATTGTTGGAGAATAAAGCACAACCATTGGCATGGCAAGCTTTGTCAATCTATGCTGTTGATTGCTAATCAAATTACATAATTAATAAATCCACTGTTAGCCTTCTTCAAAATAAAGCATAAAATTCTTATTATTAAAATGTATTCTATATTTACATACCTATGTTTCAGATAATTATAACTAATATAACATCACCTATCATTTTCTGTCTGGCTTTTTAAAAAAGAATTATAAAGAATTATCAATTGTTATTTTTAAATGTTCCAATACACTGGACATAATCATGAATGAATTAATTATGGTATATCTTCATTTTTCTCTGTAATTATAACCAGTCAGTATGACAATGATATATGTCAACAGATATTCACCCTGCAATGTGATTCAGCTGTCAACACATGTGCGTTTGTGTCAGAAATGTATGCTGCTTGTGGCACTCAAGAAGGACTAGTGCATATTCTAGACTTGAGAAACACAAGGTTAGGCAAAAATTAGTGACTTTTCCTTATATTTCTCTTTCATCTTTAAAACCTTCGGAGAAAAATGCTTCCTCCCCTTTTATCTAAGATGATGTTTACATAACAGGAAACGTGAAACTTTTTAAAAAAATCAAAGGTTTTGATTTAATTTACCGGAACATGGCCATTTTAAATAATTTTGGCTGCTAACAATTTGATCATTTGTCACTCCACTGATTGCTCTAATTAGTGTGATTGTTCAACATCTTTTAGTATATTACACATTTCACGGAAAATAATTGACAGCCATGTTCACAGCATAATGCACATCAAGTGAATCAAATCATATAATGTCAAGGTCATTTATAAATGTTTCAATTTTTAGTTCTCCCCTGCTATCATGGAAGGAATCCAGAGGCCCCATTTTGTCATTGTTGAGTCATAAAGGAGGCTGTTTTGTATCTACAGGTTAGTGCTTTAACTTCCTTTTAACAGCAATTTCATCTCTATTTCTGTTACATCAGAAATATTTGAAGTTAAAATAGGAAGTTCTAACAAGAAAGAAACCCATTGTTAGTGGTGTATTTTTCCAGTGACAGTGAATATTTTCACAGCACAATCAAAACAATAGACCAAGCTCATGTATTATATAACAATTCCTAGATGTAGCTTGTATTCAGGTTCATAGTTTGAGGCCTCTAACCATGAAGTTTCATTTATTTTGTTCATTTTATCTAGGTGATGGTTCTTGTTTTCACTTCAATGAAAGATGGGAGACAACTACAGAATTAACTGGTTCTGACTGTGACCCCATATACAGAGTATCATGCGATGGTAACTTCATTTATACCTCATGCAGAGATGGTTGTATTAGAAAGTACAACCTGAGTTTTATTAATTAAATCCCACTGTATTTGCAATTTTTTTATTTTGCTTTGTAAGAAAAAATATGAGTTTGAAGAATAAGATCAAAGCTTGAAATTAAAATGTCAATCCTTGCCTTTTTACTTTCTTGTATTAAAGTTAAGTATTGTAATCGTGAAAAAAAATTGCAATTTTGTCTGTATGCCTGAGTGTGTTTATGTCCGTGAACATGATAACTTGAGTACCATTACAGCTAAGTTGATGAAATTTGATATATAAGGATTATACCAAATTTGTAGTTCTGTATCAACTTTACAGCAATTTCTGGTAACCGAAACTTATTCTTCTTTGGGTTTTTCAAAAGGCTATAACGTGAGTAGTTTCAGATAGACGAAATTTCAAATATAAATAGAAGTTATAATTTTTTGCATTCTATCAAATTTTGAGACATTTCCGTTTACCAGAAGTAGTACTTTATGCTATTTCCGATTTCTCATAAAATGCATATGAATTTATAAAGTACTAATATTCTGTACTATTATTATACACACATTGCTGTTCACTTGTTGCGCAATTTTTTTTTTTTTAACGAGATTGTATTTTTAAGTTTCAGTATTTAAAAATTGATTAAAAATCATGTCTAATATCGTTAGTTGCTATTTCACGTACTGTTATATAAGAATATTTGAGAAAGATTAGGGGAGATCGATCGCCCTTTATTTTTAAATGCAGTAATATTAAAATAAACACTAGGAATAAATTCCTGGAGTGACTATAGATCTTAATTCTCATCCAAAATATAAAATATTTTTTAAAAAACAAACAACAAAAGCCAGTTTACAGACAACATATAATTTGTATTCTTCTCATCCATTTTCACTTCATGCACACATTTTCATTCTTATAAACATTATCTTACATTGAAAAAAAAAATTCTAAGTCATTTACACTAATCAAAGTTCCGTTATATATCCAGCAAGTCAACAATGGTCAGACACTATTGTCTTGTAACAATAGCTACATCGAAAAGTAACAGCATCAATAAGAAAAGGAGCAGGCCTAGCATTGTCAACAAATTCAATGCTCCACAAACCTTACAAAGGTGGTGGCAGTATAACAAAGTTGGACTACAGTTGTTAAAACTGTTTCAAGTATGAATGCAGAAATTTCAGCTACACTCAGAACAGTGTTTAGACTACTTTTTTGAAGACCTCATGTGTGGTTAGAGGTATAACTTACTGAATCCTACAACTTTTATTTTAACCAAAGATTTTTTTTCTTTCTATTATTCTTTAAAAAAATTATAATTTGTCTAGAAATAAGCTACAAAAACAGAACTGTGTATAAAATGGTTCCATTGTAACAAAATGCAAATGTTATAAAAAGGTGTTTCTAAACTAAGAGAGAACAAATAGCTCAGGATTCAGCAAATATTCCTACAGGTCATTTTCCTAAAAACAATCTAATGACTTATATAACTTTTAAGTGAGAAGTTTTATTTACTATAACAAGCTAATTGGGTATTACTGGTCTTTCTTCTAATTTATCATACTCTAGATGAAAATCTTTTGCAACTTTTCTCCACTGATTTGCATCAAAAAACAAATATGTGCCTCTTTCTGACGTTTGTGTTTTATTGTAAACTTCACACTGTGGTGCTCGAGTTAACCAAACTCGTTCTTCTTTATGATACCTCCAGTCTCGGTTATAGCTGAAATTTAAAAAAAAATGCACTATAAACTTCATTAGATAATAAAGTGTAGGAACTGATAGCCCATCTTTTAAAATTTATTTCTAAATCTTTACAACAACATTCAAGTATAACATTACTGGTAATAAGAATTAATAATCTGGGTTTTTTAATAGAAAAATGAATAGACTTATAATATCAATTCCTATACCTATGTACACTTACAGTTCAGCTGCTGCTGCTAGTTGCAACACATCTCCACCATTCATATAGAAGAGATAAAACAGAAGATCTTCACTGTAACGGTTCAATTTGATTGGTGCTAGCTGAAAAAAAACAATTTTGGTTGACTTTAGATGTATGTAAAAATCAATATTAAATACAACTTACACAACTAATTCATTTTTTCTACAAAGGCAGTTTTTTAACAAGAGACAAATAAAAAACAAATTTCAACAGCACTTACCTTGTCTCTGATAAACATATTCGTAAGATACTCAGCTGGTACATGATAATCTGGAGGAACAAAAAATTTAACTAATGTCAAATGGTGTATTAATCAAATCAGCCTTAGCACAGAAGTGGGAAAATAAAGATGTTTTCTTATTGATTACTTTTCATTTAAAAATTCTTACCAATATCTTGCGGCCGACAAGCTGTTTCTGCAAAAGGAGACTGAAACATACTGTAGAGATTCCTAAAAAAAAAAGTATTAAATAATAACCCTTAAAAAACAAAGGTGCTTGTCAGAACTTAATTAATTTTTTGCTAGTATAACACAGCTAAAAACTGTCATGAACTTACTCAGGTGAATTTAAATTTAAACCTAATGTCGTCAGGTCTATTCCAGGTGCCAAAGCGACCATGTTGACATCTTGGTCTGCTGCCCTAATGAAAGACAATAGTCCTACGATTCCAAACTGATCCATGACCATACCAGAAGGTATGTTGGATATCGTACCTAGACATTTCAATTGATGAATAAATACAAATTAAACAGTGAAACTTGTTTTGGACATACAAAATAAACATTGTATATATCAAAATAAAGAAATTCACAAATAATTAGGAAAAATAATAAAACCAGTTTTACCATCTGGATGTGTCTGAATTCCCCGTTTTGGTGTTAATGTTTGTTTTCCGTCTTTGGAAGCATCTTTAGACAACTGATCCCCAACAACAGCACCATTACCCTTAAAAAACAATTGTAATTCAGAAACAGTTATGTTTATTATTGTTTTTGAAAAAAAACATGTAATGTATAGAAAGCCTGATGGTTTTTGATCAATCCGAAATCTTTAAGGTCTAACAATTAACCTAAGAACCTTAATACTAACATTTCTTACATCTCCTGATTGCACAGATGGATCTGTAGAAAAAAAAAGAATTGAACTATTATAGAACATCTTTTTTTTAGTTAGAAAACAAATATTTATCATTCTTTAACAATTAATAAAAAATAAATTTACAAAAAAATTTTAAAATAGATATTACAGAATAAAGCACTTACTCTGAGCTCCTGGAAGAGCAGGGAATTCTTCTTGTGTTATATTAAATTCTGGCGCAGAGTCTGGGGCTGGTTTACTCACCATTCCCACTGCGGAAGATACCGGTTGGACTTAATGACAAAAAACAGATAAAACAGTTTAGGCATAAATGAAAGCACACAAAAATCTTCACTGCCATACCAGGACATGGAAGTAAAGATTTTTTCCAAGCAGGGTGGTTATAAATAAACAATAGTAAATTAATAAATATAGTTTAGCAATAATTACATTATTTAAATTCTAATTTAAACAATAAATTTAAATTTTCTAATAATTTAAAATTAGGTAAAAATGAAAATTATATTTAGAACTTTACTAATGGATAAATGTCTAAGAATGGTAAAATAACAACTCTCACCGTAATTTCGTGTCGATGGCATAGGATTTGGAGTTGCCGAAGATCTACTACTCAATATTGGAAAATCTGACAAATCTATTGCCGGATGGGAGTCGTCTGAAAAAAATTTCCACATAAGCTTTAGGTAAACCTACAATATTTTTCAAACATGAATGTGGTTTAGTTTACATTTTTAAAGAAATTTCATTTCATTATTCAATGTACAACAGTATTCACTACTTTTAAAAATATTTTATACTTACGTGAACGTGTGCCACCAAAACCATAACTAGATGCAAAATTTTGCATTGGCCCTGAACTGAAAGCATTAAAATAATACATATATATTTATCTAGCTTTACATTACTTGCACATTATCTATAAGTAAGACTTAATAACCATGACATAAAAACAAAACAAATATTTGCTTTGTTATTCTTAAATTACACGCAATTTTTATAAAACAAAGATTAAATTTATAAATTCTTACTTGAAAGCCCGCTTCTGCAAACTTGCTAAACTGGCTTGATTGGCTTGACTTTGTGCCCCTAAAACACTTCGAGGACCAATGGCAGCTAAACTGTTAGGAGAATGTTGCTGTTGCTGAGGTTGTTGCTGTTGCTGAAGACCCATGGAAAAGCCAGGATTCATACTGGTTGGTGTAATGTGGCCTGCACTATTCCCACTTCGAAAGTGGTTACCTCCTATTGCTCTCTGGGGTAATGGCAGGGTGCCTGGAAGCATGTAAAGATTAATTTATAATCAGCTGTTTTTTTATTTATTATAAAATAATAGGGCATTTAATAATCAATCAAAGAGTTTCCATTGTAATAACCTAAATTTAAAAAATCACATACCTTGACCATAAAAATTTGTGCCAGCAGTAAAACCTGCCATTTGTGATGGGGACTGTGATGCCATCATCTTAAAAAAAAAATAATATTTTAATAATTTTATGTACTTGATAATTTATTTGTACAAACCAATACAAAAGTAACTTTTTAAAATCCAGATGGTAAAAAGATTTAATAAAAAAATATGCAATACTATTTAGATTAATTTTCAACTACACATCAATTATTAAATAATAGCTACCTATTTCAAGCATAACGTTAATATGTATGTATACTGTTCGGTAGGGTTTTCTTTTTTAGTCAAATAAATTAAGCAGCAGCAAAGGAACAACCGATAAGAAATATATAAAATTTTAAGTTGTTAAGAAATTTGTTCAATTAAACATACCCCTGATGTAAGCTCTTTATCTGGACGAAACATGTTAAATGATGAAATGATGAATAGAAGAGAATATGTTTCTCTTCGTCAAACAAGAATCTGAAATGTTAAAGTTACAGAAATGTTATAAAAACAGCATGGCAGATAACTACATAAACAATAGATGTAACAAACTAAAGCACACAGAAAGTAGGAAAATCCTGTGTGAGCAACTAAGAACTAAGATTTGAAAAGTAGTCCAAATTATCATATTTAAAAAGTTTCCTTTTTTATTTTAAATGTTTTAAATGAAATGTAATCATTTCATTATCATTGTTGACAGAGGTAAAATTAAAACTAACAGTTATAAAATATTCTGTTAAAGCCACCTATAGGTACTATTATTTCTGAAATGAGTATTATACTAACAACATTTTTTGCTATTAAGTTTAGATTAGCTAATTCAGATTCATTTGGTTTTGGAGTGCAAAAATACTGTGTTAATGTTCAATAGTTATAACCTATTGAATGTTTTCTTAAATAAGATGACAGGGTCATGTTAGCATAATTCTATATTATTTGTGTAAATTAATATTTCAAAACATAATAGCTGGATCTTTAAAGTTTACTGTTGGACTTTAGGTTCATAAATGTATTTTTAACATGTCAAAAATCTTAAGTCTATTACCATAGATCACTGTGATATCACAGTGATATAAAAAAAACATTTGTTTTAAATAGGCCCAAATTATTTAAATATTCTTATTTTGCAATGACAGCTTTTAGAATTATTATTTTCCATTGAGACAGAATGAACACCAGAAGCCATAATAAAAATAAGCTTGCATAACATAAATTGTATTGGTCAGTTTTCAGATGTAAAGATTTTCATTTTTCCACTTAAGTTATTCATCTGCAATGTTTGAGTAACAAGTTTTTTATTAACTCAATTATTAATCTATATCATAGCAGCAGACTAGAAAAGACCTGTGATCTGACATGGTTAGACCTTTTTATTTTATATTTTTATATTGATTTCATCTCAAGGTGAGATCTCAATTGAGATGAATGAAAACACTACTACTCTTGCTAAATCTATTAATTCAAATCAAGACTACAAAGAAATTAAAAGCAAAAACAAGAGCTGGACTATCTTGAGGAACTGCTAAGAAAGTTGCTATTGACCAGCAAAGTGGAAAGAGCTTTCTGTAGCTGCCCCATGTGTCGTGGACACAGAAGTAAAGATAATGATAAAGAGACTTGCATTTAATTCAGAAATTATTATTTTTCAATGAGGCCTTTTTTAAACACTGAACAAGTGTTTTCAAAACAAAAGCTAAATCAATATTCTGATGTTTAGATATATTAGCATTAAATAGGCTAATTTACAAATAACATGGTGATTTTAAATTAGTTTGTCACGTTTTGAGATAAAACAGCACTGACAATCTATCTTTAGCTTCCCAACTATTTTTAGCTTCTTTAAGAACTGTTGTTTCCCCTCGAAAAAACAAGGCATTATGATATTAAGGTCGCGCTTAGTAAGTCACGATGTAGAGTTAATGAGTAAAAGTGGGACAGTTTGAAATGTATATAGCCTACCGACACCCCAAACTGCGTTTTTTTTTCTCGCGCAGATTAGAAAACATCAGAATGTTTCGAATTTTGAATATCTAGATATAGATTTTTAAAATATAGTCTAAAATAATATTCTCTTTATGAACTTGCACTGACCCGTCTATCGGGATTTTTCTCCCGCTGACAAGAAAACGAGAGCGGCAGTCAGAGGATGTTAAGATTGTTTGATACAAAATCAAATTAGACTAAAAAAAAAAAGAACACAACATTCATGATATATCATCTTTAGTTTATAACTAGAAAAAAAAACATGAAACAAAATTTGTTTTCGCAAAATTGTAAAGTTTACCGCCTCGCCATTTAGCTTTTCGCGTCTCACAATTTCCCAACACCCAATGATTTTTATTAAAACTTTAGTATACCCATAATACAAAATAAAGAGCTTCAACCTGATTCAAACATTGAAAAAATCTTTTTGGTCACTATAAAACATCTACTTGTACATTAAAAAAGTGTGTGGCTTGGAAAACTTTAAACACATCCAGAACAAAAGATGTTTAAATAAATGTGTTCTTACTAGATACACATGTGTAAGTGGTATTATATAATAGTCCCTATAGGCTTATAGCCTAGCCTAGATGGATATGAATTTTTTCTTGAAGGGGTGGGTGCTGCATCAGTTGATAACGACCTAATGATACCACTGTCTACATCTACATAAAACAACAGTGACGTAAGACCAATAACCATAACAAAAAACAAGCTTGCATAAGCATTATATTACAGGTCAGTTCTTGATACCTGTTTCTACTTGAAGCCTAACTTATTTCATGGCCTACCAACAGTATTCTGCCTAATAGATTAAGAAACAAAGATAGTGCCTACTTAAATAACTTAAATTAACCTCCTTAGCTAATAATAATACAATAGAATAGGGGCCTATTTTAAAATTTAGATCAAGTCCTTTATTTAAAGTACAGTTCAAATAGTATCTGATGGTATCTGAGATAGACCTAGTTATTTCTAATATTAGGCCTAACTATTATTAGATCCAGAATCTAGATCTGGTTAAATTAAAAGTTGAAAAATCACTTCAAGTTTGCTCTTTCAAAATCAAATGTAATTTCAATTGGACATTAGTTTAACAGATAGGTTCTTTGTCCCTATAATTAAGTACATTTTATACAAATAAATTGTGTATTAGATAGATCTAATTGTGTCATCATTATCACAGAACTAGATCTACCAGAAGAGTAATAAATAACACATTATTCATTATCAGGGAACAACAACAAAGTAAACTCGCAACTGTACAACACAAGACAGCAAGTCAAAAACTTGAACCTCTCTCACAAAACAGAATCAAGACTGGCTAAGTTACACAAGAAAAATTAACGCTTCTTTTTTAATAATATAATAAAACATACAGTGTAATTTTAAAGTTATGTTGCAACAACAAATAAATATACTTTAAAGGCTATACACTCTTCACAAATGATCATATTTTGATAGTTTTACTCATACCCTCATAATTCGCTATCATTCACTCCGGAAACGGAACAGACCAATTTAGCCATCTATCGCAAATTCAGGAAATACAACTCCAAAACAAATTATTATTAAAGTTAGCTTAGGCCTACAGAAGAAGTGTCGAATAGTTGTCATTAAAAACTGTATTGGCAAATTTAATATATTTTGAAAGGAATTTTTTTTTTTAAATATTTTTCAACAAAGAAAAAAAAATGGATAAGATTTCACATTAGGAACAATTCCAAAGCAACATTATGTTCACATCTGCTGACCCAAATGTCCTTACTAAATAAATGATTAATTGGCCTTACTTAAACTCGCACTTCAGGTTTTGTTATTGGTGTTCTAAAATAAAACCGCGCTTGCAAAATAAAATACCTCTTTGTTCGTAAATTTAGAACAGCCCACTCATGTATATATATATATATATATATATATATATATATATATATATATATATATATATATATATATATATAAATAAAATTATTTATTTATATATATATATATAATGTATGGTGATATCTTCCCTTGGGTTGGCCCCGGGTATCAACATAGCTCTGCACGCCACTGCTCTAAACCACTTGGTCAAAACGTCAACTCTTTAAAGAGATGGGTGATGCTAGATACTCTCAAACTATAAGTGGCCCCTCGCTTCAGCACCGTCATTGCTGTCTGAATTAGTTTGTAAACTTAAATATTCGTTGCTGAATTCAAGTGAGAAAAACTGAGGCCACGGTTGATGTTAATGAGTCGTCGTCGTCGTCCCCCCCCCCTCCCGAACTGGTACATACTGTTATTCTAAAGAAAGACATTAGTGTCACACCTCCCTTGTGTGAAGAGTACGGTCGCCTCGCATTTGACCTGATGTGAATGGAGATGGCGGTCGCGAATTAGCACCTGACCTGACATGGGATGTAAATTTGGGAAAACACGCAATGAGATACCCTATTGTATTCGGACCGATGAAGACGTTTTTAGTGAGCAGGCGGGATACCTGAAGTAGACAGTTGGTGACTTGATAAACGCTAATCTTGACTTTGTCGTTAAGTGGTCGGATGTCTTAATATAACAAAATTAACACTAAATGGCGTGGGAGGAGAGCAGAGGGGGGGGGGGTCAACAGAGTGATTTATTTATTTATTTGTTTTTGGGTAGAAAGTTAAAAGTTTTGTTATGTTGTGTCATTTTGAGGATTCATCCATTTCCTGACAAAATTATTAATTTACCGAAATCATCCAAATCATTATTTACTATAATCTATCAATGGTACTGAGATATAATTATCGTATTGTCGGCGTCGCACAATTTCGATGGAGGAAGGGGCGTCATGAAGGACAGTATATAGGCATTGATATTCCACCAATAAACGTGGTTTTCAGTTAAATAGTTTACCTGATATTGTAGGTACAATTTAGGTAGGGGCACATTTTAGAGAAGTTTTGCCCAAAAGCATCTATAAAGTATATTATGCCGATATTCATTATAATACATTTTGTGGGCACCCATAGAGTATTTAACCCATAATCATAATGCTTACACGGTAAGGGTATCTTTTATGTAATTATGCTTATTAAGGGGTCATCCATAAATGATGTCACACTCGTAGGGGGAGGGGGGTCCGTAATTTTGTGACGGTGTGTGATAGGGGGAGGAGGGGTTAGATGGTGTGACGTCACACTTTTGCATTATAAAAAAGCAATGTTAGAAAACGAGTTTTAGCCGTTATTTCGCGTTTTAGAAAACGGTTTTAATATATTGTAACAGGAGTTGATCAAAATACTCTATGTTGACAGAGTTCCGACAAGATTTTTGGAAAAATATTAATGTTATAAGAAAAATTCTACAGCAATTTTGAGGGGGTTTGTAGGCTGAAATGTGACGTCATTTTAGGGGGGGGGTCTGGCTTTTTGTGACTACATGTGACGGAGGGGAGGGGGTGAGGTAAAAATCGTCAAAAAAGCGTGACGTCATTTATGGATGACCCCTAATTAAAATACTTTTGAAGGGCATCCATACATTAATTATGCCCATAATCATTCGTTATACTCATTTTCAAGGACATCCGTCGAGTAATTATATCCATATCTATTTTTATACACTGTAGGGGCATCTTTAAAGTAATTATTCGCATATTTATAATAATATATTTTATGAGCATCTAGTAATATGCCGACTTCACTTTATTATATTATACATTTAAAGGCACACATACAGTAAATATGCACATCGTCATTTTATATATTGTAGGGGCATCTTGAAAGTAATTATGCTTATATTTATGTAATACATTCGAAGGGCATGCAACAGTAATTACACCAATCATCATTGTTAACATTGGGGCCTCTCTAAAGCTTTTATGGAAATGCTCATTATGATACATTTTAAGCAGAGTTTCTTCCAGGCATCTCTTCGGGGGGGGGGGGGGGGGTGATCCCCGAAGAAAGCCTACCGCCCCCCACCCCGAAAATTTCAAGTGCATCCCCGGAGAAAAAGTCTGGAAGAAACACTGATTTTAAGGGCATCCAACGGGTAATTATGCCCATATTATTATTATTATAAATCTGTGGGGCATCTTTGGTGCAATATATGGCCATTTTGTAGTGTAATAATGTCCATACTTTTTTTGTGTGTTAAATTGTAGGGGCATCCTTTAGAATTTATTCATTTTCATGCATTATATGAGCATACTTAAGAATAATAATGACAATATTGTTTTTGATACACTGTAAGGACAAGCTCAGGAATAAGCATCAACAAATTGTTTTCGATACATTGTAGTGATATCATTCAGAATAATTGTGCCCATATTGATTTTTATGAATAGGAGGAGCATGCGTTAAATAGTGTCAAAGTTAAAGTATTGTATTTTAATTCTGAGTAGAGCTTTCTTTCAACTAATTGGGGGCACATACAGGGCCAGTTTTACTCCACTTAATAGTAGAGATATCCATAGAGTTATTGAGCCCATATTAATGTAATGAAATGTGGGGATGTGTGTGTGTGTGTGTGGGGGGGGGGGGGGGGGGGGTTGGCCATGGAAGCCGTTAGTGGATTATCCCCCACCTGAACTGGACAGGCAGAGCCTAGAGCCAACCGTCCGCGCGGGGCCTGAATTTTTTCCATTGGTGCCTTAAACATGTAAAGCGATGCTGTATCAATGCAGCGAAATAGTGTGCGAATTTAGGTGTGCGCAGAGGAGTGTGGATGCCCGGGCCAACTCCAGAAGCCGCCCCCCCCCCCCCAAATATGAGTTTCGCCACAGCATGCTCGGGCTGCCGTGAGTCGGTGCTTTAGACGTGTGAGAAATCAGGACAAGTTTACAATAAAGCGAACTCTGCCTGGTGTATCCAAACAGTATAGACTTCACATTTTGTTTCGAATCCCTACAATATCATTATAAAGGATATCCCTACAATAAATAAAGAAACAACTTAACAATGTGCTTAATCACTCTATGAATGCCCTTATAGTTCACCAAAATGATATATATTTTCTATATAAATTATATTTATTTCATTTCGTTGCGGGGGGGGGGGGGGGTAAAATCTTTCCGGGGGGGGGGGGGGGGGGGGGGGAGGGGGCGAAATATAAGTTTTGCCATACGGACAGTGTAATGTCAAATAAGAGTGACGGACGATTGAGTGGTACAGTTTGTTTTGGGTGAGATCGGCAAACATGGAAAGTTACGATGACACAATAAAACAACATATCGCAAAGTTTTTTTTAAAATTACGGACTTAAACGTAATCCTAATCGAAAGATAATTTCGGCGTGAGGGTTAAGGCTAATGTGTTTAAGTTTAGGGTTGGAATTATTGCCGTATACCCTGTTTTTGTTTTCTTTACTCTGCATAGCAGCTTAGCGAAATTACGATCAACGATATTGTATTTGTACTCAGCCCATTGCTGGAATTTTATAAAATACGGGGTTTCTCAATTTACCGATGAAACCAAGAAAACACTTGCTCATTACACCATTCGACGACTGATAATTGGAAGATGGGAGCTTGATGTTTTACGGGCGCGTAGTTTACAACCCGAAGATTAGTCAGCGACGAGAGCTTAGTAGGCTCATATGATATTTGAGGAGCTCTAGCAGGAACCTTTGATTGGGGACCGTTTTGTTGAGGGATAATTATAATGGGACTTTGTCATGCGCCCTTTTGTCGGATGCCCTTCTAATTAGGCAGTTTTGTTGCGGTTGATTGGACAGGCTTGCTTTAACACAAACTGTTTTTACGCCGCTCTAAATTTTGCTTACATTCTTCATTATCTAGAACACCTCACAAGGTATAATTAAATACATAAACTGTTTAAAATAAGGTGCAAAAAAAATACCGTGGAAACAAAAATGTAATTTAAGAATTAGCTAATTTTATATCCAGGAATTAATTTGCTTTAAGTTAATCAATGGAAACAGATTATAAAATGTAATTAGCCCACTACCCGGGATACCGCTTCATGCATGCATCCCCCCCCCCCCCCTTTGAGAAAAATTGGTCTTTAAAAAACACAGAATATATGTGGGAGTGATCTAGATCTAGTCGCAAATTAAAATAATTAAAATCTATAAAGTTTTAAAAACAAATTATTGAAATAATCAAAAGTCACTGTCGTTGACACATGGTACGTTGATAGATCTATTCTAGATCTATGGCCAGTGTCTCGGAATCTTACAAATGTAGATCTATGTATGTACTATGTAATGAATAATTATTCTGCACAATTTTTTTTAATAAAGAAAAACTTTCTTTTAAAACAGTGCTTCTTATAAAATTTGTTTAAAAATACAGATCTAGATTAGTGTATGCTACTGTCAGTGTTGATGACTAGAAAAAAGTCTTATAGATAGCAGAGAATTTTTAAAAATCCACCCGGCCGCATACCCAATAGTTGTCATTGGCAGTGCAAAATGGCGACGGACATGGCTTCCCAAAACAATAACTGTCGAACTACTGACGACAAAGATCCGTCTACTTCTGTATCGAAAACACCAGTAGACTTTATAGAAACCGCAGAAGCAGCATTTTCTGAATTTTATGATGAGGTTTTTATATGTGTTTTTCAACCATATTATGATAATTCACTCATGCCCAACTGAACCGAGACGGGTCACTCGGACTCTTCGTCGGCAATGTTTTTTTTTTTTTTAATTTCGTAAAGTTTCATATTTTTTTGATTGTTTTGTTTTAGTTACAACCTTTAGATCTAATAACTCGTCCTTTCCTCAATGTGAAAAACCTTTGTTAGGCTTTAACCTTTACTTTAAACTTTAAACGAAATAGAAATCTACACCATCTGAATCTTTATTCAATAACAACAACACTCAGGCCCTTGGACTCCTGGGACCAAGCTTGGCATCTAGGAGATCTAGATATCTAGAATCTAAAAAAAAACAACTAATAAATAGTAAATAGGCCTAACTAATGTCTAATTTAATTAGATCTATCTATTTTTATAGTTGGTAATCTCACGATATAGCGTCGGAAATTATCTGGTAATCTTTGTTGACTTTTGGTAACATTCGGTTTATTTATTTGAATTTTAAAATAAAAATAAAGTGAAAAGTGCATTGAATTAATGTTTTAACTTAATGTTTAATCGAAAGAAAAACATTTGCAACTATTAGTAAATCTAAATATTATTAATAAAGTCGAGTGTAGAAATTAATGTTTTTTAAAGAAACACAGAAAAAAAAACTTGCAGAAGATTTACGACAACTAGCCCTAGTTCTGTTAGTAAAATAAGACGATTAGATTTACTTAAGTTAAAAGTAGTAAGACAAACTAGAACAATGTTTAGTAGCAGCAATAATTAGCACATACACTTAAATAATTAGAATTACAAATTAATTAGCAAAACAGTATTTAAAATGCAACTAAAATCAATCCTTGCCAATTTTAAAACATTATGTTTTTATAAATAATATGGTGGCAAAAAAAATCATGGTTTACAGTATTTCCAGTGGTTTCTGGAACGGCACAACAGACTACTCCATGATTTTACTGTTTTTTTTACGGCTATACACGTTTCGGAATAATAACCGACGCTATATAGTGATTTTACCTTATAGTTATTATTCTTAGTCTAGTATTCTAATTCTAGACCAAAGTCTCTCTGTGTATCCTCTAGTCATTTGACCTAACTAGTGTTAAGAAGAATCAAGTTTATGATCTAGATGATGAAGAGATTATAATTTTAGACTATTTAAAAAAATGAAATATTTGTATTAAAAATTCTAAACATTGTCGCCTGCTTCTCACTCGCTCACGTTTTTTGTCAGCACCATTTAAGGGGTTACTGTTACTGTATATAAAAATTTTAACATATGTCATACCCTGAGCGATAGCAATATGACAAACATGCTTGGAGTCATTGTGACAAAAAATCTTGTCAGCGGGAGAGAAATAATTAGCAACATTGTTTATGTAAGGCTAATACCTTTCAATCTTTAACACTAGTAGGAAGTATAAATAAACAAATTTAAGTGTAATTTATTTTTTATTGAGTAATGTTAATAATAAACGTTTTTAAAAAATCAACAAAGTTAATATTTATACTAAGAAAAAATAAATTGTAGGCGGCTGTAATAATACAAAATTTCTTTGCAACAATACATGTTTGCGGTGACAGTGACTTTGAGCACGGCCACTGTGTCCCACAGCGATGGAAACAAATTTCAAATGCGGTATTTCAAATGGTTTTGAACAAGGTGGTATTTGACTGGCGATTTTCGCACCTTTCTCTTAATTAACCTAGCTTGATGCTTCCTGTCTCGCAGTTTACCAAAACCCTCATGTTATAGCGAGATAAAAGTGTGTAAATGTAAGTGTAGGTTATGTAATTGTATTATACCCTAAAAAAACCAATATAATACTCTATTCAAACTCTATTGTATAAACTTTATTGTACAACTAGCTAGATATAAATTTTAACAGTAGTAAACTTGATTCAGGGCTGTCTACTTTTAGGATTTTACAATTTTGACATCCAGGTTACCACATTATGCAGGCTAAATGCAATAGTTATGCTTTTGCCTTCTGTAAAAAATTAAAATCATCTTCATCATAAATTAATATAGTCTAGGCCTATAATCTTAAATTGGTAATTAAATATAATTTCATATTATTGTTTAAAATTTGATGTCCAATCCTTTCAGGTAAAAGCAATAGAAAAACGTGATTCAGTTTTAACATCCAAGCAGCAAATTGATCGCTTAACAAGACCAGGAGCAACTTATTTTAATCTCAACCCCTATGATGTAAATATTTTGTCAATAATTTGAATAATTAAAGTGCCAACGATGGAAGCATATTTTTCAAAAAGCATTATTTATTAACAAAATTATTTCAAATGTGATTTTTTTAATTCATGTTTTTTTCATAGGTGTTACAAATTGATCCTGATACACCTTTGTCTGAAGTAAAGAAAAAATATAGACAGGTAAATAGCTAGTCTTCTTTTAAAATAAAGTTTATTGTATTATTAAAATGTAAAAATGTTAAGTGTATCCACATGGGATCTCCAATCTCGTCCATTTTCAAAACATACTTTTTTTATTTAATGGGTGACATTTTATATTTGTTGCTATAAATATTTATTGAGACTAAATATAAAAATATGACTTTTTAAAATGCTTTTTTCTCTTAATAGATGTCCATTCTTGTGCATCCTGATAAAAACCCAGATGATCCTGATAGATCTCAAAAGTCATTTGAAGGTTAATGCAAATTTACTTATTAATCTTTTTTGTAAAGACAATATTTGAATATCAGTTAAATAAATTAATATAGATAGTGAATTTTTAATAGAAATAGTAAATAAGCAGATTTTAAACAAAATTATAATTTATTATTTATAATTTATTTTCTAGGAAAATAGCATTTTAAAAATAATTATGTATAAATAATGTTAACAGTAATTATTGCCCAACAAATTAGTAAATGTTTATTAAATATTTTATTATATATATATTTGCCAGCTGTCAATAAAGCCTACAAAACACTAGAAAATGAAGAAGGACTGAAAAGGTGTAAGGAAATTGTTGAAGAAGCAAAAACTAGAACTGATGATATGGTAAACTTTCCAATTGGTTTTTAGTTTACTCAAAGATATTATAATCTTTGTATTTCCAGCTAATTCTATCATTTCACTAGGTAAGGAGTCTAAAAATATACTCATCATACAAATTTTTAGAAATGATATAGACCTATCATCTTTACATATGTATTGTGATTGACAATATAAGAATGCTTTAGAATCTTATGCTTTTACCTGCATTTGATTTTTTGTCACACAAATTCTTCTCAGCTACAAACAAATAATAAAATAGATCTATATATATATATATATATATATATATATATATATATATATATATATATATATATATATATATATATATATATATATATATATATATATATATATATATATATATATATATATATATATATATATATATATATATATATATATATATATATATATATATATATATATATATATATATATATATATATATATATATTTACACAGGGAAAGACTTTGACTGTAGATTTATTAGAATTAACTTATTAATTATGACTCTGGCTTACAGAGTATGCTAGACCTAAGCCAACTTTATATTTAATTTTGAGAAAAAATAATTTATATTGTTTCTAAACACAGATTAAACAAAAGAAAAAGCAGTTAAAAAAGGAAGGAAAGCCTCAAGATGTTCCAGAAGATGATATAGAAAAGGTAAAAATTTCGATTCTCTACATATTAACTGTATGATTTGTGTTAATTTACATTTCTTATAACAAACCAGGCTATGACTTTTTTTTTAATCAGACTGATAATAGGATTTACAATGTAAAAATGAAATATAATGTAAAGGTTAGAAAACGATCAGCAAAGGTTAGAATTTTTAATTAATATTTTTTTATTTGCAGATTAAAATAACACGTATTTTTCCAACAGTTTGAGTTGTCTGCCTTACTCTTTCATTATCAGTTGTTTACCTTAATAAAACCATGACTAGGAAGATAACATCATGTTTTGAATGTCATTTGGTTCAACTGGTTAAAGTGGAGAACTCTATTAGACATAGTTTGAATTCTTTTATTATGAGGGGAAGACATTTTAAAGACATATACATACAAACACTGGTAGATATGTATGTATAAATGTCCATAGTGCAGATGGAGAGTTCATGTTTCTTGACCATGACATATGAAAGAATGATGTGTTCAAAACTATGTCTAGCCATTTTTACTTTCCCTAACGTGAGTCAGGTACCCATCAGAGCTGGATGGTCTGAGATCCAAACTTGAGACTTTCGAGGTAGCAGTCTAGTGCTCTACCACCATATATATAGCTGTAAATGTACACCCAGCATTAGTTAGATTATGTGTGCTTAGCTATGGTGTGAAAAGTTTTAATTTTTGTTGTGTAAGAATAGAATGAAACGTTTTACCTTAAATGAAAACTGTACTGTTAATGTAATTTTTATTTAAAATTTGGCATAATGTTAAAGCACTGCTTATTTAGAAATTTTATACATTAGATTTTAATTTCTTTCTAATTTGGTTATACACACCTAGCATAAGAAGCTCAAATATTTACAATTGTTATAGAATAATGAATTCTTGTGTAAGTGACTCATGTTTTCTTATGTAAATGGGTAAGCATAAAAATTCCTCAAAAATTTATTTTCCAGAAAGTTTTCACTTGTTAGATAGTATAAATGTTGGGGAAGCTAAATTTAATTTGCACTTAACATATTTTCTACACATGCTAAAGAATTATATCTCACACAGATAGTGACATAAAAAGAAATACTTTTAGGCTAACTATTGTCATAAATTAATTTTGCAATTTATTTTCATATTTCAGTATAAGCATGCTATTTATGTCCAGACTTGTAAACTTTTTGCTGATCTAGAAAGATTAAGACAAGAAAGGGAAGCCAAAGACATGCATGAAAGGTAGCCTTTTAAAAATACAACTGCATATTATTCTGGTGAATTTATTACTATATGAAATAAATTTTAAAATTGTGCATCACCAATTAATATTTACATTTTTAAAATATTCTCGTTTTTTGTTTAACTTTTCAATTTTAGGTAACATAATAATTATTTTTTTTTTTTTTTTGCTGAATTAAAAAGGAAACGTAAAGCAGAAGAAGAGGCAGCTGAAGAAGAGAAGAAAAAAATGGAGAAAGAGTGGCAAAAGAACTTTGAGGTATTTTATAACATTTGGAAAAATGTTATATTTTACCATTTCTGAAGTATTTCATTGGGCATTATCATTAAAAAAATGTATACCAGAACAAAGTTAACTGATTTTTAAAAGCTAAAATATTGTAAGAAAAAATTCTGGCCTACTGTTTTATGCATAATAGATGTAAGTTTTTCATTTGCCTTGGCTAATCTGTTTTTATATTTGATTAAAGGAAAGCAGAACTGGAAGAGTAGATAGTTGGAGAACTTGGAATAAAAAAGCTAAAAAGACGTCTAAAGGAAATTTAAAACCACCTAAACTTAAAGCAGAAAAACGATAGCACTAAGACCATAAAGGTTTATATTTAAAGTTTTAGTGTTGTTTTTTTTTTTTTAATTGTAAAAACCCCTGATGTCACAAAATTGCATTTTAAAGTAATTTTCTCAGTAATGTGTATTTAATGTTGGTATTTGTCGAATGCAATTGTTTTATATGAAATAGAATTTAAAAGAATACAGTAATTAAATCTGTTAAAAACCTTTTTCTCTAGGAATATATATTTTATTGTTACTACTTATAAATTGGTGGAATATTAATTCGAAATACTTTTAAACTACATTTTTGTTTAAAATACACAGCCATGTTCTGTCTCTAAAAAGTTTTGGTAAAAAACAAAAGAAATTCATTTGACCAGAATTGTCTTTAACTCTATGAAATAGAAGCAGCTACCGTATCATTTTTTTAGAGCCTGTTGAAACATATTAAGTTAAGATTGAATATTTAATTTTAAAAGACTAATGATGAAAAAAGATTATTTCACATATTCTAACTTAATCTTAAACCCTTGTTGTTACAATGAATAGAAAAAGCAATATTGTTTTATTAATGGTTTAACATCTTAAAATTCAGCATTGAAAGTTTACAGACCTTTTTCTATAGAATTAAACAATCAAATAGCTTTTAAAACATTTCTGAAAGCTTCAGATGCAAGAAGTTAAAAATTAAATAATTATAAGCCTTAAAATCATATTACTTTAGAATAACTTGTAATTTTTTAGTACACTTTGGTTTCTAGGAGGAAAAGAATTGAGAAAGATATTAGTTTGTAAGTTGTTTTACAATAACACATCAACTTTTAAGATGTTAATGTGGTATATAATTGAAGGCATTAAATAATTTCTATACCTTCATTTCATGTAATGACAAATACAAAAAAAATACAGAAATAAACTGCTATTCTCATAACGCAAGCTACAATAGATTTTATCACATACCATGCACATATGTATTATACAGTTACATTAAATGTGGTGATTTTACCATGCAAGAATTTTTTCATAGATTCCAGATTTTTTTGGTTTTTTAATATTTATTCTGGTGTTATGGAAATGTAATGTCACAATACTACCTACCTGATAGCTATTTCTCCTGAAAATTAATAATTAAATGAGATTGCTGATGTGATATTATCACATTAAAGTTTGAAGTGAGTGTATTTGTGTATGTGATAAGTTGTGAGAGATTTTGAGTAAATGCTGAACTATTTAGATATGTGTGATATGTAATCTTGTAGCATAGTTTTTAAAAAGTAAAACATTATCGGTTTAATTTTGTTTAGAAAGATGAATCTTTTGAAACTCTGCTACTAATTATAATTACATTTATCAGTTACTTTTAAATTCAGATTAAAAACATGGATTCTTGTATATAGGCCTATGTGTGAATGCTAAAAATAATCTAAGAATTAATAGATTGTTTTATAGTTTATTTTCTTCCCAATTATGTCCAAGTGAAATCATTGTAAGCTAATAGTTGCCTGTTTATAAATTTTGTTAAGAATGTTAAAAAAAAAATCTAAAATTATTCTTTGATATATATGTATACCATGTTCATTATTATGAATTGTCAATTTAAATGGTTTTCTTTTTTAAAGAAATTAAACTTTTGGAGCTGACAAATTATGTTTATGTTGAATTTTTTTTATAACATAAGCCTAGTTGCTAATTTTATACACATTATTTATAGCATGTTTGAAAAAACAGCAAACAGATTAAGAAATTAGACTAGAATAAACATGTTTATAAAGCCCAAACACTTTATAATAAACATTTTTTTCGACATCTTTATTAAATTTTCTAAAAGAAGATAATTTAAAAAAAAAAAATCAAGTGCATTTTTAACATCTAATTTTGATTTCCATGAACATACTCGAACTGTAAAAATAATGACTCTTTATACATATGTTGTAAATAAAAATGTTATTGTATTAAACTTTAAATAGAAACAGCAGCTTGTCTAATCAGTTTTAGGTATCTTTTAGTTATCATTTAGGACAAGTTATACTGATTTACTTGGAGCAGAAAGCCTATCATACCAACTCTTCTGTTTCCATTATGTTGCATAGTTCAAAGGAAAATATACTGTGAGCATTAAAGAATGATGGTGATATGTGAAAATATTTAACTCAACCAACCAAATTTTTTTTTATAGTATTCTACTTGGTATCTGAATCTGTATGTAACCAAAAAAAAAAAAAAAAAAAAAAAAAATGATAAGACAATCATTTTCCAAATTATCTTGCAAAAAAAGATGTAATGGAGGATTTCAGTGACAAGATAATTTTCATTTTAAAATCTGTCACTTATGAGACATACTTAATAAAAATTATGTTAATTTTAATTAAGCATACACCCCTATGACTTTAAAAACCTTAAATAGTAACTCTAAACGACTATTTTCTAAGTATAGCCCTCATGGTCGGGGCTCAGGTATATAATAGTATATATCTTATAAATATATGTGAAAACAGCTCACTCGATTGATCAAGTATCACTACTAATTTATTTTGTTATCTCCCTTCTTGTTATTGATTAGTTACAGTACTACTCTATTAAATTTCAATGAATATCTAATTCAGCTAATAATGAGCTATTCTTGCGTTATCATCGGATAAAAATTAATCTAGATCTAGATCTAGATGTATCTACCCGATTAGTAGCTTTTGATCTAAATATCCGTGGGTTGCTATCATCACTATCAATACTATCAGGGTTAAAAACACTTTACAACAGTTCACCGCGCCAATCAAGCGATCGCTAGTAATTTATCCTGCTATCCTTTTGTTACATAATATAATAAGCTTTAAATTATTTTTCAATGACTATATTAAATCTAATTAGATTATTTAAATAAGATATTCTTGTGTTGTTTTTGGAGACTAATGCATCTGCAGTTGCTAAAAGACGGTGAACTCAATTACGCCTAATTATAAAAAGGATTTCTTTTACAATAAGGAATGTTAGGTGCTAACCTTTTACACATTGTAACATATTTTTACAAAATAATACTTAATTATGTTCAAAATTTCTCAGAGTAGTAGGCAACTGAGCAAAAATACGTTTTGGTGTTATCATTGTCTATATATAGGCTTAAATCGAATACAGTGAGAGTTATCGTCTATACCAACGTCCCGTCCGTCCCCCCCCCCCCCCTCACACCACCACCCCAGAAATTTGAAAAAAAAACATAAGGATCCACTACTAATGATCAATAAATTAATAACATACTTAGAGATATTTAAATCTTCTTCGTTTTGGGATCGAAAATACTTAATTTTCCATAAAAGCACTATTCTTAATTAATATTATTAGAGTTAGGGCTCATCCATAAATGACGTCACGTTTTTTTGGGACGATTTTATCTCCCCCCTCTCCCCTCCGTCACACATCGTTTTACTCCCCTACGTCACACATCGTCACAAAAAGCTACCCCCCCCCTAAAATGACGTCACACTTCAGCCTACAACCCCACACCCCTCCTCAAAATTGCAGTTATAATTTTTTCTTAAAAAACAAAACAACAACAAACACACAAAAAGAAACTCTTGTGTGTACATGCAAATTGAATAGCTTTTAATAGGTTTAAATTTAGTTTGTTGATGTATCGTCATTTGACAATTCGCCCTAGTTGTTTCTATTGTCGCGAGCTGACAGTCAGACAATGATTTATGTGAAAAAAACAAAAATATCTCGTCTAGTCTTCTTTTAAAAAGATCTGATAAAAGTTTTGGCCTTTAGAATTAATCTGATTTCGCTTGAAAAGCTTGAGAATCACTGTCCCAATATATCTGGGTCTAATATGGTTTTGAAAACGCAAGAACCTCGACTAAGTCCAACTACTCAATGCAAACAGGAAATACATAAATGAACGGCTCTTTTTTCTAGGAAAATAAACAAATTAAGAAAGAAATATCCGTGGACGATAGAAATAATAAATTTTAGAAAATATCAATCATGCCTAACGTAGCTGGTTATCTAGCAGAACAACAAAGGAAAAGTACGGGTGATGTTTCTACTGAATGGGGACTCCTAGAAGAATTATACAACAAAAAGTAAATACTGTGTTCATTTTTATAAGCTACAGGAATTCTAGAGATTTCCATTCAACGACAACGCTTGGGGGTGATCATCGGTGATGTAGCAAATTCGAACAATTGGATTTGAAGGAGCCTTTGTGTTTTTACTAGATCTAGATAATTGTTTGGTTGCTAGTAGTATTGTAATATTAAAGTTCGGGGAAGGGCTCATGACCAGCTATAATGTTACAGCAGAATAGAGCAACTGACGAAAAAAAAATCTTCTTTTGTTTTATAAAATTAAAAGATTAATTCCCTCTTCTACTCTTTCTCTCTCTGAAGCTTCCTAGATAGTTTCATATTTGGCTCTTTGCTGTAAATGTTTTCCGACATCTTGGCTATGGTTTTTCAGTGAAGCTTTCTAACATGATATGCAATGGCACTATTGTATAAAAAAAAAGCTAATCCACAGTTTAGATGACAGATGAGGATTGAAAGCTGTGGACAGCAAATCTTCTAGGAGAGACAACTCCAAAATCAAACAACTGCTGAAATCCAAGTCAACAGTTTATATGGCGCATAAGCAGTTGACATGTACTACTTAATTGTGCTGGATGGAATCCCTTCGAACACTAAAATTAAGAGCAAAGAAGAAGAAACAACCAAAAAAAATGTGCTAGGTGCTAATTAATTTAAATTAACTCAGAGAAGTAAAATTGATATGTTATTCAAATTAATTTGGCTTTGATAGCATATTATAATAATTGTTATGTTTGGAACATTTTCAGATTATGGCATCAATTAACTCTAAGGCTCCTGCAGTTTGTAAAAAACCCTATCTTTTCAAAAGGAGATGGAATACTACGGGTCTGTATGCATACAGCCTTTGTTAAGCTAAATTAATTATTTTTAAGTCTTAGGCCTAAGTAAAATACATTTAACATTTTGTGGTAATAAGGTTTCTTAGTTCAGTAAGAATGTTTAAGCAGCAGCATCAAATATTTGTTTACTGATCTAGAGCCTAATAAAATACTAAATACTGAATAATACTATTTGTTTTATAATGGAGCATTAATGCTCTGCATATTGAGGTGTTGTTTTGCTGTAAGAGCATGTATGGATTAATGTTTTTATTTCTGTGCTGCAGGTTTTGTTATACTTTTTATATTTTATTTTTAGCTGTATGAAAATTTCCTGTCTGACTTTGAGCACAGGTTAGTTCTATATTCCATCATTTTATCATGTTCTATTTCCTTTATACAATGTTAGTAAAAAAACATTTAAAAAAAAATGTATATTTTATAATTATGTTCATGGTAAGTGTTCTTTAATATTTTAGAATCAACCCCCTCTCTCTGGCGGAGCTTAGTGTTTATGTTGTCCAGCAAATCCCAGGTAATTTAAGAAAATTTATATTTCATTTATTTGCATGTCAGGTATTGAATTTTTTTTTAAACTCATCTATTGAAAAAAATTAGATGTTTAAATAATTTATTCTTTTTTGCTCAGATCCAAAACAAGCCACAGAATTTCTTGAGAAAATGAAAGAGAAAGTTAAAGCCAGTGAAGAGGCCAAAGTTTTGTGTATGACTACAATGGGTAAAATCTATCTCCGGAATAAAGAATTCCCTCCAGTAAAGGTTATGAGTGGTTTTTTTTAAACTTCAAATTTGCTTTTAAAATTTGTTATTATTACTGTATTAAATTTAATGTAAATTTTAATTATCGAACACATGATATAAAAAATGTCAGGTGATGTAAAACTACTGTTCTAAATACAAATTATTAATATTTTTGTGTACTTTTCTAATTGATAATACAAGCATAATAAGCTTAAAGTGTTTATATTGGTTAATTTTATTAATTATGACACTTTATTGATCTTTAAAACTCTTAAATTAACATCTTTAATAATTGGTAATATTTTTAGGCCCTAATGGAAGAGTGTGAGAAAATTTTAAATGATATAGATGGAGTGACCACAGTACATGGACGCTTCTATGAACTAACGAGCAACTATCATAAACTAATGGGCAACCATGCTCAGTACTATCAAGAGGCCCTTAGGTTCTTAGGCTGCACAGATCTGATAGTGAGGCACTTGTTTTTATACCTGTAGTAACTTCTTATCACAGTTTAAGTATGATTTCTGTTGTTTTTTGTTTATTCTAGGTTAAAAAAACCTTGAATGCTTTAAAAGTCGATTTATTTGTTTACATCAGGACATGCCAAAAGCCGAGCAGGCAGAGAGAGCTTTTAATATTGGTTTAGCAGCTGTAATAGGCGAGGGTGTATACAATTTTGGTGAGCTCCTTGCCCATGATATCTTGGCATCCTTGAAGGGCACAGATAAAGAATGGCTGGTTGATCTTCTGTATGCTTTTAACAGCGGAGATATTGACAAATTCATAGGTCTGAAGGATAAATGGGCTACTCAGGTAGTAACACCTTTTAAATGTTTGAAATCTAAATTTGAAAGATAGTTTTTATTGAATATTCTAATATTCTACTCTTTACAAACTTTAAAACTGTTGATTTTGATTGAGAAAAGCTGGGTTGTACCATGATCAAAACTTTATATAAGAAACTCTGAGAAGAATTATTTTCCATGAGATATTGCTACAAAATAATGTTTACCTTAGGTTTTATACAATTTTGTAGAATTTTTATTGTCATTTGTCCTTTTTTTCTAGCCGGATCTGAAAGTCAATGATCTTGTCATGAGGAACAAGATCAATCTGTTATGTTTGATGGAGGTACTTGGTTTCTTCTGCTAATTAACAGTTGAATTTTTTATTTCTTATCTGTACCGTGTTCTAAAAGCATAAGTGCTTATTAGCTTCTGTTTTTAAAAGGTTTTTTTTCCCCACACAGATGACATTCCAAAGGCCAGCAACAGATAGACAACTGACATTTGATAGTATTGCCCAGACTGCCAAAATTGACAAAAATCTGGTAACTAAACCTTATATTGAGAAATAATTTGTATTCTTAAGCAAAAACAGAAAATGTATTCTGTGAACTTTAAGAGCATTATTAAAGAAAACCTTTTTTCTCTCTTTTTTAACAGTTTATTTTCCAATAATCATAAATATTTCTTTTTATGGAAGTTATTTTAAAAAACAAACAAGGAACATCAAACGCTTAAATATTGTAACAGCTCCGTATAGATAAATATTTTAATTAGGTAAAAGTTAGAAGTATACAAAATCAAAAGGTATGCCTATTCTTTGACCAGGTTGAGCTGTTAGTCATGAAAGCTTTGAGTCTTGGATTAGTGAGAGGATCTATTGATGAAATAGAACAGAAATGTCACATGACATGGGTACAGCCTAGAGTACTGGATCGCAAACAGGTATTTGAAATTAATTGAAATAAAATGCCTTTAACATTTGTACTAAACAGCTTTTTCATGACATTTTTCAGCAGTTCTCTGTGAGGAAAGAAAGTACATTAAACAGCTTCTGTATTAAAATCACCAATTAGATCAGATGTTTTGACATTTTTTTAGATTAAGTCATTCCTTACCAAATTGTGCCTAAACCGTATTCCTTGGTTTTTATCAGCTTAAAATAATGCAGAAAATCTTTGTTATATTTATATAAATATTAAGTTAATTCTATTGTATATTTTGTAAAGACGACTGATATTTTATAAGCCTATCAATCTTTGTTTTCTTTGCCTTAAATTCTAGATTGCCAGCATGCAGACCCGCCTTGAGTTGTTGGGAAAAGATATTGGCTTGATGGAACGCCTGTTAGAAACAACTGCTCATGATATTCTCACATAATTTTTGAAGCAGTATTGCATTTTATCTTCTTTTTTTTACTCTATTTGTTTTGTATTGATTTTTAATTTTTTTTTTCATTAACCATAAACAACTGCAATTATATAAGTATAAATAAAAATAGGTTGCTTTATTATTTGTAAAGAAACAATAGTCTATTACGCTGGTAAGTTTAGATACTTTGTCAGGGAAATAATTTAATTTGGTCACTTATCCTTTGTTTAAATTCAGTTGCCCGTGAAATAAATTATAATTGAAATGATTTTAGTTTAATTTTTGTTGTTATTGAATTTGATCACATCACAGTCGTTGTTATTGATTACATTATTGGTTTTTTAAATTTTAAATGAACTCACCCAAGACAGACCTGGAGGCGGATTCTTCTCGAAGAACTGAAGCCAACAGGGATGTTTTGGGAGATTGCAAAATTAATAGCCGGGGATCGGATGAAATCGAAGGAAATGGTGGAGGCCCTATGTTCCATAAGAAGCAAAGAGGACCAAGTCAAGTCACAAGTACAAGCAATTCACTTTCAACTAGTGATTCGATACACTACTATATTTAGTGTGCTTTGAAGCAAACAGAGATACTATGATACAGTTTAGACAGTTTCACTTCATTCCTGCTGAAACTCTGGTGTGTGCATGCAAAATGAAAAGTTTTTAGCGGCATCCATTCCATTTTCCAGAACCCCTGGAGTTGACTTATCTCTTAACTATTTTAAAACAAAAAGACCAAGCATGTGAATTGTGAAATACAAAGATATAATTACAAAAGATGTGACAGTTACAAAACATACTTGTCAATAACATTCTATTACTTGCAGTAATAATGTTATACGCAGAATGCCTGAGGCAACTGCGCACAATAAAGCAGACAGCATAGTTTTGCTCACTAATTGAAAATAATCCTGCATCCATTGAAGTATGATTAAAAAAAATAAGTATATATAAAGCAGAGCTGCATGATTCGTAGTATAATTTATAAAAAAAAACTAGTACAGTATTTTAAAAATATCCAGAAATATATATGTATATATAGATATTTTACAATAATTCAGCAAATAGTTGATACAAATACTGAGGAGCCGTATTGTAGAATACAGGCAGTTATGTTAAGACTAGATGACACATATAAAGCTCACAAGAACAGTACCAAATACCACTTTATACTTAACATTAAAATCTTGATAGTACACACAGATAAGCATTAAGTAAATGCTTTTTAGCATCAAGTAAATGCTTTATGTTTTCAAGATATAAGGGAAACAAAAATTCCAATTAACAAAGATATTTCTTGTGCATAGATATGCAAACAAATAACAGGAACAGTATTGTTAAAAAAAAATTAAATGCTCACTTTCTTATTTTTGCTTTGAAAAAAAAGCATGTTAAAAAATAATGCAATGAAGGTTATATACATTTTAAAATGTTGGCAAGTTTCATGTTGTAGAATGGTCTGCTATCAAGGTTGAACAATGCACTTTGGTTTGCTTTATAAAATTCTTGGTTCTTCTTAGACATGCACAGTCTAATACATAATGTTGTTATATTGTAAAAAGTGTATATATCATTTGAATGATGTGCTTAAAGGCTTCTGCTAAATTTGATGCATATTACAAAAATATACACAGAAAATATCAGTAGCACCATATTATAAGCACTTGCTGCATCCCAGTTGTAGCAGTTAAAAAAATGACAGCTCTTAGGTGGTAACATTAGTTACAAAACCAATACATTGAAAATACATTTTAATTTGTATATTAAATACTAGATCTAAACAGGGATATCAAACCAATGCTGCTATGTATATTTATGGACTTTTCATAGGCAATTTCTTTTTCTGGTATTCATTAACTGTTTTGGCAAGAACAGGAAAGACACTGATAAGTAAATCAAAGGAGAAAATATTTATTATCAGTAATATCAGATATGAAAATGGGATTTGCTAGGTATTGACAATAACAGTATGATATTCCATATGATGATGGCAATAAATTCACTATGGGTATAGTCAAATATTTCTCATTGTTCACTAAAAGTTTTTATGAAAATAAAAATAACAAAGAAAAGATTGGAAAATAAGCATGCATAAATTACACTTATTATAGTTTTTTTTAGCATGAAGTTGTTAAGAAATAAACTGAATTCATTAATGATATATGGGTAAGATTTTTCACAGAAGGTTCTTATATATATAAAAATAGTATAAAATTGTTTGTTGTATTGTACGCATGTACATATTTGTAGTACTTAAGATGTACAGTTAATTAGTAAGGGATTTTATAGAAGTAAGCAATGCTTCATCTGCAATACAAAGGTAATTCTTTTTTCTTTGTGTTTTCCAAAAAAACCATCCAATAGAATTTAATGTTAAATTAGTCTTATAAACATTCAAATGGTATTCAATACAAAAACTCTTTTTGTGACAACATCAAATTTGGTTACTATTTGATAATCCTGATCAAAATTATGAAATGTGTAGCTGTGTCAATAGAGTTTGTCTTTTATAATGACCTGGTCCCAATGCACTGACTAAAAACTATGAATGAATGCTGACACCTATTCCATCAAAACACAGGAACAGAAAAAAATATATAAGGCAATTTAAAAAGAGAATTAAAGTTCGCAGATACTTGCCAAGTTTCTGTTGATATTTTTCTTTACATGTATCACATAATACCATTCCAAATTAATTTAGCATAGCAACAATATTTACCTTACAAATAATACAAAAATATAAACAAATACTCTCACTCGAGTCCAGTTTTAATTACATGAATTCTGCTCTACATAAATAGTACTTAAAAGCTTACAAAGTGTACAAAATAAATATGAATACATGCAGATAATTTACAACTCCAAAAAAGTATTTCATGAAATAAAAATTTCCACTTTTTTTATGGACAAATTTTTGCACACATATAAAAACAACTAAATAAAATGTTCAAGTTTTTCTTTTACTAAGGTTACTGTGCCTAATTAGTAATAGCATACACTCACTATAAAAATGAACACATAATTTCCATTTTTATGTATAAGAGAGTAGAAAATTAGAATGAGTTTCCATAAAAAGGGGAGGAACCCACAATTTACAAGACATGACAGGACTTGGTTTTGAAAACTTCAGCTTCCCTTTCCATCTTCATAATCTCAGACACACCAAATCCCATGTCCTTCACAGCCTCTGCTTCGCTAAAACCCAATCGTCTTTTGTTAGATATTTCAAAAATTCCATCTTCACTATCTGTATGTTCTCCATGGATACCTAAAATGATGAATTAAAAACACATTTAAGTTTTTGACAGAAAAAATATCTAATTTTTACAAGCTTTTAGTTAACTCACTTCCTCTGTCGTCAGTCTAGACGGAAACGCAGGAGTGAAAATTCGGAAACTTCTACTTAACCGATACGATTCACATTTGGCACGTGGGTCAAGACATGAAGACAATGCAATCTGAAACTAAATTTGACTTAATTGGATGCCTAATTGATTTTTAATGAATTAATTAAAATTTGGACCGAATTAGTAGGCATGTCTAGCCAACCACACCACACGCGTCATCACCTTCAATAGCTGCGCCATTGCGTAATGGCTGCGTTCAAAAACCATTGCGCGCCTACTGAACGTGATGTTCAGTAGGCGCGCAATGGTTTTTAGTCATGTAACTCTATTGTAAATAAAACATGTAAAGTACTGAAAAAAAAATTCATAAAAAACGTTTTAATAACAAGCTTTTATGTAATGATGCACTAAAAAGTAGAAAATAAATTATAGACTACTATTTAAATAACTATAAAGAAAAGCGTGGGTGTCTTCCTTAACATTAGTAAAGGTATCCTATAGATACTAAAGTGACCCACGCTTTTCTTTATAGTTATTTAAATAGTAGTCTATAATTTATTTTCTACTTTTTAGTGCATCATTACATAAAAGCTTGTTATTAAAACGTTTTTTATGAATTTTTTTTTCACTTAATTTTCAAACAGGGTATATAACTCAGTTTAAAAATAAATTTAATCCATTATTTTTTATTTACTGCCCTTAGTCTTACCTCTGGCTTGTACTCTTAGCTTATCACAGAAATACTTGAAGTCCCTCTTGGAAGATAACTGAGGGATCTTCATTAGACATGAACCCCTTAAAGTTGATCCTAGATTAGATGGGCAAAAGTTCAGATATCCTAGACGATCATCCCTAGCAAATGTCAACTTTTCTTCTAATAATTTGAGACCCTAAAAAACAGAAAATATTTCATATTTCAGGTTGCATTGCAATACATTATACTTGAATAATTTCTTATGAAAATATAAAAAAAAGCAATGTAAACATCCATTGTAAAGAACAGATGAAGTAAAGTTAATCTGTTTCTCTGAACTTGGCATATCAATGGATAGTACTGTCCACACCATATCCTTCTGCCTTTTCCTTCTGCTGCTCAAGCTATAAGATGGATGAACTCAGGGACAGAATACAGGCTCAAGCCTGTGAACCCAAATCCAGATTCATGTATGTGCTGTCCCTTAAGGCTTAAGCTAATAATAAAATCATAACAAAACTTCCCGGAAATATTTTTCTTATAATTATACTCACATCAACAAGTCTTTTGTAGACTGTCACAATATCTGCACCTTTTTGCATAGAGATAATTCTAAGGTGATCTTCTTCATTGACCCACACCAAGAAAGTTTTGGTTTCGTTGAAAAAGATTCCTCTACCTGTTGGCCAGTCATTGTAGCCACCAGCAGCCTTTAAAAATCTGTAAAAGAAAAAAAATTGTCTTTAACATTACGACACCATAAAAACTGGACTGGATATTATATTGACAATGTTGTGAAATAATATTTAACAAAATTAAACAAAAATTTGATACAAATTTTGCCTAATAGAACATTTATAAAACATATTGTGGATAAGTATTAATTTAAATACTAACCTATCATGGTCGTTGAAAAGAAAATGTTCTTCAGTCAACTGCTTCTGAGTTTCCTTACTCATTTCAGAAAGTGGATAGTATGTTCCTTTAAATTCACCAGTCAGAGAGTTAAAAGCCTCAACACATTTTTTTTCAATTTCAATGCGATCCTGTTTGATGAATAAAATGTTACCATAAATACAAAATGTCCATAAATATACTTAGCATTACAACCTTTATATTGTTCAATATTTTTCACAATAAATTTTAAGCTTAATTTAATATATAAGGATTTCAAATAAATTTATGTCTATTTATTAATAAAAAAGGAGAAATTATTGACTTTTATAATACAGCAAAATATTATACATTTTTGTGCCAAAATAATAATGAGGTGGGCTTTGCTTTTTTAAAGGGTTTTACAAAACAATAAGGAGAAAAACGGAATTGGTGAAATTTTTTTAAAGCTCTTTCAAGGTGTCTATATTACTGAATTGATTTGCTTCCTTGTGCATACCTCGCTCCGAAGTACTGGATGGAAAGGAAAACCTTTAAGGGATCTAGCAACTCTGATTCTTGTAGACACAATCATCTCTGCTTTTGGATCAATAAGATGGTAGTCAAAATTCTCGTAAGTCTTAAGTTTTTCTATGTCCCCGTAGTCTATGGCTGGCTGTGCTATGGTTGACCTGATGTTGTGATATTCCTTGATCACTGGATCAAACAAGAGGGCAAACTCTGTGTAGCACTCTGGATCTGCTGCATACAGTCCAATTCCACTGTCCAGGTTCAAGACACCTACACATTATGAACAATTAGTTTGATAGGAAAACAAGTCTTTCTTTTAACAGTGAATTTAAAACACATTTTTAAAAAACATTATAAACTCATATATAAAGTGGCTTAAATGTAACTGCCTATTAAATTTTGAATTATTAACAAAAGATAACTAAAAGGTAAATGTTTGATATTCAGGGTTAAAGTGCAGGCTAACATATATTTTTTTCTGCCAAGATTTCAGCTCAACACTTATTAAAAAAAAAAAAAAACTTTTTGTTTCATAAAAAAAGAAAACATGTTAGTGCAGTTACTTAAAAACCAGGAAAAAAAATAATAAAGTTTACCTGAAATGATGCAGTCTCCAAGAGTTGCATTGTTAGCAGTTTTCTTATCTTTTAACTTCTCATACACATCTTTGGTGAGATATTTTTTGAGCAGAGATTTACAATTTTTAGCTTTGTTAACATGTTCAAACATTTCATCCAGATTTTGTGGTCGCCTGTAAAGCAAGTTCAGCAATGACATAAGTATGTGCATAATGACGGAGTACATAAATTGAAAAACATTTCAGAATTTGTGTATGTATAAATCTATATATAAAATGAATTTAAAAAATACTTTGCTCTAACCAATGTATTCAAATTAAAAAATAAGGAGCAGGTAAAGCTATGTTTTAATACTCATCTTTAGGATATTTTAAGTATTTTATAATAGCGAGTTCAATGAAAGAAATTCCAGAATTTAAACTCACCAAGCCATCTCCTTTTCTTGCTTTATGATTTCCTTAACCCCATCATACATCTCTTGAACAGCCTGGAATTCAGTCAGACCCAGGCGCCTTTTATTGGAGATGTCATAAACTCCACCTTCACTATCAGTATGCTCACCATGAATACCTGAGGAAAAAATATTTTTTTTAAAATTACAAAACTAATTAATTTTGACAGACTTGAGAACCTTTAACATTTTAGTTGGTAGAATTAAAGATTTCTGTTTAAAACAAAAAATTGAGTTGAACATTTTCTAAAAATTCTAAAAAAATCTAATTAAAAAAAAAGGATAAAATTTTAAAAATCTTTTTATATTACCTTAATAATTGTATTTACAATTATCTACTTAGGAAATAATCTTTAGGGTTAGTTGCTGTGTATATACTAAATACAATATTTCGATGATTAAAACAGAATAAATAAATCACCTCGAGCTTGTAGATTGAGACTATCACAAATGGACTTAAATTTCTCTGAGGCAGAAAGATTGGGAATCTTGATGTGGACAGATGCTCGCAGGGTTGTCCCCAGATTTGTGGGGCAGAAAGTTAGATAACCCAGTCGGTCATCACGAGCAAACTTCAACTTCTCTTCCAATTTTTTCACAGCCTAATTTTCAATACAAAGATTTTTAATATATTTTCATGCGTGTTATTTATCATGCTTTGTTTGTAGTTGTTCAATAAATAAAAAAGGCTTGGAATTAGTCAATGATTATGTCATGATTTTAACATTCTTTCTCAGAATGACCACCAAGTTTGAAAGAATTTGAAATAAAAGTAGCTAAACATTGCATTGCCTGCACCCCCCCCCCACCCCCCCCCACCCTCCCCCCCCCCCCCCCTCCTTTTTTTTTGTTTGTGCTCTTTGTTTACATCAGACTCTGCCAGATCTCAAAAGGGAGCTTTATTTTTTTTTTCAGTTTGGATAAAAACAAATATGTCACCTGGCAAGGTCAAGAGAAAGCTAAGCTGTCCATAGCATTGTGTCCTTAAAAGTTGGTTTTGATTAATAAAAATGTTAATTTGATAAATTAACATTAAGTGTTGAAATAAATATTTATAAATATTCAAATAGGTCTTACATATTTTTATCAATAATGTGTGAATATATCTATTAAATATTTATAAAATAAAAGATACATAGCAATTTATAGCTGAACAACAGCAGGTATGTGTTCCCTACACTTTACTTACAGAGACCCCTGGACAAAATGAAATTTATATAGAATACATACACTTTTACCAGTGTCCGCCCCCCCCCAGAGAAACAATGTTTACTTACCACTACAAGCCTTTTGTACACTGCCCCTATGTCTCCACCCTTTTGCATAGAGATAATCCTCAGGTGATCCTCTTCATTGACCCACACCAGGAAAGTTTTGTTTTCATTGAAGTAGATGCCACGCCCTGTTGGCCAGTCATTGTAGCCACCAGCTGCCTTCAGGAACCTGTTAAAAAAAACATTTTGTCAAGCGTATGTAGGGTCTACACTCTGTAATATGTAGTGTACACACTCTGTAATCTGTATTGATTCAGCACTAGCTATATCCTGCTTGTGTTTAGAGAGGCTGTAACAACACCACTGACCGGTCATCATCTTTGAATAGGAAATGATCCTGGGTCAGCTTTGTCTGTGTTTCCTCATCCATGCCAGTGAGAGGGTGGTATGTGCCCTTCAGCTCGTCACTCAACCCATTGAGGGCTTCCACTGCTTTCTTCTCAAGCTCTTTACGGTCCTGAAGGAAAGGAAAAAGGTAAAGTGCATTTACATGATAATAAGTCAAAAAGAGTTACCCTTTTTGACCTGATGGTTAATTGGGTAAATGAAGAAGAGTTTCTCTATTTCTGTGGCCACAGCATATGAAGCGCTAGTGTGGTCAGTACTAAGCAGCTTGTACTTTCCCTAATGTGAGTCAGGTACCCATTACAGCTGTGTTAACTCTAGCGCGATACAGATGCGAGTCTGAGATCCACACTCAAGCACTCTACTCAAGGTTTCTTTCAGATATTTTTCTCCAGGGTGGGGGGGGGGGGGGGGGGGGGGGGAAAGGGGGGTGCATTTGAAACTTAATGAAAGAAACACTAACTCTAGTGCATGGTCGCGCTGTCCCATTCGGCAGGGAGATTTGGAAAGTCAAAAGTAATAGTATCCTAACTTTATTCTGTCTAGAATCTAGATCTAGATCTTACCAACACAAAACATCACTAAGAAACTATCACAGAACAGCTTTCAAACAACTTGAAGTTGAAACAAAACAACCTCAACCTTCTTTATGTCTTTATTTGTATATTTTGATTTTAACTGGACATGCTTGTGCTTTACTAGATCTATCAATACATTACCTTACATGCGTTTTTGTCTTTTACTACTTTTAAAAACAAAATTATAAATATTGAATAACCTTACAAAAGAATATAGATCTATAGTACATAGATCTATGTTCGTGACACTTACTTCCAGTGAAAGAATGGGAGGAAACCCATATCCATCCTGTGACCTCCCCACTCTGATCCTAGTGCTAATGACGTACTTGCCTTCAGGGTCAAGGTCTTCAAACTTATTTTTGTCAACATCTCCGAAGTGCAAATTAGGATGGTGGATGTTTTTCTTCTCTGGTAGCTTGTGATAGTCTTTGATAACTGGATCAAGAACTTCAGCGAACACCTTGTAGGCTTCTGGGTCGGAGGCGTAGATCCCAACACCACTGTCTAGATTTTCGCATCCTGAAATTGGTGAAACAGGAATCACAGTTTAATCTTATTGCAAAATCACTTTATGCAGTTTTTATTAAAGTTGATAAAGAAAGACTGAAAAAACCCCATTGCATTTCAAGCTTTGCCCTATTATCGTACAGGATATTAATTAGAAAACGATTTGGGATGTGGCTTTGGCTCGTTCAGGGTCAATTGATGAAGGCATATATAGAGTAGACTAACTTCACCACTTTAAGTAGGCCTAATGCTTCTCAAATAGAACATGGGGCTTTTTTCCTAATGTAGGACATAGGAAGACAAAGATGCATAATGTTACATTTTTAAAAACAATTTTTCTAAAGTATTAATTACATTTCATAACATTTTTTTAAAACAGTAGAATTACTAGTTGTCCTTATTTATTATTATTTGTCACACCTTATTTTCTAAGATCTAGAGTCTGAGTGCCTCCACAATCACTACTATTTAGAAATTTCCAAAAACTCAAACTGGAAAAGAAACGGCATCAATAATGTTCCAACGAGCTACATGAAAACTTTTCCTTAAACTAAAAACGACTACTACAAATAAAAGCCTTGCCAAATTATGCTGCAAAAGTTTATGAAATATCAGATTCCTTTCTACATTTCAACCATGTCCGTTTCCCCACCTAGAATAATTGCTATTGCACATTGTCTATGACCTTGCGTCTCACCTTATTTTTACCTGGGATTCAAATGCACTACCTGGCTACCTGTGCTGCCATTACCCCACCCCGGGGAAAGAGAAATTGTTTAGACTTAATCGCTTCCGCAGACGGATGAGCAGGTAAACAACCGTCCGAGGATTTCACCTGCACATTTCTTAAGGGCCTGCTCGACTTCTGGAGTCAAGTGCCCGCGTACAGGCCCACTTACGCCAAATATTTAGTCAAAGAAAGATTTGGGTTCACGAGGCTACCCCCTTCCAACCGCACACGAGGTTTCAAATGAAAGATAGAATTGAAATGGACACATCCTTAGCTTACATTCAATTAACAAAAAAAATAAACCTGGACATTTTTTTTACTTTTTGTTTCGAAGTGGTCATTGCTGTGTGTTTCTTTCAGGCATCTCTGGACGAAATATATACTTTTCACCCCCCCCCCCCCCCCAGGAAATTTAGTTCGCCCTCCCCCCCCCCCCCCCCTCTGATAGTTTTAAGTGCCCCCCCCCCCATCCAGCTACACTGGTAGACTAATGTATCTTCTGTCCCGATCTAAAAAAATCTTTACCCAAAATTAACACTCTCATCAATAAAACGTGTCAGTATATTATAGGGTATCACGTGACTTTTATTGCAAATTGAGGATACAATAAAAATGGCTATCTGGTGCTACCCCATTACGGAAAAGTATCCGAAATCCAATCTAGATTTGAAGTATATGGGCAAGTAAGTACTTCACGTGGGTGCTCGTGGTGGTCTTCGATGACATCACTCACCGGCAACTTGACCTACTTTCTGCGGGGCGGAGATGGGCTGCGCCACAGAGAGGAATGCTAATGCTCCATCAGTGTCAAAAGTAACGGCAAAGTAACGCGAGATCCGCCGAGACGATGGTCTCGCTAATAGAGCTCGTACAAATATAAGGACGCCCTGTACTGGCGAGAGGAAGTTTGGGCGTAACTTACACAGGTTCACCTTAATCTTTTCCCGGTGGTACCCATGCATGACGCACGGGGCAGATAAAGTAGAGTTCATCTGTTTCAATGATCTCGGTATACAAAGGAATAGTGTGGTCAGCACTACGCCCAGCTGCCTTTGTTTCCCTAACGCGAGACAGGTATCCATCAGGGAAGTCCTACAGACTTTAGCCCGAGACTTTCGGGTTAGCAGTCGTAAGTTCTACCACTCGACCACGCCGCCGCACAGAATTATTTGGCAAGCAATGCTAATGAGGAGCGAGGGATGTGCGTGTGATTCTATCAGTAAAAATTCATCCTTCAATCATTTAGAAATTACATAGATCTATTAAATAACAGGAATAGAAATAGTTGCCATAAAACAGCACAAGGGCAATATTGATAAACGTTGAACTATTCATATATTTCAAAAATTAAGAATTTCACATAGCTAATAGTTTTCTATTTAAACTAGAGTCAAAGAATATATCAAAATCTAATAAAATATGACTATGAACAAAAATTATTCAAGGCTTTAATATTAATGCTTAGTAATATACACGAGAACAATAATCTAATTAATACAAAGTTTCTCTGTATTTTTAATCACTTTTGAGAAGAAAATTGTAGGTTCACTCCCTTGGTTGTACCTAATTTGTAAATCAAAGATGACTAAAAATAATTCATACTTAAAAATTGTTAACATTAAATACAAGCTATCTAAACGTATTTAGTAATTATGTAATAATAATTACACTGATCACTAAACAGAAAAAAAATATATATAAGTAATAACTAATTTGAATATATGTTTTAATGAAGTGGATGTGTTTCTTTATTTCGATTTGATGTGCACAGGTTACAGTCTACAATAATATCGCTGATAGTTCATAGAGCCCCCCCCCCCCCCTCGAACGAAATGGAATTTATATAGAAAATATATCTTTTAACAGTGTCCGTCCCCCCCCCCCCCCCGAAAATTTTAAGTGCACCCCCGGGCAAAAAAGTCTGGAAGAAACACTGGGAGGGGGGAGGGGGTGTTATCAAGATTGCCTTGGTAGGTTAAAAACTTAACGTATCAAAAGTAGTTACGTTAAGTTTAAGCCCCAGGGTCGAACTTAAATGAATGTTAGGTACATAGAGGAAAAGGAGGGAGTTAAACGGTTGGGTGGGGGGGGGGGGTTGTAGAATTAAACGTTGAATATATTTTAAATGAATGTCATTAAAAATAAAAGGGTGTGCATGTGCATGTTTTTTTTTGGGATTAATTTACAGTATTAAAGGGGTCGGAAATTGTGATGGTATTTATACAGTAAATGTTAATTAAAAAGGGTTTTCTAACGACACTTTTAAGTTAACGAAATGGTGGTAGTGGAGTTAAGGGGGGGGGATAAACTAAAAAGGCTAAAACTGATACGTGGTTATTAATGGACGTTCCCCTAGTTAAAAATATTGTTCTATAGAACATTAGCAATTTTACTGAATTTAGACTGTAGTCAGCTTTGATAGAAACATGTATGCATAATAACTTCAAATGCAAAAAAAAAAAAATTAAAAAAAAGAAAATTAAAAAAAAAAAAAAAAAAAAAAAAAAGAAAAAAAAAAAACGAAAAATAAAACCCCCCAAAAAAACCCAAACCAACCCCAAACAAAAACGGAACCTATTCCAGTGTAAGCAGAAATAGATGAGAATTTCCGTTGCTAATACTGCTATGATAATGATAAATGATCGATTAGGCTAGACTAGCGGCACTAATATAATAATTTGGCCACACAAAAACTTTCTATACGTCCGGATCTGGCCAAGCAGGAGATTGGGGTTGGAGGGTAAAGATCCAGGGGCGTAGACGCTGTGGCAAGATGGGAAAATGGAGTGGAAGGGGAGAGGGAGGGATCCAGAGGCGTTGATTCAGGGTTAGAGTGGATTGTATGATAAGTCCTAGATGTGTAGATGTATTGATTGGAGGATAAGTCCTAGATGTGTAGATGTATGGGCTAGTGGGGTTGGAGGGTCAAGATCCAAGGGCGTAGACGCTGTATCAAGATTGGGGGGGGGGGAGGAGAATCCAGAGGCATCGATTCAGGGTTAGAGTGGATTGGATGATGTATTGATTGGAGGATAAAGATCCAGGGGCGTGTAGATAAATGAGTACATGATTAGGTGGGTAACTTACAGGGGCGTCGATGCTGAGATTTTATACGACTGGAGGGTAAGATCTAGAGGCGTAGATATAGGGGCATAATTTGGAGTTGGAAGGTAAGTTATAGGGGCGTTAATACATGAGTTTAATGGAGTTGAAACTTAAGACTTGGATAGATTTTTATAAAGGAGCTAGATGGTGATGGTGGTGGTGGGGGGAGGGGGGCATTTACTTACGGTGGCTTCGAAACCTATATCTGTTATTTGTTCAAAAACTTGGCCAATAATATTTGTAGGTATATGACGGTCTATTTTTAAAAATTTTTAAATTTTAAGTACATACGTGTGTTAGCTGAAAAAAATGAATAAAAGATAAAGCTGAATAATAACATCTACACCTTACAAGCAAAACAGGTGAACAGCGATTCGCAAGCTGATCGGATAACAGGAGAGTATCGGACTTCTAAATCTTGTCTCATTAACAGTCTAAAAAGTGTGCTAGACTAAAGAAACAAACATTGATTTAGGGGGAGATTTTTGTTTACGGCGCGCTGACAAACATAACAAAAGAATAGATTTTGTTTGGGCGTTTCCTGTTAGGTTTAGGCCTAACTATCACGGGGAGGTTTTATAATAAATTTTTCCGGTTAGGCATCATTCTACCCCCCCCCTCCTTCCTCCAAACTTAAACAGACGTAAAGATTCTCCAGATGACACCACACCGTTAAAAAGATTGCCAAATGTATGAATCCGTCTTCCTTTTGACAGGACCATCGCTTAGATCTAAGAGAAATAATTAGGCGCCAAAATTACGTCTTCACCGGTTATGGCTTTAAGGAAAAAGCCAGCTAAATGGAAATCAATAGCCCGTATATATTTCTTACGTCCTGACTCAAGATATTATATCGAAAGGATGGCTACGTTAATGTCACATAGGCCTACTATTCTAGATGATATTCCTGCTTAAACGAAAACGTATCAAAAATGATATTTATCAAGAAACAATTTTATTTTATTTGGTTTCCGAAAAGTTTACGAGAATCTCAGATTCTAGCTGTTGTATGTGAAGTCGTTCTATTATCTGTGAGACTGTCTGTAATGTCGCATTACTCATCTTTTGGAAGAGGTGGGAAGGAGGGGAGGGGGTAACCCTTACTTCTTCTAAAATCAGGCCAACGAGAGTTTACGATAGCTTACAATTCATCATATCGCCAGAGTCAAGTGACCCT